TTTAGCCCTCTAAAAGAAAAATTTGGGGTACAGCAGCCCCCACTAACTAGGTAGAATGGAGGGTTTATACTGTTAAACTTCTAAGTGACTGTTTAAGATAAAGTCGAGACTCTGAATTTTCAAAATGCATAGTGAAGAAGGAGACTGCCGTCCTCAACATCAGGAGAGAACTGGAAATAAAGAAAGCATGACGCGTTTTCAGTTTCAGCTTTATACCACATGTCAAGTCACAACAACTTGCTGAACTGAAAGTTGTATCTCTGAATCACATGACATGCACCTTAATTCCTTAAAGCCATAGCATTGGAATAAAACCTTAATTTATCTGCTAGAAGCCTACGAGCAAGCCCTCGTCATGAGCCCTTCGGCACAAGCGTTTCCTTTCCCAGAGAAAGTAGGAAGCATTGAAAAACGCGAGCTGGCAAGAGGTCTGAGAGAGTCCTAAAGCCAGATCTCCGGCAAATCCCCGTTGGCTTGTCTCCAATCTTCGTGCGGGCGAAGAAATGTGTGACTTGCGCTGTTAATAATGGGGCCTTGCTTGTGCACCAATCTCCAAGACAGAATGCTTACGATTGTGGAATCCAAAGATTCTACCCATTGAGGACTTTGCACTCGGAAACAGAAGAGTTCTTAGAAGAATTGCGGCGAAGTATGTGGGCTTAGCGACATTGGATTATTACATATTCGAATCTATGTTGTTGGAACAGGTTACTGAGAGCATGTAGAGCTTCCTGTTGTTCCTATTAGAATGACCACCATTGATTCCACGTCATCAAAAGACACTGAAAATAGCTTCCCATAACATTAACAAAACTGATAGAAATACAAGAAAGACGGAGCACAAATCCACTCAGAACCATTGATGGTTCATAATCTTGTCTTTAGAATTTGAAATATTCAACACGTCGTTAACATTTTCCCCAGACATCTTCCGTAAGTTCTGAGTCAGTTTTATGCGCCTTCCCCGTCCACCCCCCTCCCCCCAACCCATAAATAGCCTCGCACTCAGACCTTCCACATTCAAGCGGTTGAAAGTTACAGTTACACGGTAGGATCTGGGTTCGAGATCATCTCCTACCCAAACACATGCACACAGAATCGTCAGTGTTCCACGAGTTCATATGCAAAATTTCTCTTTTGAGATGGCGCATTAAACCGCAATTCTTATCAGTTTACCAAGCATAATGACTTTCCGGTAGGGAAAACATGATAAGAACTGGTAAAGACCGCGAGCCAAAGACGAGAGCTTTCAAAGCTTTTGTAGCGTTCTCCTGACATCCTTAGAGTGTTATTCATCCATGGGCAAAAGGGCAAACACACGCACAAGTGTATACCGATAGAAAGTGTGGACTACTGCTTTTAAGAAATAGCTTTGAGTTTACTGGTTCCATAAAAGACAGGCTTTTAACAGATCAAATTACAAATCTGCAAACGGATAAACCCCGGTTGCTTCCAGAACTCCTTTGTCTCCCGTAAATTGGTCTAACCATAAATATATTGAGCCTTAAGTAGCTTATCCTTTTAATAAAACATCATTTTTCTTCATCCAAATTTGCAATTTGATAAGAGAAATCGTCCTTGCAATTTAAGTACTAACAAAGCCCTTGGAAAGCACCGGTCTGATTTGTTTATATACACCTGTGGACCATGGTCACTTTTATTTACTCCGTTCTCTATTGTGACCTGCTACCAGTAACGAGACATGATTAATTTATGTGTTATATATTTTGTCTATGTAAATGGTCGCGACCGACTTCCAAGTAGTGCCACAAACGAGACAATAATGGAGCTTAAACGCGTTTTGATTTTTCTTCTTTTGGCTGCTTTCCTTATTACAGGCTATGCAAGGCCGTCGAACGAGGTGAGTAGGTAGAATGGTGGAATCTCGACGATCTCGGTTGAATTTTTAAGAGTTAAGTTCGAAATCAAAGAAGAGTTTTTTTTTTCTGCCGCACCTACATACGAATTATTTTCTCTTCTGGTGATGTTTGTAAAACAAAACTCTGCCAAAAAATTGACCAATTATCATAATTATCATCAATAAAGGTTTGAGATTTTTGCATGATTACAGGCAAAATCAGCATGGCCTGACACATTTGTTTGTAGGAAGGGTTAAACACCTCTCAATCGACTGTTTCAAGATTACACGTGGGCCTAGGTAGACGAGGAATAGAAATATCTTTTAAAGCAAGGAGACTCACCTGAGCAAAGATTTCCTCAAAAGCAAACCTCATCCTTTTTCTAGGAATAGCGTTACCTTTCTTCTGCCAAATAATTTTCCGATCTCTTCGCCAATTAGAACCTTAAAAAAAATTTTCGCCTTCTCTTTGTCATTCATTTTCTCCGACCAGAGAAGGCAAAGTTTTCATGCTTCGGCTAGTTCCTAGAGCGTCGAGAAGACAACTCTGTCGTGAATTATGAAGCAACTACTTTACTAAAAGATGATCAGCAGATTCTCCATAGATTGTTGCTTTTGAGGTGTGCCGTTGACATCGACGTTTCAGGTCACCACGTTCAAAAATCAGGGCTAAAATCAGTTGTAAGGATTGTGACCCGATGAAAATTAAAGAGCTTCAGCTCGAGTTATCGAGTGTCCAAGTTTAAAAGATTTAGCTTATTTACTTTCAAATTGCAGAGTATCTCCTTGTGCGTCCTTCTAAAAAGATTTTTAGTTATTTCTCATTAATCTTTTGACGAGTTTGTTGTTCAGAAGCAATCCTCGGTGTTAAAGCATCTTATTAAATCTTGATGGCCTGTAGAAGCTGCTTAAATCAGTGAACATTTCAGCCATGAAATAATTCTTCAAAAGAAACAAAGAGAAAATGTAGACTGTTAAGAGGGTAAGGGAAGGGTTTACTTACCTTGAGGCAAAAAAGAAAATGATTTATTTTTTTACTTTTCTTTTGTTCATCTTCAAAATGGTGTCTAAACATTATTAACGCTTTGACTAAACTGCATAAGAAATAAACATTAGTTGCCAAATGAGCATTCTTTACTTTGCTCTTCTTTAAAGTTATGCTCAGCCGAGAAAAGTAGATTTAAACATGAAGTGAAAAATTTGAGAAATTTTCTCCTCTATGTTTCCACGTCTCTGTAAATGTGCAAAATTGCAAAGCGTTATTTCTCTGAAAAAAAAAAGAGGGTTGCGTTGACTCGAAATGTTCAATAAAAGCTTATGTGTGTACTATTCAACTTTCTTGTTATTGCGACAGCTTTCGTTCTCCTCTAATTTCGATAATTCATTCACCATTTTTTAGAAGAGTCTTTTAAAGCCGATCACTACCCTGATGCAAGCAAGAGAACATGTCCTCGATCTTGATACCTGTTGATTCTTTTGTGTTTTTTGCCTGTATCTGCATGCGATCCAAGCATGACAACGATAAATGATGACTAAAACGATGACTTTAAAGAAGACGCCGGCTTATGATTTCACGGAAATATTTCACCGGAAAAACACAACATACGCAACATTTCAACAGGACACGTTTGAGAATTAATCACTTGTTTAATTTCGAACTATGGGCCCAAAACAACTGATGCATAGCTCAAAACAACTTATGGGCCATTTTTCTATATTTCTCTTTTTTTTTCTACTTATACCAGTTGCCTACCAGTCTGCGTGAATTCAGTTCAAAGCCCATTCAAATTGAACACTTTCCAGACATCGTTTTTTTCCGTTATGTCTAAAGCGTAGAAAACACGTGATGTGGCTGGTAACTTAAAGCTTCATTACAAATTTTCTTTTTGTCATGATCAACCATCTCAAGCATGTTTAAAACTTAGAAAGCTAACTGAATATAAAACTTCTCTGGGCTGTCAGTCAATTGGGACTGGATGAACAAACTTACGAGCGAGGGAAAGAAAATCGGTCGGAATTTTTAAGTTATCTTACCCTTACCCACTTGCCCAGCTTTTCCGCCCATCTCCACACAAACTGACTGCCTCAAGTATAGAACAGAAATAAAAGATTGTTAATTTACATGAATCCCTCTCCCTTCAACTTTCCTTAAGACCGATTAAAGAATGATTTCTCTTCTTATATTTCCAAGGATAAGCAGGAAGTTGAAGAAGAAGACTTTGATGACACTTACATCGCAGAAGAAGGTAGGATTTTTTTTTCTTTCTTTTTATTTCACAATTTTAATGATACATAAACTCCTAACTCTAATGGGAAGTACATATTCCTGCCCAGGCATCTAGCGCGTCTCCCCAGGAAAATTCACATGAGGTCAGTAGACCACCGATGACAATCAAAGCTTAAAACAAATGACAGTAATTATAAATTTTTAACTCAGAAATATCGCATTTCTAGCGTCCTGATTGGTTCACTCAGCCCGGGTTATCAGCTCATATTCCGAGTCACCTAATATGGAAGTGCGTCACACCGTCACACTGTTGCGGAGCTGTCAAAAGCTCCAAATATCCAAACGTTCAGGATTTAATGTGATTTAATGAAACAATTATTCCATTCGCTCTTGTTGGATAAATGAAATGGTAAATAGCCAACGAGGCGCCTAACACCGAGTTGGCTATAACCAATCTCGTATCCAGAAAGCGCGAATATAGTAAAATAAAGATCATGGGTTCAAATCCCGTACAGGCCTGAATTTTTTTCAGGCCTCATTTTCACTACAGCTTAAGTAGTGTTCATTACTGCGAAGATCATTTCTTGGATCAATATCAGTATCTGGGCAACTTCCCACCTACCCCTCCCCTAACCCAACATTAACCCTAATTTGTTATCAATAGACTGTCGTTGGATTAGGGGAGGGGTAGGTGGGCAATTGCCCAGATACTGATATCGATCCCATTTCTTTATCCGCAGTTCACATATATAATTTTCATATATTTACAGTCACATATAAAGGACTAGTAATTATCCATTGCCTTAGTAGCCGTTGGTATACTTATAGCATATTTAGTAACAAGGAATACAAACAAAGCCAAGAAGGGGCCAGCGAAAGAGATAACAGGAAATTATAAGTGTTGTATCATTTTCATTTTTAGAAGCTAAACCAGAGGAAGGAGGAGAGGAGAGTGGAAGTGCAGAGGAAACCACCCCGCCTCCTCCTGCTGCAGGAGCAACGACGCCACCAGCGGGAGGTGCTCCTCCTCCTCCCCCTGCTGCAGGGGCCCCCCCTCCACCAAATCCCCTTGTTGACGGAGTTGTGAGTATTTTCGCTTATCCTTTCTTAGGTTTAATTTCATAGACTCTTAATACATAGAGGAGATATTTGTACCTCTCACAGTTAGTCATTGGGAGGCCAATTATTATCCTGATCCAAGCACACTTCAGATAACTTCTTGTGAGTTTTTAAGGGTATGTTGTCTTTACTTTTTAAGACAAGGATAGCATTCACTTTAGTCACCCAAGGATAATATCATTTTCATTCGCGCTGTTTTCAGTATTAAGTTACTCGTTCTTTTCTGTCTCTACTACACTTTTTTTTTTAGAGGTTAAGTCGGCGGAAAAAGGGGCTGTCTTACAATTAATGTTTTTGTGTTTCTTCTTCTCTCTAAAGAAAGAAAAGAAATGAAGTTTCTCAATTCTATTGTTGCCGAAAAGATGAATTACATGCTGTTTCAATTCGTAGAATAAAGCCTGTGCTGACTTCCAAGCCTGTGCTGCACAAGGCGACCCCTCGGTGTGCCTCGGGCAGATGGTAGCTGCTTTAACGGCGTTGATGAGTGGAGGCGGAGCAGCCGGAGCAGGTGGAGCTCCTTGCCAAGGTGGAGCAGTTACACCAGTACCAGCACCCGCGCCGTGCCCTATACCGGCACCTTTCCCTGCGCCTTATCCGGCACCTTACCCTGCGCCTTATCCGTCACCTTATCCGGAGCAGGTCATCGTGCAGCCGTCCTCATGTGGCGGCACTTATCCGTGCAAGGACAAACCATCCAAGGGAAAGAAGAAACACGACAAGAAACACCAAGACAAGAAACAAAATAAGGAGGAGGAGGAGCACGAGACACGCGGACTACGTTTTTAAGATGTCAGGCGAGAAGGCAATCGAGGAAGATTAAACATCAACCCGTTATTTAGAAATAGACTTGGTACTCACGGCCTCGTACATGTGACATCGATACCAAATGCCAGCGTTCCCCTCTTTTTATGTAGCTCACCAAGTTTAGAGCCTTTTAGTTGGTTCTTTATATAGGTGAATAATTACAAGATACATCATGTCAGACATTCTTGTTTAAGAAAGAAGGAATAAAATTCATCGTAAGAACTACATTCATGGCCGCATTGTCTCCTTTTTTTGTTTGTTTTGCTTGTTTTATTCTAAAACTTGAGCAGTTGCTCCCAACGCGTGGCCTCTTGCTCGGTTGGAGGTTGTGCCACACTAGTAACTGAGAGGCAGGGGTTTAACTAAGAGGCATAGGTTTAGCCGAGAGGCATATATTTAACTAAGACGCATGGGTTTAACTGTGAGGCATAACTATAACTAAGAGGTATAGGTGTAACAGAGAGGCTCGAGTTTAACTGAGAGACATGGGATTGACTTCCGCCGAAGCCTGATTTCTTTTTTGCGACTCAACGGAGGATCACTGATTTCTTTGCTTGAAAGGTGACTCTTACTCTAAAAAAGAATGAGTGTTACCGTTTCGGTTTCATAATAATCATTTATTGTGAAATAGAGGGGAAAAGTGAACTGGGTAGCGAATCCGCCTGTTCTATGTGAGAAAGTCTTGACGGCTACCAGAGGAAAGGTGGGTCACCCATCCATTATGAGGACTATTTATTGCGAGATTAAATTACGATAAAATCAGTGGAACAGGAATTTTTAAGTCTTCTTTGTTAAAAGAAGCTACCTCATAACGAGCATCGGAAAGTAAATAAACTCAAAATAGTCAGGAAGCGATCCTGTTTTTTATCCTTAGTGACAAACTGTTATCGCATCAGAAATAAGCGGCAAAGTCAAAGAAAGAGGAATTCATTCTTGACTTGAAAGCGGCAATGATGGACCGTTATGTACGGAGGAATGGCTTCCCTGTGAGGGCCCGGATTGGTAAACGGCCTGATTGGAAAAAAAAAAAAAATGAGTTTGCACAGCGTAGATGTGAAGTCAATCATGTGCCTCGTTTCATCTCAACAACTTTCTTTCCTAAAACCTTTATTTTAAGTTAATTAAAAGATGTACACTTTACAGATGTAACTAAAACGATCTTTTGTGGAGCTCGTCATGGTTGAACATGATCATCATTCTTTTGAAGTTTCGCCATTGTCTTTCATCTAAAGCTTATATCACGCACATGATTTAGCCTTCTTTAAGAGGGTAATGTTCTGCTGAGAAAGTTTTATTCTCAAAATACCGTTGTAGATTCCTGTAATACACGTTTTCCTTCCTCACCGACATGAGATGAATCTGAGCACATTTTCTGTTTTCAAATAAACACCTACAAAGGTGGTCGCTAAAATCTGTCCCGGCCATGTTTTATTAATAAAGCGGGATTCGAAATCGTTGTACAAATTTGCTCGGTAGACAGTCAATGCTCATCTGTCTTCAAATCTTTGCTTTAAGCCATATCACACCACAGGTAAAAATAACTTGTCCAGCAGAAGGGTTACATTAAAGGAATCTGCACCATCAGATCTAAATTTGTTTTTGCAACTTAGAATCACCACAACCACATTTACACCTCACCAGCGTAGGTCCATGTTCAAATGTCGCATATCACATATGCACGTGGCGGAACTTGTTTCTTTTGGAATGGATCACGTTTTTTGTCCTTCCTTTGAGGTGTTTTACCTAGACATAGCAAAATGTTCTCAGTTGTTAAACACAAAGAAGAGGAAAATTTTTGACACTGCTATCACATATGGCTGCTTTCATATTAATCTTGTTTATGGCAAGATACTGATGAAAATCGGCCAAAAGGGGTCACTTTTCTTTACCTCGTTTTGAGATGTTCAATGTAATGTCTACACAAGGGCTTGTCTTTTAAACAGACATACCAGCAGGTCTTCCGTTGTTAAAACACAAAGAGGAGACAAAAAAATATGAGACACTGCTATCTCAGTTATGCCGCTTTCATGTTGTATATGGAAAGATACTAAAGAAAATCGGTGAAGGTAGCTTACTAAATATCGCTACACTTAAAAATGCCGTTTTGCTTTTCTTTCGTCGTTTGAATAGGCACTGATTCGTTTACACTTTGGTGGAACGTAGTCAAAGCAGTAAATCTAAAATTAGTAAAACCATCTTTTATTCATCTCACTGTGGTACTCAATGTGCGCGAGACCTCGCTAAAATATATGACAAAAATATTGAGAACATTCTGGAAAATATCAAACACCAAAAAAACAATAAAAATAATAAAACAAAATCATTCTGAATGTTCGCCATGATTAATCCTGCGTATTGACGTCAAAATTAGATTGACCGTCGCAAACAAAACAATTCAAAACTTGTCAAAACAAGAAAAGTCAACAATTCCATTTTGGGTCCCAGCTGGTCTGTGGATGTTTCATACTTATATTATTCATGTTTAACTCCTCGAGTCATTAACATACGAACGAAAAAAGATGCCTGCGTTAGAAATATTCACCTTGTATCTTTTAAATCTTTTCCTTCTCAGCCATGGTTCGGAGGAAACAACGAAAGCCTACGATGTTTCAGGTTATAATTGATTATTTTCTGTATTGAAATCTGAAGAGAAACATTTTGGGCGAGTTTCAAAGTATGATAACAAGTGTTTGGTTATGATCGGCAGATGGATGTCTTCATCCGTTGGGAATCTCCGATGGCAGAATCAAAGATAATCAATTTACGGCTCCATCAGCTTTTGATGACGATTTCACGACTTTCGGTGCTCACAGAGCGAGGCTCAATACAACAGGATATCGTTCTGCACCAGAAAACGCCGGTGAAAGTTGGTTGAAAGTAGACCTTGGGCATACTGTGGTTGTTACAGCGATTGCAACACAAGGTTACGGCAATCCAGAAGTTAAGGAATGGGTTACTGCCTATATTTTGCTGTATAGCCAGGGCTCAGAGTATGTAAATTTTAAGGATACCAATGGAGAAACACAGGTAAGAGGAAGCAGATACACTTTTCCTCAAAATTGAATCGTGTCTTATTTGCAAAAGGGATACGATTTAAAAATTCAAATTTTATTGAGCGACGTTTGGAAAACTTTAAAGACTATCCATTTTTAGAAGCTTGGATAATCTGACACAAAATTAGAGATGAAGTTAATAACTTTGAAACATTAAAAGGTAAAACATAAGAAACAGATTTCTGAACGAAGTCTAGAATCGTACGTTCTATGAATTAAAAAAAAAACTACCGTATCCAGTTCCTCATTTTGTATGTTACATTATTTGCCAACTTAGAGACTAAAATTGAAGCAACTGATCCGAGTAATCCAACTGATCCAATTTAGTAATTTTATGAAAAAAAAATTGTCTCAATCGGTGACCATTCTTTAGACAAGTATTTTTTTTCGTTTCACTAATAGTATGCATCAGCTTAAAAACTTCAAAATTGTTCTGGACAAGTCCAGGCTGTTGATTTTATTGAATTGCCCAAAACAGGTCCACTTGGCAAACGTGCTTTCTTTAATTTGTTACAGATACCTTGAAATTTATATTCTGTCACCGTAATCGGCAACTTGTAAAACCACCGCAACAAAACAACTTATGTCAGTACGTTTGTTCCACACTTGTATTAAACAGAGAAAATGGAATATTTCCATAGATATAGGACGTTAAGATAAACAATCGTTTATGATGAAATTCCGTGATTTTAAACAACAACGCTTCTAAATCTAAGAAAAGAAATAAATTTCGCTAAATGTCACGAATGTTTGTTCGAAACTCGCAGTAGGACTCGAGAACCTGGTGTTGTGGTTTGAAAAGATTTATAATACTTTGATAAATTGGTTGGCGTATGAACTCTTCTTCTGCTGTCATAAAATTCTCCTAAGTTCGTTTTCTGCTTCAACTATTTACTGTATCCGTTCTATGGTAAAACTCTCACCGGAGGGCTTATTGTTTCCACACCATATTTAATGTTTTCAATTTTCTCATTGTTATAAAAAATTGCGGTTTTCAGGTGTTTATTGTCTTCAACTTCGTGTGCTTCAAATATTTTTATTCGTTGTGACTGTTATCTCCGTTTAGCTAGGTATAGTACTACCACTAGACTGCCAGATTCTTTTTCATGATATTGGTTTAGTCTCAAAATGTCTCTGGGGTAAAATTACCCCTACCAGATTAATTATTTAAGCAACCCTGTTCAGATAAGAGAAAACTATTTAGGGTGAATTACGAAGGTTGCGAACCAGTGAAGCTGGAAAAAAACACGATAGTTGCCTCAATAAATCAAAATGGTTCAAACCGAGGAATAAGAACTGATTACGTTGTCTTACCGTCAGTATGAGAGAGGTTCTGAAAAATTCTATTTAAGATGACAAATATGGAAGTTTCGACAACCTGAGCATTACCGGTTTCAGGTCCTGTGCCTCGCAGCCAGTACCATCACAGCAAAAATGACTGATTCGTTTGCACGAACTAGAAGCGTAATACTCGACTGACAAACAACTCCTCCTTTGGTTCTGATGATAAATTCCACTCCTGTTGTCAAAATGCCAGTCAGTGATTGCAAAGATACGATACAGAAAATCAAAATACCATTGCCAGTTGAGATATATTTAGGCAATGCCATAATTGTTAATTAATATATACCACACAGATACCAAAAAATTAGTTTATTTCTTGCGATATACCAAAAAATGGTTGGAAATTAAACTCTTGACGCGCGACTTTATCTCATTGACCGCTTAAGTGTGAATACTACTCGCTATTTCCTTCCAAACTAGCCAATTAGCGCGCATAAAAAGCACTGTTCACTTAAGTGGTATATACTGATGACCGTTATGTCCCTTTATTGCCAGTTTTTTGTTGGAAACAACGACAGTAACACCATAAAGTTAAATCACATGATCCTTCCAGTAAAAGCAAATGGAGTTACGCTGATGCCAATGGGTTTCAAAGATAATGTCGGCCTTCGACTGGAGCTGTATGGCTGCAAATCAGGTTAGTTTTCCTCTTACTGTTCAGTGCCAAAAGATTAATATTTCCCGAACAAATGCCACACGTAATCAAATTAAATGTACTTGTAAGCATCTGATATCATCCACTGCAAGCAGCAAATCACTTTTTACACGTTGCACATCGCATTTTGCATATCAGTATCAGTTTTGCAAAATTCTTTGGTGCACGAGTAATGCTTCAGTTTATCTTAAATGTGCTTCCATTTTCATATCTCAGATTATTATCTTGTGGCCTTGTTGATGTTGAGTAAGACGCCATATACAGTGGATTCCCTGGCTTCAAGAATGATTGACGGCAATGATTTGACTCAAATGTTTGGAGATGTGGAAGATCAGGTAAAGAGACAAAAACATAAAGCTTATAAATTGGAGGACTGAACCAACAACGGCTGAGCTACTTGTTTTTCCTTTTCATTGGGCCGATTACATATCATTAATATTAATTCTCATTGATTGCTTAAGGTAGTTGTAATCACTGTAGCGATTTTTTACATGGTTTAATATTGTGTAAGCACCCACTCCGAACAGTCTAATGGAGGCTGAGCGATTCAGTTGAAACAATTCTAAGAGAAACCAGTTATGTTCCGGTTATCGTACAGGAATAAGGAAGGGACAGCAACCAACAACCGGAAAAGGAAAAAAAACTAATCGCGACGCATTTTGACATCAATTTATCGACCGTAAGGTCGTCTTGTCCGCATATGAACCCATATTGTTCTCACTACAAAGGTGTAGTATAAAGATTCTAAAAGTCTTTTGGCTTCAAAGTAGCGACAAGTTTTGTTTCTCTTTTTCTATACACTAGGTGAGGGATCTACTAAGCCATACCCCGGGATTTTTAAGTGTCCAAGCTCTACGCTTCAGGTACGTTGAGTAAGAAATGAATTTGAATAACAAACTTTAACCTTTGTATCAGCACTGCGATTCTGCCTAGTTGTTTGTCGGTTCCACTCTCCCGAAGTTCGCGTACGATACTCTTCCGAATATTATATAGCTGGGATATAAAAATCGTTTCTCCACTCCATCGGCCAAACATTGCTTCTAATTTTGGTTTCTAAAATTTTTTTAAATCAAGAAATATCCTCCATGTGATGTTTTACTTGGGTCATCAACGAGCTCTCTTGGTCCATGCACTCCCAAGGGTGACCGAAAAAGGTTCCAAAAAATTTCTTCTTCATGATCATGTTGCATTGATGTCGTGGAAAATTTACTTTTCAGGTCACCTTTGAGAGTGCAAGGGCTAAGAGAACTCGTTAATGACCTAAGCAATAAGCCATTACCATTCATAACAAGCGTCTCCATACTGTTAGGATCACCCTTATCAACAGCGTCCTGAGTGGAGATGGAAGGCAAATGTTGTGCGTCTGTGACAACTTAGGAACAATGAAAAAAATGGCCTTCGTTACCTGCTTGAGCGTCTGCAGTTTTGAATTTTTTTTTTCATTTACTTCATTCCTAGCCAGCCAGTGTTCTTTCCCGTCAAATTCCCTTTTCCTTACTTCCAAATGACTCAGAATTTATCCTCCTTTTTCGGGGAACACTGTCACATATCATCCTGATTTCTTCATTTTAGCCCACGAGAGTCTCCCAGGAAGGGAGAAGGCACAGTGATAACAGCGGAGGTAAAAATCGAATGCCTTCGAGCCGGCCAATCGCATATTATAGCACAACTGAAAGAAGAGATTGATTACGTGGAACTCCAATACACAGGTAGGATCATATATGAATCTCTCTCACTTGACCAGCAAAAGTACTAGGTTACTGATTGAAGGAGTTGCCTTCTCCCAGATTTGTCTCAATAGAGCGTCGCAAATTCTTAAAAATTCAAGGTCGGGTCATTTCCTGATATTATTGATATTTGAATATTAATGCTATCGATATCCCGATCGTGAATGGAACCGCGTAATCGACAAAAATTAGCCTGTCGGGACTAGTAATAACAGGGACTTCGAGAAACGAGCCCCTAGTGTCTCAAGTGGGTTAAGTTTATTGTTGTCGATTCTCACACTCTGACTTTTTTTTGCCAAGGTTCTCTCTTCTCCCTCCCTACACAAAAGACAGCACACCTGATGCAAATTTGAACTGGATTAAGAGGATGTGGAACCACAACGTACTTGTACTACTAAAAAAAAATCGTTTGGTAGCACAAATTATCTCAGACACTTATTGGTTAGACATATATACACTTTAGTTCCCACTTTTCACTTGGACCAGCCAAACCCCACTCCACAACCAAGACTAGCAGTTTTCTTTTTGTCTAAAGACGTTTTCCTTACATATCGCATACTAATATTTAGCTTGTTTTCTTTTTTTATTACAGCCGACCAAACAAAACTTCTTGCAAATATTTCCCTGAACCTGAGCACAACCTTAGAGGGAGCAACAGAAATACTTCCAGGCCATTCATACAGAATTCATGCAATTTTGTCGTCATCTGAGTCAAATTCGACCATGGCAATGTATACACAGTTAAACTTCGAATGGGAACTTTCCACAGTGGATGAAAATACCGGACAATTTTCTCCTTTCGTCATCCTCGCTGACAATGCAGCTAACATAACATTGACTCCTGACCTGCCCGTGGGATTTACCTATGTTCGTGTGTCTGCAAAACCGAAAGCAATAATTGGAGCCATCTCTTACACGTTTGGTTTTATAAGAATTCTGCCTCAATTGAGAGCATTTGTTTCCGGCCCAAACACGGCCTTTAAGGGCGGTGGTCCTATTGAGCTAAGTGTAGTAACTACTGGTGTACTGGGCACCTCATTTGGTATTGAGGCACCTAACTTGGAGTATATATGGAGTTGTAGAGAGCGCAACGAAACTTCGTCTAACGCAACCTTTGGGGCTGGTTATGGGTCTCGTTTTTTCAACTACACGAGTGCTAAAGGATGCTTTGCTTATGATCCTGGAATTTCGCATTCTACAAACACACAAAGTGTGTTAATAAATCCAGACTTCATGGTGGCTAAGCGAGCGTATGTATTTCAAGTACTTGTAACGCAAGGAAAGAGATCTGTTGTAATATCTCACACAATCTTCGTGGACACAAACTTATCATTTGCAATCAGGTGAGAGTGGCCTCATTCCAAGCATATCTAATTATGTCCTCTACCTTGTCTGTGTTGCATGCGCCTTTTATGAGACCATGATAATTAAACACTAAATCTGACCATTCCCCTCAAACAGTAGTAAATTCAGATGGCGGAGCAGCAAATAAAATTAAGGAGTTTAACGCAGATTAGAAATAGCGAGCCAGAAAAGTGAAAGCCAAATTCTCCGGAAATATAAAAAGTGTACGGTAGTTCATGGAAGTTTATTCAAACTAAACATAGGTCACTTTTCAAAGAACTTTGCTCCGTCCTTTATTAAATATGGAGCTGCACATCTGATTAGCTCATAATGAAAGATACCCTAAAAACCTTTCCATGCCTGCAGCTCAAGTGAGTCAGCTAACATTTCTGTCATCTTCACTTAGATGTGTTGCAAACTGTGAAGAGAAGGTCAGCACAAGGAAGAGATTTGCATTAGAAGCTCATTGCTCGGGGATGTCTTGTCCCTTTCTCAGACACCATCAATGGTCTCTTTTCGTCAAATCTAACAAGAGCTCCAATGAATCGTGGAGAGCGATGGGAAACTTGGCAAACATATCTCTGACATCCTTGACGGGTCCAAGTCTGATTATAGAAAAAGGAGACGCACTTTACCAAAAAAGTGCCCTACTGTCCAACCAAACTTACAAACTACTCATGGTTGCCTGGTTGGACGATGGTAATTACGCAGAAAATAGTTACGTTTTTCATACAAATGTCCCACCATATTCTCAAAGCGACAACACCGGATGTTTCGTGGATCCTACGAGTGGAGAAGCAATCACAACAAAGTTTCATGTGGAATGTGCCAACTGGACAGATTCTGACTTGCCTCTCACTTATCAATTTGCTTACAAAACTCAGTTTGGCGTTGTAGCTTTTCACACAGGATGGCAACCAAACGTGACAACGGAGCTACCAATGGGAGACAAACTGACAAACTATTCCCTTGACCTGCGGTTGGAAATTTTAGATTCACTCGGTGACTATTCCGTTGTGTATTTAGCTGTTCAGGTAAATTATCCTTCGTTGCATTTCACAATAACGATTTTATAGCATCCTTATCATAAAGGTGTCATCTAGAAACTTGGATCTGTCTTTTTCCTCACGATCGGAAAAAGTAACTTGATATTGATTCTGCTACCTTTTTTTCCTTCGTTTTTGACCCGTATTAATAACAAACGGATTGTCAATGACAGATTAAAACGTTTTGGTAACTTCCCAAAGTAAAAGGTTGTCATAGCTTCTCTAAGACCAAACAGAAACAATCTTCATGTTCAACTAAATCAGTCGACAAACAAAATAGGTTCTGTGAACCCCATCTCAAAGGAAACAGAAAAATCCAGGACTCTAAAAATTAGTTCATGAGACATTTTCACCACGCTCTTATTCAGACTATGAGGCATCGAATAGTTGCGTCCTTCTATGCTGATATATGATGAAAAACCATTTCACAAATTACCGACTATTTTGGTGAAAATCTCCTCATAAAAAAAAACTGTTGGTGTTGCTTATCGTTCTCTTTCAGGTTACACCTCCTAAATATTCAAATTTGATGGAGTCCCAAGGTCAACTGGATAACCTATTTGCAAGCGGAGATATTGATAGAGCTATGCAGATGGCTTTTGCCCTGCTTTCTGCGGCTGGTGATTCAGATGGTGCTCAATCGGTAAGTTTATTGAATTGTGCAAAACTAACATGAGTAGGATGCTTCTTACTAGTAATCCATTGCACGATTCTATAGCAGCAAAACAATCTCAAACTTTTCTGTACTTTTGTCAAATATATATTACATACGTACCATTTTTACTTACTTTAGTCCTTGTTCTATAGTACAAAAGCTCATTGATCGACAAAATGGAAAATATCAAAGTCGGTAGTGTAGAGCAGGCGACGATGGTGGTAGGAGTTCTCGCTATGGCCACAGATAATGACGATGGAATATCAGGGGATTCTCAGGTAAAAAATGCAATGTATTTGCTGACAAATTTGTTATGCAGCTGCTCTGAGATATTTATACTCATTCAGGCTGTCTATGTACAAAAGGTAGATCATTCTACTGCCCTAGCCTGCTTTGGATAGGTGTCAGACTTAGACTGCTAGATTAACTGGCATGTCATGCTGACTTTCCCAACATTTCTTCGAATCAACCTTTAGCGAATTCTTCCCGTCATGCATTTTCTTCTTGCATTTAATGCCCTGGACAATTTTTGAAACATGAAATATCATTTTACTTATAGGAAAAGGCTTTGAACTTGCTTGGTAGCACCGTGGACTTCCTTTCGTCTCAAATGTCAAATGGTTCGATGGACACGGAATTGGTACAGAGTTTAGGCACCAGTCTCTTTAGTGGAATTGGAAACGTGCTTGGAGCAGCCTCTGGTGAGGCTGGGGCCGAGAGTGATGATGCTGAAGGAGAAGATGAAGAAGACACAGATTCTGACAAAGGCCAGGTTGACTCGGATGAAATGAAGGAAAAGGTAAATCTTTCATCCTCCTCTGACCACTTTCTTTGCCTTAAGGACTGCGCACTGATCCTACTGTAGTATAACAGAATGTACCCCACCACAACGTTTTTTGTTTTTCGTGATACAGAGCAAGCAAAGGGCCCAAAATGCTTTAAATCTGGTGTCACAAGTGGGAGATAGCCTGCTTTCCACAAAAGCTGTGGGGGAAAAGCCCACTGTGTTCAAGACCAAGTCCATGGGAGTTGTGCTAGATCGTCAAAGAAGCTCCGATATGGGAGGCAAGAAGCTTGGCGAGGGCTCCAATGGTGTGGCTTTACCCTCAGCAGACTCTCTTTTTGGTAACAATGGGCCTGACGCCGTTGATTCACAGGTATGAATTATTATGCACCTTTCGGCACTGCATTTGTAACGCACGTCTGCTTACAAGTCATCTCAGGATACATAGATGATCAACGAAAGAACAATCTTGTTTGTCCCAGTATCTAATTTGACTGAAGGAAAGATCAAAGATGGCTGCCGGAAAAATTAACTTTAAACAAATCATGTACCTCTTTTTAGTGCTGGTCATTTCCTTGCTCGGGTCCAGAAAATAATAGATATAAAAGAAGCGCTGTCGTATTGCAACCTCAAATAAAATTGGCCTAGGGGTGTTCTCTCCGAAAAAGAAGTTAGAAAAAGCCTCATCAACGAAAACTTGGCTTTTCCTCTCGATCTTAGATTAAACTAAGTTGGATCATTTCTTCCTGGATACAAACTCAAATTAGGTCTGTAGATTCACCAACGGGAAACATTGGACCTTGTGATGCATGGATATGAAACACGTGCACGTGTCGCAAGTTTTGTAATGTGCAACTTGTACATGTTTTTTCTTCGAACTAGATGTTGGCATTTAAGGATAACCCCTTCACATGGGACATGAGTGCAAAAACGGTTAAGTCTTCAGTTATTGACTTCAAACTCAAGTCTAAAGGAGGTGATGCGTTAAACATCTCAGGGCTTCAGGAACCAGTTGAGCTATTTATTCCCATAGCGAGCCAGGAAGGTCCTTCCGATAAAGACAACAGCTCAGCCGAAAGCTTGTTTTTTAAACCAAGTAATGGAACGTCAAATCTTCGCTACCACAGGTTTTTGGTTTCATCTCACGAAGTGCAAGTAACGATACAAATAAAGCCCGAGAAAGGGAGACAGGTGGATGTCTTCGTCAACTACAGAACGAAACCAACACCTCGTCGCAATGTTTTTAACGCCACTATCCCAAATTGGTCTTCCTGTACTAACTACAGTGGTAAATCTTCGGACATGCTAAATTGTTCCTCGGATCCTTACACTTTCACATTTTCGAGTTTAATATCTGGTCATACTGGCCCTCACTTTCTTGGCATTCGATATATAAAAAGAGATGGTGAAGCCCAATCAAACATCACTTCTAAGCGAAAAAGAAGATCATGTGGTCTCATCCATGGACGTATGAAAAGGTCATGCGTAGAAGTCAAAGACCCTCCTACCACACCTCCCCCGACACCTATGATTATAGTCCCAAAGTACGACTCTTCTACGGATGTAAATTACTCGTTGAGTATCTCTGTAAGCGGTTGCCTGTACTGGTCAGAAACGAAAGAGAAATGGACGGGAGAAGGATGCAAGGTGCGTTTGTAAGCTGACAAGTGTTGTTGGTCTGAAAAAACTGTATAATGACTTTTTCCCACTCATTATGTGGAGGTGTTAGGTTAATAACAGTCATGTGCGTTCATGTAGTACGTTTTGTTGTAATGATAACCGATGGTCAGCATCACCTTCAAGACTGCATGCATTTATCATTTCATTTGTAGTTCTTTTATTAATCATTTCAAATCTTTAAAATTTATCAAATGGAGTCGTGCTACGAATTACTATGGTGATTACATTTAGTGAAATGTCGAGTAGCCACTTCCTGATATCGATTTTACTCAAAGGCAAAATGAATGACATACACAGTCGTCATCTGTTACTTAACTTTCGTTCTGTTTCCTCGCTGACGCATTGTGTCACTGTTTGGATATCTTATTCCATACAGGTTGGACCGAAGTCAAACTCGAAACAGCTACACTGCCTATGTACTCATCTCTCTGCATTTGGTGGCGATTTCTTTGTTGCACCAAACCCCATAGACTTCGACAAAGTTTTTGCAGCATTTGGCAGCTTGGCTGAGACAGGCAACTTTGTCGTGCTATCCACAGTTTGTGCCCTTCTTGGACTCTATGTAATCGGTCTTATATTGGCCAGGAGAGAAGACAAGCGCGATGAGTTAAGGGTAAGAAAACCAACTGGTGTTTTGAGCGTCATCGGTAAAATTGCCATCGAAGTATATATTTTTAGTTACATGTTCCATATATGTTAGTTACATGTTCCTCAGGGTAAATTTTGCGACAATTTTAGCATATTTTAACGAAATGGTAGCAGAGAAATTTAATATGAGCAGCGAAGAACAAATATGGCTTTATAGCTCTTTATTTGTGCAAGTTAACGTCTTATGAGGCGTTTTCATCCTGAGAAATAGTCTTCCCTTCTATACAAGAACTTGTACCTAATTATAGGTAGAAAAAAATATCGTTAAGAATTACGACCTAACTAATGAGTGATAATTCGATCTCATTATTCTTTTCAGGTGATAGCAAACGTTTGCATCAACGAGAATCAAGGAGACAACAAATACTTTATATCCATACAGACTGGTATGTGGAGAGCTAATGGAACTACCGCAAATGTGGGTTTGGCTATTCATGGCAGCGATGGGAATACAGAGGATATCACCCTGACTGATTCTCAGTCGGAGAAGATCTTCTTCTCCAGAGGCAGCATCAACAATTTCACCCTAAGTCTACCAGAGGCACTCGGTTCACTAGAGAAGATCCGTATCTGGCACGACAACAGCGGAGATAATCCGTCTTGGTTCTTGACGCAAGTGCTCATTGTGAACATGTCGACAGGAGAAAAAGCACATTTCGTGGCGAACAGGTAAATCACTCCTCAGATCCTTTCAACCTCGGTCCGTTCAATACCGAGTATTTGTTACTCTTTTCGGGCTGCATGTGTTAATCATTAGTACGTTAAAACTGTACGAGTTACAACTTTATTAACTCGGTGCATGCTTCTATTCAAGAGGAAAATTAAAATGAGAAGAAAATTAAATGAGAGGAGAATGGTGTTGTGCATAATAACTGCACTAGCACGAACTCTTCATACCTGTCTAATAGGACCTTCTACTCATATAGCTGAAAACGAAGTTTAATCCACATTTTAGGCGTTGATTCAGCATGCAGATGGATATTCCGATATACCTTTTTTCTTGTTTGTAGATGGATTGCGGTGGAAAAAGAAGACGGGAAGTTGAATCTTGAGTTAACAGTCTCTGGGAAGAACGAGATTTCAGGTTTCAAAAACTTATTCTACTCGAGAACAGCCACAAGCCTTGGAGATAAGCATCTCTGGTTGTCAATTTTCACTCGACCACCACATAATCCATTCACTCGGGCTCAGCGTCTGGCATGCTGTATTTCTATTCTATTCGCTGCCATGGTTACCAATGCCATGTTTTACAATTTCGGTACACCACCTGGAGACGCGGTGCAGATCGGTCCCCTCAAAGTGAGTCTTACACAGATTAAGATCGGCATCCAAAGTAGCATAGTTGCAATCCCTGTTAACGTACTGGTTGTAACCATCTTCAGACAGTTAAAAGCGAAGGAAACAGGCAATGACGAAGATGATGGTGCAAAACGCAGAGGATGTTTACCTCATTGGTTTGTCTACGTTGCCTGGTTTATCTGCACCATGGCAACCCTGACTTCAGCTGCGTTTATTGTATTCTACAGTCTCATGTGGGGTGCAGAGACATCCAATGAATGGCTTGTGTCGGTAATGGTGTCTTTCTTTCAAGATGCCATAGTCATGCAGCCACTCAAAGTTCTATTGGTTGCCTCCATACTGTCTGTTTTGGTGAAGAAACCTCCAGAACAGGAGAAAATAATGGGTGCAGAAGTTCAAAGGAACGCGGCTGGAGAGGTCATCACTCCCAATAAGTCAGAACTTGAGAGGGCTCGAAAGTTTAGAAGCAGTCTCGTTCAAATTGGTCGCAAGGTTGTAGAATTTACTCTTTTTGGAATATTTATACTTCTTATGATGGTGGTGTGCTACGGCAACAGGGGTGTTGAACGATTCATGGTTACTCAGTCGATGGACAACCTTTTTCAAACATTTGCCATAAAGGTAAGATTTTTTTAAAATCATTATCAACAACAATTTCTGGCAGGATATTGTGAAGAAGATTGAGATAAAATATGGGGTTTTCCAGCAAATATCTCATGCAATACGCTTTGGTAATCTCCGTTTCGTGAAGCCATTGATTAGGTGTCTTTCAATATTGCTCTATTCGCCCATTTAAAATTACATTTGTGCATGTGATTTTTAGGTCAAAGACACGCCAACTTTCTGGGAATGGTCAAAGAAATTTCTCGTGCCAAACTTGTATGAAGTCGATTGGTATAATGGCCGCAGCTTTGAGTACAAGGAAGGATTCCTCAGTAACCGAGCAGCTTACTTAGTCGGTATGCCGAGAATGCGACAGTTAAGGATTAAAACAGGTAAGCAGGACAATGGTTAGTTTTCTCAGTATCTTTCTTAGTTATCAAACTATTCCCACATGAACTTGCGTGTCAGCCAGCGGGAGTAACAGTGCTTCTAGTCGCTTCATGCTATGGAAACCGGAATAAGCTCCGACCAGCTTAGACCATTGGCTAGAGTGCAGACTTTATCCTATTTGCTATGCACTGCATGCAGCTGAGGCTGATTGCTGCATCTACTTACATTTCATTAATCTCCATTATTTTGTATTTCTCAACAGGAAAGAATTGCACCATAGCAAAGAAAGAACCATCCCTGGCACGTCAGTTTGTTAGATGCGTTCCTTTCTACACAAGCGAGACGGAAAGCGTTTCCCAATTCAACAGACCAGGATGGATCCCTGTAAAAAATGCCACAGCCTTTTACACAGAGTACGAACTCGAAAATCAGTGTCCTAAGCCTTGGCGGTATCTCAAATCTGATGATCTTCAAGTAAGACCCTTTGGGGGCCAAATGGCTACATTTGTCGGTGGAGGGTACGTAGCGGATCTTGGGTATAATTCTCGTACAGCACTGAAAGTTATCAGAGTTTTAGAGGAAGACAACTGGATTGATGACCTAACCATGGCTGTTTTCACTGAATTTACCATTTTTGAACCGTCCAGCTCACTCTTTTCTACTATAAAACTTCTGTTTGAAAGATTCCCGACGGGTGGATCCAGTGTCAGGGTATCAATTAAGACTCTATCACTGTATGCTTCGTCTAATCCTGACTCCAGGTCGCTCTTTCAAGTTTGCCAACTTCTGTTGATGATAATTCTGATCGTCTTTTTGTTTGCGGAGATTGGAAAACTGCGTCGTGAGAAATGCTCTTATTTTAAACAAGTATGGAACTGGTTGGAACTTTTGCAAATCGCTAGCACAATCTGCTCATTGGTATTCTTCTTCATCAAAGAATCTCAAACGAGCAAGTACGTGAAAAAACTTCAAGAAAATCCCTTCCAGACGTCAAGCCCTGATAAGATTGAGTTTATGTCTGATATGGAAACGTATGTACTTTCTTTCGTCATCTTCATAATGACAATCAAGTTCTTAAGGCTGATTAAGTTTAACAGCCACGTTTGTCAAGTTTTAGGAACAATGCAGAAGGCAGCCAACAATGTGCTTTCCTTTATGATTGTATTCGTTACAATTCTGTTAGCTTACACTCAAGTTGGATTTTTGGTATTTTCATCCGACGTCGATGCGTACAGATCATTTTACAGCTGTTTACGAGCCATGTTGCTATTGCTTTTTGGAGGCGAAATGCGTTTGGATGAATTACGATCTACAAGCAGATTCATTACTCCGTTTTTTATCTTCGGATATCTGTTTTCCATGGCGATGGTTCTCTTAAATATGTTTCTTGCGATCCTAAATGAGTCTTACTACGAGGTCAAGAACATGGATGATGGAGAAACGTTTGCCGACGCCGAGCTGGGGGCATTCGTGGCAGATTACATGAAGGACAAATATCACAGAGTAAAAGATGACACTTTGGAACTCATAGAGGAAACAATTAACGGAATCATAGGCTTTATTCGTGGAGACAGAAAACAGTCTGAAGACGAGGCTCCCTTACAGAGCCGACCAGAAGAGTCTCAGAGCGAAGAAGCCAAACTTGCCTCTCTAGATTCTATGGATGATATTGGAGGTGACGATGATAGGAATGGTGGAGAAGCAGATCATCTTGTCAAGACTGGTTCCAGGGAGAACCTGTCAGACTTAATGTGTGAAAGTGTATCGCTCAGTGACCTTAAGGAAGCGATTCTTCAGATTGGCCGTGAAATGCGCCAATCCGTGACGTCACTCACTTCAGCTGTCAGTAATTCATCGTTGTACGAAAAAACCTCGAAAAAAGCTGTTCATTGGCTGGATGAGGAAGGAGAATCATTGAACTGTGACAATCGAACCTCGTCATATTTCTTTTCTCTTGGTAGCTACCTCGAAGACATCTGGCAAAAAGAGGAAGAGAGGAGAAAGAGAACTAAGAAAAGTCGGCCGAAAGGTCATCGTCATCGTGGTTACAAACGGCGGCACAGACCTACTCGCCAGGAGATTTACATGACAAAAAATGTACAGTAACCAGTAAAACAGAGAGTTATTAATATTTAAAGACACATCTGAGTTATGAAGACATTAACAAAGAACCCTTAAAAACAACAATTGTCAAGGAGATGGCTGAGGTATAATTTTCCTCGAGCCCTTTAAAATTTCCTTGAAGGTCATCTGCTCCTGCAAATATCGTAGTCGGGAATCTTCTTTTTCTAGAACCTTCATTCACTTTTCGCTTTTGTCTTTTATTCTCATCTACATTCCCAGGAAAAACTCGACAATGGTAAAATTTGCTGATTCAGTTGCGGCCCAAATAGTTCTGAAACCACTCAACACCTGATCAAGACATTAAAACAGTTCATTCAAAAATCTGTCGTGATACATAAGTTAAAAAAAGAATCCTTGAAAAGAACTATTGTTAATATGAGAGGAGTGAAAAAATAGAAGTTTTGTATTGAGTCTGGTCATACCTACGAGTAGACGATACCATGTTGATACAACTCAGCGATATATAATATATATAAACTATAAAATATACGCAGTTCTTTGACCAAACTATATTACAAAAAGTGATCATTTTGCGTGTATGGAGACGCTGTCACTTCTTAGTCTCGTACCCAGACCTTCCACGTCCAAGCGGTTCTGCATTTTAGTTACTTGCTAGGATCTGGGTACAAGATTACTTGCTTCTTAGGGGGTTATAGGTTATAGAGACCTCAAACATTTTCAAGGGGGGAGGGAGGCTCCGATTTTTTTTACCTCAGATTAAGCGAAGCAATATCTCAAGTTACTTTAATTTCAAAGCTGCTGGTGAAATAATGAGATGCGTCCTTGCCGTTGCAAGAATTTTGGTTTCAGACAAGCAGTAATAATAAAATGAAAACGCACAAGTCTTCTTTTTTTGTAGGGGGTAGGGGGCTGTTCTGGATCTTTTCCGAACCCCCCCCCCCCGATCTGTCACTGGATAAGGTTGTGGGTTACTCCGCCGTCATGTAAAGTCGCTAACATCCTCGGTTAACAAGGATACTTCACTTTTTGCCGTTAGTTGTTGTTGATGTTCTCTTTCATGAAAAAGGACTATCGAGGCCTTCTAAGAAATTGTAAAAGCTTGAATTTTTGGTGTTTACAATCAGTCGATACAGCATGATCTTATCGTCAACAAGGAATACTTCATCGCCAGCTTGGTTACCTCTATTTTTACAGTACTCAGATTGCAATCAAATGTAGTTTGATGGTCCGGGTGAGTGTAGTCCTGAGAAGGACAGTTGTCGGTAGTGGTGACTGACGTTTCGACAACCTGAGCGGAAGTCACCATCAGAGTCAAGGGCAGAGTCATCATCTTGACTCTGATGGTGACTTCCGCTCAGGTTGTCGAAACGTCAGTCACCACTACCGACAACAGTCCTTCCCAGGACTACACTCACCCGGACGATCAAACTACACTATTACATCTTGTATATTTGCATATGGGGTAGAAAAACATACCGATTTTTATGGAAATGGAGACCTATTTCAATGGAGAGCTATTTTGAGAAAAACGTTACCGAACATCGTTAGGATGTGAAATACAGGTAAGGGATACGATAATTACATTTTTATAAACGTTGGTTAAGGGGGGATTGGTTTCAAAGGTCGTTTCATTCTAAAGTGTCCGAGTCTGAATACACATTTTGTATGTGTCCTTTAATCTACATTTTATGTAACTGTTATTATCGTTACAATTAATTTTTTTGCCTTCGTGTACCCTATAAGACTTATGACCTCGCACAGTCTTACTCCGCCCACGCTTCTCTCGTTTGGTTAAGTCAGTCTGGCATTTCTTGCTTATTGTCTCCAGAAACTGGTTTATTTGAGGAAAAAAAAAACAACAAAATCAGTCACTAGCAATGAAAAAAGGCTTCAAATCCTATGCAACTAGAATCAAACACATCTTATTTCAATCTGCACAACAGTCAGCTTTAAAGTGGTTGCCAGGTCAAATAATATACCCACCCTGTGCACCAAAACTAGGAATTTCTCCTATTTCTTCAGGAATTTCAAAATCTTCATGTATTCCTGAAAGTTAAAAGCATCACCAGGAAACGAATATTGAATAATTAATACTTGGGACTATCAATTCAGTAAACACTTCAGCTTAAACTGTAAAGTAAAAGTCATACGACTAAGACATATTCAAATTACGTAAATGTGCACTGTATTCCTGATCATGGGTCAGTGGATTACAAATAATACTGAATAAGCGTCAATATCTTTAGACATGTCACTTAAAATGAAAATCGACGACCTTTGTATCGTCATAGAATCATCACAACCAATTTTGTAGCGAAAAAAAATCACTTAACAAGTACACACACCTTCAACTCGGCTACAAGAAGCTGAACGAACGGATGTTTTTTTTAAGTGAGCACTTATGTCCTTTAAATGTATGTGAGGTGAAGTCTTTTCTTTGTAACCAATCCTTTGGAGACGCTAATATACCAATCTTATAGCCACATTTTGGGATCCTCTGTGTAATTCAAGATGGCGGCTCTAATGTTGATTTTTTTCAGGTGAAAGCCAACGTCGATCTAAAAAGCTGAAAGTCTCGAAACTTCTAACCTCTTACCACAAAACTACTTACCGCGGTTTGACTTTAGGGGTGAACACACCAAACGTGGATCTCGTGCGGTGTACTCCACGGTCGTGTGGTAACGTGAAAGACTGGTGACTAGGAAAACAATTTTAGCCATGATGGAAGGCAAAAATGAATTTGGCGCGAGAATGGTGGTGTTTGAAATTGTGGAAAGGGACTTATAATCGACAATAGAAAATCAGATCTGTGTCAGAAAGATAAGGAATTTCTTATGATGATCAGTTCTGTCAAAGTAGAGAAGTTTGAGCCTTTCGGTAAAGCTTTCTGTTCCCGGCACCCATTTGCGGCTCTTCCCAAGACTAGCCATAAACGATCGATCCTTGAGAGCGAAATCGAACCGGTAAGTCAGCCTATATCGCCAAAAGCACCTATTGAACGACTTTTAAAAAGAGAAATGAACGATGGTTTGAGATGGTGTGGCTCCTTAGCTTGGAGATCAACCCAGTAAATGATCGACAAGTTCACCTGAAATTGATTAGCTTCTTGCAATTGATGACATCCTCGCTCAATCATGTGTATGTACATTGTAAGTTTCCGCTTCCCCCTAGAACACGAGCTGTTTTTTATTCTTTTATCGATTCGGTTTATGTGTGTAACTTTTCCTGTGTGTAAGTGCAATTATAGTTTCCATGGAACGAAATTTTGTCTGTCATGATCATTTGTGATCGCTTACGCAATTGAGTAAAGAGAGGTGACTTCTTAAGGGTATTAAAGTTTTCCTCGACAAATTGGTGCATATGTCAGTCTTATAAATGAAATCCTCTCCAGATGTCGAATTGACTTAAATGGAAAATTTATAGAGATTTCAACCTGTAGAGATTTTAAATCGGGAGATGTTTATTATTGCAACAGCCCCAACTATTATTCATTCTATTTATTTTACCCATGTCCCGTCAATGGCAGTGCCCCCCCCTTCCCCCACCCCACCTCTCCAACAAGAAATCTTAATTATTAAGGAGTATGTATGAGACTATTCCTTTGATAATCTTGCAAGGGACTGTATTCAAGACTCAAGCGTTAAGCATTTGATCAAACTGGGGAGGGGGGAATTTTTCAACAGGATCAGTTATTAGTGACCCAATTTAATCACCAGCAGGACAGGGTGTATACCATGCTTTAAATTGGACAATATCGCTCAAAAGATGTGTCCTACTTTTGCTTAATATGGTTGTTTATCACTTGATTTATTTCATGGCAAAGTGGATACCACTCAGTTCTGTTTCCGTGAGTAGTAAACTCATTGCAGGTTGTGTTTTTTGAAACCTAAAATCGTCCATTGTAATATCATCACTCTTTTTCACCAGACTTGCAAATGGGTTTTGAGGTCCACAAAAGATCACCCAGAGTGCTATGAGGAGGTACACTATATATATATATATTTCTTTTTTTTAAATTCCATAAACATTTATTGAAGAAACATTTGTCCAGAACTAAACTTACATTACATTACTCTACTTACATTTCACAACATCACTCTATTACATTACTGTACTTATTGGATTAATCACTAGTGCTTATTTCTTACTTATATTAACAGTCACTTACTAACAGTCACCTACAGCATAGTGCTACTTGCATTACATTACTAAACAGAACATGACTTACAGTACATTACAATACAAAACTCGCAATTCACTAGTTAAGCTCACTTGCCTACTTATAATTACTTGAAGTACTTTACAAAAAAGGTACACAGTATGTGTTCTGTTTGCATTATGATTGCTGTATGTCAAGTAATGTCAGAAGTGATTAGTATGAAACTTCTCATAATATCCTTGCATTATCTAACAAACAGGTAATAAGAAACTAAAACTTATTAGGTAGGTGTTATCCTGATCTAATACCAAATTCTTACTATTGATTTACAAGAAAATGTATAGCAGCTGGAGGAGAGAATTAACAATCAGATCTTGGGAGTTAAAAGGTTAACTCCCAAGATCTGATTGTTAATTCTCCCCTCGCTGCTACACATTTCCTTGTAAATTATTTATGAGAACTTGGTGCTAGATCAAGATAACAGCCTCTACCTGATAGGTTTGAATATTCTCATCACCTGTTTGCTGAATAATGTATGGATATTGTAGGGAGAAGTTTTATGTTAATCACTTCTGGGAGTTAAATGGTTAAGATAGGGTACAAATTATGAAGGGGGACTCATTTATGATTGAGAAGGCTCTTGATAGTGGAATGGTCCCTCTTTGAATTTTTTATACTGTGGAAGTTTCTAAGTATAATTAGTTATCATTACAACTAGAACCTTAAGTCATTGTTCTGGCTTGGATATAGCTGACAGGCATGTTATTGATTCACGATAAGAGGAAACTATTATTATAATTTTTCCCAATTATGTAGAGGAAATTTTCATTGTTGCTTTGATTTCAGTTATTTATGCAAGGTAACACCGTTGTTTGGAGTGTTGGAAAGTCTCAGGTAGTGAGGACAGTACAGAAATGTTATTCAGCCATGTCTCTGATAGTAGATTGTTTGTGGTGCACATTTAGCCTTCCATCTGAATATTGCAACAGAGGAGAGAATCAAGTTTCATCTGGTTTGGTTCATTATTTTATTTCTTTAGCTGTCATGCTGGTGAAATTGTTTTGAACATGGATTGTAAATGAAATTGTTTGGCACATGTATTTTACCCTTAACCCTTTCACTCCCAAGATCTGATTAGTAATTCTCCTTACTATCTGCCATACAATTCATATGATGTTAGTTCAGAGAATTTGGTATTGGATCAACTAATAATCCCATGATTAATATTCTTCTCTATTCTCATCACCTGCCTGCTTGATATTGTATTGATATCGTAAGGAGAAATTCTGTCTTGGTCACCTGTGGTAGTGAAAGGGTTAACCTCTCAGAGTGAGTGACCAGCAGTTAATTTCTCCTCACTGTATCATCCTTCAATCAAATATGAACCCTTTACACCCTAACATCATTATGCATATTCCCCATGCTGTCCTCTACACATTTCCTTGGTTTTAACAAGGAGAATTTGTAAAACCATCAAGAGCCATGTTAGTTGCTGATCATTTCCTTTATTCTCATGACTTTAACCCTTTCACTCCCAAGACATTTGATTCAAGGGATAGAATTCTTAAGATGTTAGTTCAAAATTTGAGAAATTAATAATCCCATAACTGAACCTTCTCATCACCTACATGCTTTTGTATTGGGGATTAAAGGGTTAACATTTGGTAAAGAGATATTAGAACATAAAGATAAAGGAAATTGTCACTAACCAAAGAGGCTCTTGACTTAAAATGAATTCTCCTTATCAAAACCACAGAAATATACAGAGAGCAGTGGTGAGAATATGCATACTGATGTTAGGGTATAGAGGGTTAATTTCTTGGACAGCCTGCATGATTTCAGATTGTTTTTGCTGCTTGCGGGGGGTTTAACCCTCTAACTTCCAAGATCTCATTAGTAATTCTCCCTACTGTCTGCTTTAAAATACTTATGATTTAAATTTGGAGAATTTGGTATTGGATCAACTTGTAGTCCCCTAATTGAGTTTTCATCTTTATTCTCCCCACTAGTCGGCTTGATTCTGTGTTGATATTAAAAGGAGAAATTCTGTCTTGGTCACTCGTGGGAATTAAAGGGTTAAAAAATTATATGAGGGGCATTTACTATGTTTTTTAATCATGCAAATGACACACCCAATGAAATTGGAAATGCATTATTGCACATTAATTGTGGGAGGCACTGCAGCCTGAATGTTGGTTTGCTGGGCTCCCAGTCAAAAGGTCCTGCAGACCTGCCTAGATCATTGCATTCACTTATTGTGCCTCTTTTCACCCTAGAGTAGAACATTCCCCATTCTTGTTTTGTTGTTAATCTGCTCTGTGATATTTTACAATTTCTAGGGGAAACATTACATAGCCTTTGTGTTGTCCAGAATGACTGTATTGATGTGCTGACTGAGGATGGTGCTCTATTTACCATAACCCTTCCATTTCCAGTAAGTAATTAATAGTACTAGAAATGTTGTTTCAGGAAAAATATTGTTTAACTTGTGACTTCACAAATCACTAAAACAGGACAAACCATTCAATAAGTTTTAAATGATTCAATGCAGTCTGACCAAAGTCTCTGAAAGGAATTTTCAAAGCACATTAGGGCATAGTTTGCTATGGATGATGTACAATATTAATTTGCAATGATAAAATTCAAATCAGGGTAGATGAATGCATAATTATCAGTGATCCTTGAAAACTGAATCTTCTCAGGCTCTTGCAAGCTAAAAAATTGCCTTAACCATTCAACTCCCAAAAGTGATGAAAAGTAACTTCTCCCTACAATATCCATACACTATCCTGCAAAAAGGTAATGAGAATACTCATATATATTAAGTAGAAGTTGTTATCTTGATCTAACACCAAATTCTCTTAATTTATTTACAAGGAAATGTGTGGCAGGTAGAGGGGAAAATTAACAATTAGATCTAGGGTGTTAAAGGGTTAATGTAAAAAGTCACTCTGTTGTCAATGGATTCATTATTCAAAAAATCAATGGAATTGCAAATTTCTTTGTCAGTGGTGAACTTTAGAAAATCAGATGAAATTGCCTCTCTTAGTCAATTTTTCCACATTAAAATTCTTAAAACAAAACAATAGTAGAGATTTTTGCTGTAAAACATGACATTGTTTAATTAGCTTTGTGTCTTCATTTTGGGACTGAATGACCCACATGTCTTGAATTCTCTGTCCAGGTGAAACAAGTGGTTGCTTTGCAAGAGGGATTGTTGCTTGAGAGAGCAACAGCACCAGGAGAAATCACTGGGCAGAGGAGGTAATTAAGAGGAACTGAATAGTTACTTAAAGTGATGTGATAGTGACAAAATTACAATTTTTTTCCTGGATAGCTAATTATGTCACTGATTGAGGATGTTTTATTTTTTTTTCTAGGGATGTCCCTACAATGTTTAGTGTCCTGCATCCTTTGGATGAACCAAGACCTATCACATCTAAAGTGGAAGGTACTTTCATGCATGTAAATTGTACTTACAATAGAAAATACTTTCAAAATAGCTTCATGTTCAGTGCACTGAATTTGCAATCAAAAAGCCCATCTTTGTATTCTAGAAAGGTCACTATGTTCTTGTGCAGAGAACCTTTAAAGTGGACACTCCCCTCCCAGGAGTAAAAAATGGTAACAATAGTGTCAGTAATTAACAATTACTCACCCGAATTGGAGGTGAATAATGGTGGATATTTACCAAGCCATGAAGTAGCAATTTTGTCTTGTCTGCTGCTAGGAGGTGAATTGTACCTGCTATTCACTTCTGAACGAACCAGTCAGTGAGCATGAAAAGCACTATTCACATGTGTGGTATATACTAATTTCTGATATAAATATAGTGGTCTTATTTTTTCCTTACACAGGGAAGATCTTCTACATCTGTGACCCAGCGGTTAGCGTGGTGTTTTCATGCAGTGATCCTCCACTAGTCATGACATATGACTTTGTCATTGGTTTACATTCAGTATGGCATGTGACCAAAGCAACAGCTCAAGTGAGGCTACATTTCATTACTAACAGTTCCATTTGTTTCTTCAAAGTCTGGATTTTTCTGTATGATTTTGAACACTTCCTTTGGTTTTAAGAGACCCATTTTCTTTGTCCTGATTTTCATTTGCACCACTGCTCCTTCAAACCTGTGATAAGCGTGTTAATAATGACTACTGGAGAAGAAAAATCTTCAAATGAAAGTGACCTACATTCCCAGATAAACAATGTAATTAAGGTGGGGGGGGGGAGAAACTGTGGTGCTGCATCAGTAGGGGAGTATGAATAGATAATTTTGGTTGTATCAACTGAGTTGATTAAATGTTAATTGGCCACCGTAAAGAGTTGCAAAGCTGATGTTTTGAGCATTAGACCTTCCTCATAGTGAACTTGGGACACTTCTCCAGAGCAACATCTATCATATTTTTTTGTCTTTCTGCCCTCCTACAATCATTGCAAAGGGCAGTGAAGGCAACCTCTCCCTCTTTGTTATCTGTTATTTAGGTGTTGTCAAACTTGCCTTTTGTGTAACCTTAGTTTCAAAAAAATCTATTAATATAGGATCTTGAACTGTCAGTTTCATGCTTACTCTTCTCTCCTACTGAAATACTCAAGGAGTTGCCTCCTTCCACATATTTCATTTTAAGCATGATGTGCCAACCAACTTTTTGAGAAAACAATCTACTTATATAAATCTCTGGCAATGCATGTTTTTCTCAACTAAACAACAATGCTTTGCTATTTTTATAGGACTGCCCAGAATCTCCAACACATGTAGAGTACCCTTCAGAATTACATTTTAGCAACATTTTTCATCATCCTACTCCATTGCTATCAGCTGGTGCTCACTCTCGATTATCTGTAGCCACTCCTACCCAGTCCTTCTCTCCATTCAACCCTTTCACTCCGACATCAGCTGTCAAAGCTCATTCTCGTGTCCAGTCTCCTGCACCAGCTCATTTGTTATCATCTGCTTGGAGTCAGAGATCTTTAAACATGACAATATCTCCTGCGGTTGGTAAGTTATGACCATCTGTCTTGTTTTTTTCAGCATTCATGCTTTGAATAATTCTTCAACCTTCTTGAAACCTTACTCTCCAAAATCAAACTAGAAATATGGTTCTTGAATCTTGGATAAACAAGACTTTAAACTCAATCCTTGATACCTGAAACTGCTCACACCTTTAGTTAGTAGCACAGGAATTTAAATGGGCATGAGTGAACATTTAGAAAAAAAGAGAAATGGTGGGGGGGGGGGAAGGAAGGGGATAGCCTTATAATTTAGGGGGAGTAGTAGTAGTCATTCATGTTGACCCTTTAACTCCCATGAGTGACCAGGACAGAATTTCTCCTCACAATATCAATTCAATATCAACCAGATAAGTGTTGAGAATAAAAAAAATATCAATTTGGGGATAATAAGTTGATCTAATACTTAATTCCCTGAACCAATATTAGAAGAAATGTATGGTGAACAGTAAGGAGAATTACAAATTTGATCTTGGGATTAAAGGGTTAAGGTAACTGGCAGGGATAAGCTCTGGCTGCGTGGGCCACTGGGCTCAAGTTCTGACTTTTTTGATTTTCTTTTTGAAAGTCTGTATTATCTACTTAAGCTGCATGGCCCATCCGGCCCAAGCTTATCCTCTGGGAAAGGGAGTATTGCCACTCTCCCCTGGGTGGGGTACTAGTCCATCAAGGCTTACCCCTATAGCATTTTGACAGATTTTCTCAACAGTTTGCCAATAGCCATTTATACTCTGTGGTGGAGAAAAGGACTGTCAGAGTAGATTGAGTGTTTTGAACACAACAAATGTTGTGGCTAGGACACAAGCATAGACTTCTCAACCCACAGGCAAGCATGCTAACCATTCAGAGACTATCTCCCACACTGAGGAGTGGTAATACCCCTAATTCCTTCATGCAGAAGAAAGTAAAGCAACCTCTGATGGTAAAAGGCTAGCAGACTTGAAAGACTTAACTTTAACTTTTGTTTTGTAGATTCTCCAGTAAGGGTAGGACTGAGGTCGCCTGTTCCTTTCTTTTCCCCACCCATGTCATGCTTTTCAAGCAAAGAAGAATCATCCTGGGACAGCTTTCAGCCATTGTCCCCAGATGTTTGCCTTACCCAGGTTTGGCAAGAAACACAAGTGGCTGTCAGGTATAATACTCTTAATATACTCTTTTTGGATTGGGATTTGAATCAGTAAGTTGTGCTTTTTTGGGAGCAGCGAGTGATCTCAAAAGGAAAGCATTGGGACTTTTCAATAGGTTTCATGCATCTGGTGCAGAGTCCACTGACTGTGCATCAATATTAATCTGTTTTCAATTGTTAAACTTTTAGTCACATATAAGTCTGAAAATTGTGCCCCAATTAAAGAGAGATTTAAAGTTATTTTGAGAATGCCAATTTTACCTTATCCTGTTTTCATTCTAGATATGGTACAAAAGGGAAAGCTTCCAAAGCATTCTTAACAAAAGACAAATCTGGTGCCACATTTCTTTGTTACCTTCTTGGGCAGTTAGAAAAATTAAGGTAATGGCTCTTGTTCAGTGAAACTTATCACTTATTTACACACTCTCATGGAGAATTTGGAATTTTAATAAATACATGAATCTACGAAAGTTAAGATCAATATTACAGGTATGTGTTTCCACTAAATATGCAGAACTGAAAAATATTGGACCATAACCTATTCAATGTCTTCTGAAGTTCAGTTAAAAGTGGCTTCACTGTGTCAAATTAAGCTTAAAGGTGATGAAATCACTGATCCAAGTCATTTTCATCAGCATTTTCATCAGTATGTATATACTTTAGTTTGAATCATTTGTGTCCCCTCTTTTGCAGAGGGGTTCAGGTTATTCAGGAGAGGAACAGTATAGATTTGAACAATACATTTGAGATTCCTGCTAAGGATGCTGTTCCAGTTGAGGTAACAGTGTAAAGTAAATGGGGTTGTTCACATTTTCCTTCTTGCATGTCTGCCGTCAATTTAGCACTAAACAGCAAACAGCTAAGTCCTTACTCACTGTACTATTAATAAGTTATAAGGTAAGAACCAATCATAATAGGTCTATAATTCAGTTTATCACCTACATTACAAGTGGTGATGTTGTAAAACAAGTGATAGTACCCTCTGTTATGTTTAACTTTCTAAAGTTTATCAGTGGTATTTTGTTTCTCATTTATAGAAATTAAATGTGATGCTTGTTCTGGAGCCAAATTATTCACTAGTCATTTACAGTGGAATGATCAAGGTACTGAAAGAATGGTTTGTTTGAATTTTAGATAAGTGACGTAATTTGGTGTTATCAACTGAGCTGATATGTAATTTGGCCATAGTAAAGGGTTTGAAAGCTGGCGTTTTGAGTGTTAGCCCTTTGTAAGGGCAAAAGACACAGGGTTAATGCTCAAAACTTCAGCTTTTCAACTCTTGACAGTGGTCAATTTATGATATAAACTCAGTTGATAATACCGATTTACCCCGTTATACTCTCCCACTGACACAGCACCACAGTTTCTCTTGAAACTCACCCCCTTTATAATAATAATAATGATAATAATAATAATAATAATGATGATGATGATAATAAGAATAATAATAATCAACTTTATCTAACGAGGGTTACGCAAAGCAGTAAATATACTGAAGAACCAGTGGCCCTTAATAAATAGTACAAATTTAAAAATTAATAACATTACATGAAAGCATCAAAGACTAACCATGTAAGGAGTTATTAAAATACAACTATAATATAAAAGTTAAAATTTAAACTATCTTGTATATTAAAACAGCAAAGATAAGGCCAGTTAATAAAATATGAAATTTTAAAATGAAATGACATGATTTAAAATTACATGACAGAAGTCTTTATAACTATTCACAAAATGTTCTAACATGGATTTCTTGAAGCCTATAAGATTCTGTTTGTTTCTGATCTGGCTGGGGATCTTATTCCAGAGGTGAATGGTCGATACTGTGAAGGACCTCCCTCCCTTTGACTCCCATTTGAATTGGGGGCAGACATAAATTGTCCATGTTTGCTCATTCGTTCATTAAGATCTGTATTTCTTTAGTCATTTAGATTATTGATAATATTGACAAAACTGACAGATACATTCTGTAAAACCCATAGGGCTGTCAAGTAAATTTGCCAATTTTGCCATTGTTGGAAGTTGATCAATCATTGCACTTCAATACACCTGAGAAGGTAAAGAGACTATTGATTGCTTTTTAGTTTTTTCAATGTCAGGGATTTTGAGATATTTATATGGACTCTAATGGAAAGGACAATTATCAAGGAGTAGGGGGCAAGAATTCTTAGATGCTGTGGTACCTTTATATCTCTATATTAGTGTAGTAATGCACTTTATGACTGAGTGTCATGAAATCAAAACCAAAGCAATCGCAACAGCCAACAATAAAAATGAGAATATTGGAATATTGTTATAACTCACAGTAAAACCAAGCAAACTGCCCCAAGTGCGGGAAAGAGCAGGTGACTAAGTTTTGAAGCAGTTAGTTTTGGTTTTGAATCTGAAAGTGGCACAAGTTTCTGAAAAACTATGTAACAAAAAAAAGAAGCAAATCCAAAGCAATCCTTCACTCGCAATTGCTCTGTCATCTGGAAGCAAAGTTTCACTGTTTTGGTTATGATTTTTCCACTCATTTTTAGCTGCAAGGCAATGAGAGCAAGGGCATGTGTACTTGCACCCCAATGTCAAAGCCTTGTTTAGTATGTGGTTCTTTATGTTTTCCTGGCCCTGCTATTTTGCCTTTTGGTCATTTTGCTACTTTTTGAGATAATCATCCTTTGTTTGATTCACATTTTCTTGTTCAGAGAATATTTGATTCACATTTTCTTGATTCTATGTCAGTGAATGTTTCACCATCTCAACAGGTTTTGTCATTCTCATCAATTAAGCTGAGCAACAATGAAGTTAACATGGATGGTGAGTTAACAGAAATATGTACAGTGGTTCTGATGACTTTTGATATTGCCTGTAAGTACAGAATTAAATGGTCTTGTTTGCCTTTTTATTGCCATAGATGTGGAAGGTAAATCATCAGTGGGAAATGCATTACAGGATGTGAAAATTTTATCACTGAGAGATCCAGTGTCTGAAACCTGTAATCTGGTAATTAATCACAATATTATACTGATTTTTGATGCTTTAACCAAAAAATTGAAATGATAGTTAGGAAGAAAAAGAGGAGACAGATATTTAGCAATTAGTTTGAATGAGGGAGAAGAGAAAGAGTCTAAATCCTCTGGTTTTTTTTTAATAATAATACTAATAAATTTTACAGTACTCAAGAGTACAATGTAATACAATACATTACTTTCAATACTGCTTACTTGCATTAATGACAATACACTATATCACTACGGCTAATTACATACATTACTTACAGTATTTACAATACTGGTTACTTACACCACTGGCAATTACCTCCATCCTCTATAAGAATTCAAACCATAGAGTCTGACTTGATTTTCTAGTTTGATGCTCTACCAGTCTGAACTTTAGACAACAATGAGGAATTAGTTGCCATTGGTAAATGGCAAGGGTATAGTCACAAAAATTGTACCATTGTGTGTGATAAATTTAACCTCATCTGTCAATTACATAGAGTAACATTCCTGAGCTCTCAAATATACCTGATTAAATAATCAAATAAAGAAAAATTTTGACCTTTTGTAGGTATTGTCAGATGGATCAATATACAGAATTAAACTTCCAATATTGTCCCAAAACTTGGCAGGTTAGTACCAAACTTTTTGTCAAAGTATGCACCAAATCTACTGTGTTGCATTTGACTTCTCTTAAATGCTTCTTTTGTATGCTCAGTTACAGCTTGTTTAGAAGCTTTGAAGTACATTCTTCCTGGGTTGTTGGTGATTCAGGCTCAACTGGCCTGTTATGCAGTGGCCCAAGTCCCTCATTTGCAAGATAGTGAACAAGAATGGAAGTGGTTTACAAAGTGTGTCTTGGAGTTAATGGGGTTTCAAACTGAGGACAAATTTAAGGTAATTAATTGCCTTATTGTGGGGGCATCCATAAGGCGTTGGAGCTAATCTCAGTTGCTCTAGCACGAAGTATTAGAAGTATGGCTACTTCTTCCAAAACCATGTTTCTCTAAAAGTTAAGCCATTTTTTCTTCTGGGTGAAAGGGGTACTGTGAGAGTAGAGAGTCTTGCCAAGAAAATAATAATAATAATGACCTGGCCAGGAAAGCAAGACCCTGACTAAGAGCCTGACACATCAACCATTAAGCTTCCATATCTTACATATCCAGAGTTTTCATAAGAAATTACAACTTGCTAGCTACCTTTGAAAGTAGTCAATACCTGAAAAGGTGAATTTAGGAGAATTTGAGGTAAACTTTACTTTTGATCTTAGAACTACCAGTTTGTCTTTGCCTAGTAATTTTAAAAATATTATTTTGCTCTTTTTTTTTTCTTCAGAGTGACTCACCAGAATTGCCTGCAGCTAAAAAATCAAAAACCCAGGAAGAGGACCAGGTATAAAGAAAATATATAGTTAAAGTGTTACTAAAGTTCTCTTCTCTGATGGGTAGAAGTTAACAGGTACCTCTTAAGTGTACCAATCTGCTTTATGTCTAATCATGTAAACCCTTCTTAGAATGACATCATTTGTGTCTATCTAACACTGTTACTTTCACTCTGACTCATGCTCCCCACTTCTGGAACAAAGTGTCCTTAACTTATGAAAAATAATTCTTAAAGTTAAATTTGAGAGCATTAATGGGAATAAAGTGTTCAGTATCAGAGAAAGTTGAAACAAATTATTCCGGTAGTTCTTTTGAAACTTGAATTTTGAACCTGCCACCATAGAAGATGAAATGACACTTCATGGTTGTCACTTTTGTCTGCATAATACTTTCAGTACTCTTTGAAAAAAAGATATATTGTTTGATCGTAATAATGGCAACTTTATGACATCATAGAATTCAAAATCGTGCTTACTGAGGAATGAAGCACATCAATATTTCTTGTGTTTGTATCCAGTGTTGGTTCATTTTGGTCCTGGCAACTTCTTGCCGTAATGGAAGATTCCTTCTAGCATAAAGATATTAGTACACTCTCTCATGATGAAATCTTTGCATTTCATGTGCATTAAATTGTAGGCTTGGGAAATGTTGACAATGAGTGACTTTCATCAAAACATGTCAAGGCAAGGCATTGGACTGCCACCATTGTTAAACAAAGAGACCCCAGGGGAGGAGAAGCATTCCTTTCCTATGCAGTGAGTGACCATACAACTTTAGACAGTTCTTCTAAGCCAGGGATTTTGCTCGTAACAGCTGACCTTGTGCCCAACAAAGACAAAAACACAACAACGTGTCACCTATTGATATACGTGAAAAAATTACGCTCGTGTGTTTGGCTGGAAACGAGTGCATTTCTCGTGAAACTCGAGTGCAAAGTTGTAACACGAGTGCAAATTACCAAACGCGGACGTGCGCTGGCAAAATTTCGTCCGTCTTGACTCTCTGTGATACGTTTTTCATGTAGATTATTTAAGTACACTGCACTCAGACTGCCTGTGAGCCACAAATTCATAAAGTTTGTGCAGTAAGAGGTCTCAATATGCTCATTTGAAACTAAAAGATCACGTCTAGGTTAAGCATGAAGTTCCCACAAGATCTATTTGATTAGTATGTGTATTAGTATGTGTATTAGTATGTGTATTAGTGATGAGCAGGTATTGGCATCTATTGGATTAATATGTTGAGCAAAGAGAGCGTTGGGGAAATCCTTGATGGCCTGTTTCAGAAGCACATTGTATCAGTTGGACCGTAGTATTTTGTAACTTTGTAAATACTGACTGCAGACAAGCTTAAATGATATATATTTTGTTTTTTTCACAAATCAGTGAAGGAACATCTGTTCAGATTAAATAAATAAACATGTTTATTTCTACCTACTTAGAATTAAAAAAGATGCCCTTCTTCATAACCACATTTCCTCCATATTGTTTGCGTGGCATTTGATTTATGAGGTATTTTTGACTTGTTAGACTTGGAATTTACATTAATATTTTGTCATTGCCTAAAATTTACTTTTAAATTTTTTCCTCACTTTGTAGGACCTCAAATTAAATATTCTGGGGAAGGATTCCCTGTGTCCTATGGCTCAGTTTCTTTGTGACCTTGCATTGTGAGTTATTAGTCCTAATCAAACATTAATTTAAGTCCTTTTAATTTCGATTTTCATTTTCTATTTCTGTCCTCTCAAAAGCAGCCAAAAATGACTTTGATAGTTTTGCACGGGACTGACTGTTATAAGTCCTAAATCAATACATTAATTTAAGTCCTTTTTCAATTTCCCGAAGATGATTTAATGTGGTAGAGTTTTATTCTTCAGACCTTTTTTCTGACAAGTTGTTCTTTCAATCAAGAAACCTGTAGGAACATTTGTGGTGATAAGCTTTACGTGTACTTGATATTGCAGAGCTCTTGGTTGGCATGCTTATGTTGAATATTACTGCAGGGACTTTCCTTCTCTTTTCCTTGGTTCACGGGATAGTCCTGCCCATATCACAAGAGGTAAAACGCTTCACGAGCCTGCGAATAGTGTTTCATACTTAGAGAAATTATGAAATAATATTCATAGGTTTGTGTAACATGCAAGATAACAGATAGTGTTGGGAAAAATATCAAAAAGCAACATAGCACATATCTGCACTTTAATGTGATAACGTAACAACATACTGGGTCATCTTGCATCTTTGATGAATGTGCACAACTAACTTTGATGACGTAGTCGAAATCTCACAGGTTTACGACTTGCTCAGAATACCATCGAAGGTTATGTTAGATTAGTGCGATTTCTCATCAGTGGAGGAAAGCGTTGAAACGTGTAACCAAGTCATCATTGAAATAATCAGTTAAAGAGAGGGTTGTCGAGTCGCATTATAACAATTGCTTCTTGCGCGAACGGGCCTATGGACAAACGTTAGGTGAAGCATGACTAAATTTTCTCGACTTGATGGGTTACCACATCGTTAGAGGTATGGTGCTTCGCCGTGCGCGCCATGAGTTCCGCTATCTTGAGATGAGATGTGTGTGGCCATCCCAACTAATATGATCGAGAATTCTTTTATTCCAAACGCTGATTTTTTTATGGTATTGTTACAGACCAACAGAGTGAGATGTTTCTTCCTCTGTGTGAGAAGCCTCCCAGTATAATCCAATGGCTGTATAACTTTCTTAATGGACACCCGGTAAGAGAGAGATGACACCGAAACGTTGTGGAATGAATCTTTCGTTCTTACGGACAAGACAATTGAAAATGAAACTGACGTTCTTCTGCTTCAAACACCAGGTTGAACCTTTTCCTGTGCTACCAAGAACTACCAAGCACACGTATAATATCATTATGGTGAGGATGGTTGATCTCTTCTTTAATGGTCGAATGATCATCATAGCTACCTGATAAAAGCTTACATAACTTTGAACAGGATCCAATAACTCATTTATCTTTAGCAATGCACCCACTGCACTGTTACCACAGGAAGATCTTAGGCTATATCCAATTTAAGCTTGATTTAATCTCAAGCTTTACTTTCATCTAACTTTCTACCGTATACTGTATTCATTTCATATAATTTTTTTGCGCAGTTTTTTTTGCTCCTTAATGTTGTTATTTGTTTTGCTTTATTTATGTCAAAGCTGTACTCACTTTTCAACAACATAGAAGACAAAAACAACCTTGAAGATGATGCAGACAAATTGTTCAAATGTATCAGCTATTCAGGTATCTTCTTACAATCTCGTTATTGTAGCATAACTAAAATATTTGTTTTAACGGCGAGAAGAACGCTATGCTCTTGATAAATCTCTATCCGGTAGAAAGCGCATCACGGTTTGATTTCACTTACGCAAATGGGCCTTGATCTTTACTTTTGAAAGGATAACTTTAAAAGTGTAGGCTTTGACAAAATTTCATCGCCCATTAATTGACCATCTACTCGGATAGATAAGGATGTTAAAATTTACAACTTTTGACCTTCCTTCCTGTAGAAGAGGTGATTGCCACTTTCAAGGAATCATTTGTAACCACACAGGAGAAGCTTAGGTGGTAAGATTAAAATGCGATCTTTGCTTATTACAGGCAGAATTATATTGCACGTGCAAAGGTGCAGTAAGATTGACGAGTAACTTTTCTTGGGTTTTGTTTTTTAAAACCCTAACTTTAGGAAGTAATTGAAGGAGAAGAAGAGCCAGCTTATGAAATGTCCACTGCTCTATTCCTTTTATTATTATTATAAATATTAATATTATTATTATTATTATTATCATTATTATCACTATCATTACTATTACTATTATTGTAATTATTATCACTAACTTCGTATATTGGTGGCACATTATCTAATAAACAGGTGTTAAAGGTAGACCATATCATTACAGGGTTTTATTTTGATGAAACACCAAATTCTCTTAGCTTCAGAAGAAAGAAACGTATAACAACCAAAAGGAAGAGTTAGTTATGAGAACCTTTATTTTGTAGTTTTGATTCTGATGCTGATAAAGTGGTCGCATTCCTCGCGAGCAGTGGTAAGGAAACCATCCTTAATTTTAAAAATTATTTTATGGTCTTTTTCTATAGTTTATTTGGATGGGTAAGGTAACCACTGTTTCTGTTACATTTTTTTATCTTCCGTTACCATGTGCAAGACGCGGTGACGTGCGGGTGAAGAAGTCTGGGTTCGAGATCTGGCCGAAACAAATGGCAAATTTCTAGGGAAGCCTGAATGCTGGGGGGGGGAGGGGTTTACACTGTGATGGACCAAAATCCCACCAGAGGGGAGTGGTAAGACTCCTATTTGCTTTATGCTAAGGAAACCAGGGTAAGCTGCGTCTGAGTGGGCCAATTAGCGCGAGTGCGGATTTCACTTTTTATCATGGTGTTGCTTGGTGGATAATGTAACCACTGTATTTTATAGAATCTTTTATCGGCCTTTACCATATTTTGGTTTGATGTGTTACTCCCATATTCTTTCATCTACTGTCAGGTTTGACTCGTAAGGACATCGACTGTTTGCCGTTTGGAGTCGCTCTGCCAATCAGAGAAGCTCTCCACCAGTCCGCAGACGACCCACCTCTAACTCTTCCAGCTGGTGCTTACCAGCTCATTGGTAAATAATTATGTCAAGTGGTGCTTTCTATGTGGGGGATAGAGTCACGGCCTTAAATTCGTTTTTAGGGGTGGGGAATGAAAGTTATTACATGTTATTCAGCGAGTCAAGATTTCATTATTTTTTTTCCTACTTTAGGCCGTGAAGATCTTGCCTCCATGCTAATGACAGATGCAAAAAAACTAAATACTTACATCCCTCTGAAGGTATCTGGACACTTTTAGACCAATTGCTGCAGTAACTTTAGATTTTTCCATAGTCATTGAACTTTAAGTCGCAATTTTAACTGAATTTGAATCTTTCTTTTTGGCTTGTTGTTGCTTCTTTGGTGTTCCTCTGTCTATCATGCAAATTTTCTGTAGTTTCCCTTAATCAGAGGGTAATATTGAAAGTTCCTCATTCAACAATTTCCTTAAAATTCTTTGACGCAGCTTCTTTGAGTTAATTTTGTTAGCAAGTTACTTTTTCTTGCAAATTCCTCGCTTTAAAAGAGAGTTAGTGTCATACTTAAGTGCTACAGTAAATTTATGTCTTTTTGTCCTGTAGAAAGCAACACTGAAAGATGGAGAAATAGATGACGGATTTAATATAGATGACGAGGTGAGGATGTTGTGTTTAGCTATGATCTCTGGTATTTTTATGTTTCTCGTACATCATGTGCGAAGAGGACGCGCTGGCCTAGCGGTTAACGCGCTGAACTTCGGGTCAAAACGTCCTGGTTCCAGTTAAGACGAAGCCGAGTTGCTGTGTTCTTGGGCAAAATACTTTATTCTCACAGTGCTTGTCTCCATCCAGGAGTATGAATGGGTACGGGCTTACTGTCTGGGAAAGCGGACGAAATGTAGGGGGGTAACCTTGCGATGGACCAGCATCCCATGTAGGGGGGAGTGGTTATAATTCTAGTCGCTTCATGCTGCAGAAACAGGGATAAACTCCGGCTGGGTGAGTCACTTGGCTCCAGTACAGACTTACATAATTTTTTCTATATTTGAATTCGACTGGCCTTGTTTTACAGATACTCCGCTTACGCTTTGGTAAAGACTTGAGAGTCCAGGAAATGAAAAGACTGCTCCAGTCTTCCAAACCTGTTACAGTGAATGTTCTACAGAAGCCTGATGTCAGGTATGTATGATTGTCGCATATCAACATAACTCTCGATTTTCAATGTCATATTAAACTTTCATATATCAATCTGGCTGCCTTGTGTCATTGTCAGATGTCACAGTCGCGAGTGCTGATGAGTATGAGTGCTGTGTGCCAATTCCACACTTGCCTGTCTAATATGACTTTTGCATGTGTAATATAGAGTTGAAAAGCCGTTTTCATCTGTCCGGTGTGGCTCTGCTAATTTCATTTTGCTATTTATCCTTGACGGCGTAGACATTCTCGGTAATTTAGCCCACGCAGCAGACCCTCTATTCAACCTGATACGAGTGATTCAACTGATACGTGCGAGGGAGAAGTCATGCGCGCAAAGGTCAGAGGGAGATTTTTCCCGGGTGTTTGATCTCTCGCGCGTGTTTTACTGTCGTTCTCGCGGAGTGCCTTCCCCGCAGGCTACTGGGCATTAATCTTCACGACAAACTGCTTCATTCGTATTTCTTCTTAAACAAGTCATTGTGTCTCATTTGGTCTCTGCAATCGTACGCTCAAATTCAAATTGCTTCTTATTCCAGAAACTATCAGGGCAAAAGATTCTCTCAAGAATCCCGGCTCCACGTCGCACTGTCATGACAACATATTCCCGTGTCGTGTTGCCAGGTTTCAATTTCATCTCGTGTGGAGGTCTTTTTATGTTGGATGTGCCAGATTTCCTGGTTTTTTTTCCATTTAATTTTGTTTTAACTATGAAGAGCTGAACGCAAAATAGATCGCTAAACATGGCACTTATCTTAGGACTGGGTAAGAGACCACAGCCTCAGTCAAATACACTAATAGTGGCACGATTCAATTTCATTTTCAGTGACCATGATTTTATTCAGGAACAAGAAAATCGTTTACTTTTGATGTGCAAGAGAACCATGGCGTTACCCGTCGGAAGGTGTGGAAAATTTTTGCTCGTCGTATTTTGTCTTATCTGTGACCTGCGTTGAGTTATTTGTGAAAAAAGCGGTGACGTAATGTTTAGTGCGTTAGAATTCGAAGGTATCGCCGTAGGATCGTTGTGTTCACATGAAATCTGTTTTGTTTTGAAGAGGGATGTTTACAATGGCCACCTCTCGACCAGTACTGACCGAAACTATTCCAATTCCACCACTGGATTTGACAGGACGGGCCCCGCCTAGGTGAGCTGTCTTGTATTAGTAAGTGATAACTGCACTTCGTGTCGTGTAATTTCAGTCTAAAATCACAGTTGGGATTTCAAATCAAACTCACGCTATGTGCTCGTTCGGTTTTGAAATCACGCGAATGATTTCAGCAATTGCTTAGAGCTACCAAAGACCAAATTGCACTCCACTCAGTTCAATTATCATTATAAATTCTAGGAATACCACGGTTGGTTTGGAACACGTGGAAACTCCAACAGACATGAAGATGTGGCCGCTATTCCATAACGGAGTAGCTACGGGACTCAGGATTGCGCAAGGAATATCACAGGTGTGAAGACCGACAGTAGTTGTCTTTATTTAGTTCGAACAGGACGGATCAGTGTGCCAATTGGAAGAGTACGTGATACGTAACTGGTTCATTCTTCTAGAATTGAGCCTGACCTCTCAGCATATAGCTAACCCTAAAAGTGACCAGCATTTAATTTCTCCTAACAGCGCTACTGCTTAATCAGTCATTGAGATCGTGATAACGAGGAAATGATCAGCAACCTAAGAAGCTTTTGATTGTTAAGTGAATTCTCCTTGTCAGTCTCAAATAAAATGTATAGAGAAGAGTATAGAGAATATGGATACTGATGTTAGGCTACTAAGGGTTAAAGGCAGTACGGTGTCTCCTGCTCGGGGATATTTGACCGCGTCACAGTTTGTTAGTGCACTTTTACATCCTCAGGAAGAGGATGCATTTGAATTTGTAAAATGAAATCTCTTGCTCAAAAATACAAAATAGCGAACCAGATCTGGTATTATGTTTCAAAATTGAAACAATGCGCTAGTGTCTTACGAGTTAACAAGATCGTGAAATAAGAGTCGGAAATTCTGAGAATTATTTTGCATATCTTTTGCGTCGACCTTACTCTTATTGGACCCATTACGGCCAAGAGGAGGCTTGATTCAAACGGGTCAGGGGGAGAATAGATTTGCTGTCACAATTTACTACAATTACTTGAATCGTCGTTACTGAATTCCCTCAGAAAAGTTTCGTATAAGTATCTGTTGCCTTCACTTCTTCCGGGATATACAGATATCCAATCCAACCACATTCCAAAGTCTTGATGAAGGAAATTTGTTCAATTCCTTTTTATTCTTTATGTGCTTTAACAGATCGACAGTACCTGGATCGTTTACAACAAACCTAAAACCAATCAACAATCAGAAGAACATGCTGGTTTCCTTATGGCTCTTGGACTCAATGGCCACCTTAAAAATTTGTCTCACATGAACCTACATGACTATTTGTGTAAGGTGAGAACTTATAAGATACTGTAAGTAACAACATCACTTCATGTCACACACAATAAACCTACTGGACTGCTTGTGAAAGGTAAGACCTGGTAAGGCACAACAGGTAAAGACACAAATTGCTGTCCTGCGACAAATGCAGGTACTGCGATTGCCAGACAGAATGTCCGTATTAAGCCCTCTCTTTATGAATTTCGAGAATGGAGCGCAGATTAGCAGACAGACTTTAAAGCCTCGTCCAAACGGTCATGATTGTTGGTGATAGTTTCAACTATCATCAACTATCATGTAGTTTGGACAAGTTCGAATTCGACATGATACTTGATGATAGTTTTTGCCGTTTGAACGAGCGGATGATAGTGGGTGATAATTTTTCGGTCAGCAGTTTGGCCAACAACGGGTTCAAACCGAAATGGCAAATGGTAAAATGACTAAAGTAGCCGTCAAAATTTCACAGAATGTCACGTAGTTTATTCTCATCCTCTCCTGGTAGGCTTCAGTATCTTTAAATCGCAACTTTTGACTGAAATTTCAAATGCCACCGAAATGACAGACCTCAACGCACGCCACATTTGTTTAATGAGGAAGGATCTAAAGGGAAAACTCCAAATTCTTACGCATCTTTCCAAATAGAATTACAAATATAACATGATGCTGAACAACGAGATATCATCATCGAGTAGACGTCGTCACCAGATTATGCGCGAGGTCGTCTGCCAGTCAAATGTGCAAGTTACTTACTACCCTACCTGGCTAGAAATTATTTCCAAGACTGCCCTAATCTGGACGATGACACTATACGGCTTCATTTAAACCATTTAATAATAGAATAATTATAGAAGAATAGAAGAATTTGTTGCTGGGTTGGTAATTTAATGTGTACTTTCTTTTCTCCACAAGGGACACGAACTTACAACCGTCGCGCTTTTGCTTGGAACGGCAGCTGCTAAGTAAGTAGTCCATCCTACTGCAAATTATTTCGAAACCTGTGCGTAGTTTAATGAATGTTATATTTGGTCTGCAGGCGAGGAACAATGGACGTGACCATTACTAAAATGCTGAGCATTCATATCGACGCCCTATTGCCTCCAACATCAGCAGAGCTTGATCTGCATCATTCAGCACAGGTAGCCGCCATATTAGGAGTGGGTCTATTATACCAAGGCACCGCACAGAGACGAATGGCAGAGGTGCTTCTTTCTGAGATAGGTGACGAACTGATGGATTTTACTCATTTTTTCAATTCAATGGTGAAGTCTGTTCCTTAGATAAATGAGGGCGACGTTCCTATGATGAAATGCATGTTTACTTAGTTAGATCGTGTCGGATGGGAAAAAATTTGGCTCTCAGTCATGAGGCACGTATCATGCTGTGCTCGGTCCGCGCGTCATGACCCAAAGCCAAATGTTATCTTGTTCGGTCCTCTCACTCAGTCAATAACTATATAATATATTTTACTTTAGTCAATTTTTGATTTGCTTCTAACAAAATCTCGCTCTAAAGGTAGACCACCCGGTCCTGAAATGGAAAATGCTGTGAATAGAGAATCTTATTCTCTTGCTGCTGGTCTGGCTCTGGGACTTGTCATGTTGGAGGTATTTCATCTGCTTTCTATTCAGTTAGGTTATGAGACACGAGGACGTAGTTGTGTAAAGCATTTTTCTGGTTGATGGTTTGAACTTATGCCCAATCCACTAGTTATTTAGGATAATTTGGTTTTATCAACTGGGTTGGTAGCTTTAGAAACTCTTCAAGGCAAATTTACATTAGCAACTCAGTTGATAAGACCAAATCAGAAGGTCTGAGGTACGATGCCTTACAGGGGCTCAAAATTGTTTCTTCGTCCTACACTCGTGATGAGATGAAAGTGCACATATTTCTAAACTTTTGAAATGTTTGTATGTGTCTTCAGCACGGGAACGAAGCAGCCAGTGTGGTGGACCTTAAGATCGCCGACCAGTTGTATCACTACATGGTCGGTGGACAAACCAAACCTCAGGTCAGCTTAGTAAAATGATACCTATTGTTGTAAAGAAATGGGTTAGACTGATTTTATTATGAATTTAGCTTACTTTTGTTTTTTAAACATATTAATTTATGAAAAGTTAACAACCTCTTGTTATGTATTCAAGATTTCAGTGTACCTTTCCTGTTTTACTTTTTTTTAAGAAAGTTGTATCTCTTTTTGTAGTTGTCATTGGGTTTGTTTGTTGTTTGTTTTTTACATCTATTAAACGCAGATATTCACTTCAACTTCTTTTCTCTCTGAAGACTGGAACGCAAAAAGAGAAGTTCAAGTCTCCAAGCTATCAAATCAAGGTGATTGCACATAATTCATTGTTTTCTTTTTGCAAAGATATCATGAATTAGGTAAAAGGCAGGGCAAAATTTTTCAGACCTAGCGGAGGGATTTGTATCTATCGAGATCGCTCTTATAGGAGCTTCCTTCTCTGATAAGCCCTCGTTTAAAACTTCAAATTTCTAACTCTTTGTAATATTTTTCTTCGTTCTGAATGACCGCTGCAATTAGTTTGGTTTTGGTTTTGGTTTTGGTTTTGGTTTTGGTTTCAGTTTCAGGATACTCATAAGAAAAACGTTCTGTTATCTTTGAAGTAAGTCTTTTTTGTTTTTTGTCACGTAGGAAGGTGATAGCGTGAATATCAATGTGACGGGACCTGGTGCTACTCTTGCTCTAGGACTGATGTTCATGAAGACGAAAAACACGTAAGTTACTATCTAAAAGCTATTTCTCTGAAAAGAATACCGTACATTTTTTATCAATTAGTGCTAAGAATTTGGTGTTAAATCTAGAAAAAAGGTTCCAAAAGTTTCGACCAGCTGGTCGCCAATTTGTCCTAGAACTGAATTTTAATCGCTATGGTCAACTGGGGATTAACTTGTTTTGTCAGTGTTTTAACTCCAAGATGTACAAATATCGTAACAAGATTCCATATCTCGGTTAATGAGAGACACTTCTCTCTTAGATCTGTCGCAGCATGGTTTGACGCTCCCGACACTCAGGTCCTGTTGGATTTTATTCGTCCAGATTTCCTCTTGCTCCGGGTAAGGTGTAATAGCAGAGCTCGCTGTGTATGAAGCGCGCGCGGCGAATCCCTATACATATAAAAAATGTTAGTAACCCATCAATCCGCTAAAATTTGATCGTGTTCGACCGTGCGATCTTACGCTCAAGGTGCTACCTTTAGCACGCACGGCCAACTGCATTGTGCCTTTCACCACTAAGCTCGCCAACACAGTTGTAAAGTCTGAAAACCCTAAAGCTTGATTTCCTAGTGATCGCTGAGATCACTGTTGCTGTAATCGTTAGCATTTCTATGGAGAATGTTTCGATGTGTTAAATCCTTAAGCTTTATCTACCGACAATTGTTATGATGATGAGGAAACTAGGTTCAGATTTATTAGGAGTTGCTTTAAGTTATACTACGAGATGATAAAGCCAAGAGACTGACACTTCGCATATACCTCATTAGAAAGGTAATCTCTTAAGTTATTTTCAGACTCAAGCTATATTGTCTCCCGGAAGTAGTGTGTTTTAGAGGTTCCTGGAATGTTTTGGTGAAGAACAAATACAACTCTTGTGCAAAATGCTCGAAAAAGGATCAGTTACTTCCTCGATTCGCCGAATACGAAAATGAAAGAAAATAGCTTTGTAATGGGAAAAGGAAGGAAATTAAATCCCCAAGGTTAATGCCCTCTCAGTTACAGACAGAAAAAGAGTTTTATCTTCCTATTTCACCATTGACGCTTATAACAATTTTGAAATCTTGTCAGTGGTCTTTGTGGTTTCTTTCTTGTGGTAACAATATTTATTAATTCTTCAGCTTCTTAGTCGAGGTCTGATCATGTGGGATAGCATTCATCCCTCTACAAACTGGGTGGAAAGCCACATTCCTGCGGTAGGTTTGGGAATCACTTCGGCAGGTCTCACGGTACAGAGGTTTAAACGTCATGACAGCTTGTATCAAGAGCATATACCCATGTTTCTTTCTCGAATTTATGTACGGATGTAAGAACTAGAACAGAAGCTAAAAGGCATTAATTGAATTTAGAATGAGAAGAAAGTGAGAGTGGTGGACACTTCAAAAACTGTTCAAATTTTTATCACAGCGAAGAAATTGTTTGCTAACCATTCATATTCGTATTCGTATTCTTCGTACGTATTCTTCCCACAAGGTATGCTGCTGGAAAATATCGTTCTGATCTTGCCGCAAATTAAGTTTGAGCATAAGATTATAATCTCGTGGTTTGACATGTGAAATAGTCTTACATTTGCATCAGCTGCCGAAGTAATCATTTGCACATGTAGAGTTCGCCGTTTGAACAGGTCACATAATTTGCTATTTTAGCTCATGAGGTATATTTATTTATTTATTTATTTATTTTTGCTAGATTGTTCATCAGTGCGATACCACTTCGGCTGAAAGTGAAGCAGCGAACTCAGACATCGACATGGAAAGTCTGAGGTAATTATCTCTTACTTATTACTGTGCTGTGTTTTCGCGAGATTTTTTTCCTCTAGCGAGATATGCGCGAGACTTGAGTTGCTTAAGTTTATGACTTAAGCGAATAGCACGGTCCACCATGAAAAATGCTCTAGCTTTAAATCCAGATGTATTTTGTGCTGTAATCTTTATTCTTAAATCTTTCATTAACTGCTGCAATATTCCTTAAGATGCAGTCCACTTTAAAAGTTCTTGCCCAGGTCGTTAGGTTGTGATACTACACACAAGTCGCAAGAAAAAAAATTCACAATAACGCCAACTGCTCTTTTTTCGATAACCGACGGATGCTGACCTCGTACATTGTCTTTTGAGCCAAGGTGGTGGTATTTTTTGTCCTTTCAGAAGCGTTAAGTCTCTGCTATATCAACTTATCGGTCGCGTAATTAGTATAATTTTGATTCGAGACAAGCAAAATGGGAAACAAGGTTACTTATTCGATCGCTTGTGTAAACACTTTATTCCTCCCTATTTAAAAAACAAGTTCATTGCTAAAAGGTGTGGAAAATGTACCATGTGAACAATGCAATCATTTTTCAGTACGTGAAAAATGATTAGTCAGTTTTTCAGTATTGTTATGACAGGTAACATCATGGCAGTGGTGGCAAATGAATTTCCTGAGCGACTTACAACATTCGACTCCTTAGACTCTGATAGTGACATCTGAACTCCTCTAGACTCTGATAATGACATCGATGGTAATCCGAGACTGCATTGGTTTTCACTTACTTCGCTCTGTGATTTGTCAAGAAATCTCGCGCCACTCTCGCGACAAATCAAATGCAAACCTAAATCACGGCTCCGTCACCCGCGTTTTCCCGCGCTTTAGATAGTTTAGTTTTACTTTCCTCTCTCCTGATTGGACGTTATGATTACTTTGGTTTTGGTTTTACGACATTGAATCGAAAATCGCTCTATCGAAATGAAATGTCAATCACTGTCAGGAACGGTGTTTTTTAAGGAAGATCACACCACACGATATACCTTTTCTACTTAGCCAGACCAATTACTTTGACGAATTATGCGGCGCGTTTCGTTAAATATAAAAATGCTTTCGTTTTTTTCGTTTCATCTAGTCAGGCGAAGATCAATATCATTGCCGGTTGCTGCATGGCCATGGGATTAAGATTTGCTGGTTCCGCTAATCAGGAAGCCTTCAACTGTTTGGTATGTGTAGGAAAAGAACTTACCATCGGCCATTTGCACGATGATGTTATTTGACTACATCTACCAGGATCTGTCAAGTTTTGTTCTTTTGTGCAACAGTTTTGGACGGAAGGGTCCGTAAATATTGCGAGAGGAGGGCAGCAATCTCCTTTTTAATAAGGAGGTAATCATGGAAACTGATAAACAGCCCTTGCCCAGTAGATCTTCATTCACTTTATCTCTCAAAGCCATCATGTTTCCTTTTCATGCCAAACGCTTATACACGATCAAGTTATTTATGTGGTCTAAAACGATGAGACATATCTCTATAAAGCTCAGTTGCTGATTATTTTCAAGTTTTGTGTTATGGTTTATTTTTCAGATGCATTACACCAAATACTGTAAAGATTTGTTGAGCAACAGTGCAGTGGAACAGGTGCTTATCATTCTCAATTCCAAGATCAATATAACAACTGTTGTAATATTAATTCTCTTAAAATGGGAAACGGTAAAAATTTAACTCCCTGCCGCCAGGAACTTGTCATGGAAAGACGTGACACAGCCCTTCATCAGTGACGCGAAGAAATTCCAGCTGGCATAAGTGCAGGGTCTCTGTGTCTCCCTTTCAATTTAGTCGAACTTTACGTGGCCTATGTCTTGGGAGTCTTAAGAGGATTCCTTCCACAGCCTTACTGAATTAAACTTGTTTGATAATTGTTAAAATTACTACCGTGTGATTTGTACTTTTAGGCTGGGAAGCCTACAGTTGAAACGTGCCTCAACACAATCCTCTTATCGCTGGCTATGGTAAGTTTTGTAAAAGTTGCATAGAAACATAGCCACGTGATCGTCTCGGTAGACTTCGGAAATATGCATCCAGGCTTTGGTCAGGGCTCAAACCTGGACCCTTCAATCCTGAGTTCAGAGTGTCAACATTCACCCGCTAAGTGCCCCAAATTCTTGGGGTATTCTGAAAAAAATTATTATAAAAACACTCGAACACTAAGTAAGTCAGTGGTGTAGGTTTTAAAAGAAATTGTGGTGCTGCGTCGGTGGGATGTAACAGGAAAATTTAGTTGTACCAACCGAGTTGATGATGTGAATTGACTACCGAAGGTTGATTCTAGCCCTTCGTCAAATAGCATTTTCTTATTTTGGTCAAAAAATTTCTCTCGGCTCGCAGGTGATGGCGGGAACTGGTAATCTCGATGTGCTTAGGATCGCTCGACAGCTGCGTAAAAGGCATTCCCCAGATGTTCCGTATGGGAGTCACATGGCGGTTCATATGGCAATCGGCCTTTTGTTCTTGGGTGCAGGAAGGTATCAACTGAATTACTTGCTTACTGTTCGGTTTACCTCAAGAACATTTTCCGCAACGTAATTGCAAAACTGAACAATTGCCAATTTAGTGTTGAAAGAAACTCGAGATTGTACATTTCACTTCGCTACCACTGATTGGTCTAGAAAACTCGCGCCACCTCCTCAATCAATCAGATGCAAAACTAAATCCAGCCGTGATTTGATAGTTGGCGTTTCCTCAAGCTTCATGCTGGTGAAAAGAGTTTAATTTGCGCTCTCATTGGCTTGTTGTATTATTTATCTTTGCTCTGATTGGCCAGTGTGTACTTTGGTTTTTTTTGCACTCAGTTAAAAAAGCGCCGTAAAGTTCATTCATTATTGTTATACAGGTTCACTCTGAGTACCGATGGACCTTCCATTGCTGCGTTGATATGCGCCTTCTATCCCAGATTTCCAATCTCAAGCACTGATAACAGGCAAGTTAAAAATACCATAAGCACTGGTAAGTGCTTGAGAGACTAGATTTATGCTGAGGAGCCTTATGACCTGCATCGCTGTAGTTTATTTCGCTTTTTGTATCATAAAGTGGCCAGGGGTGTGGCCAGTCCTCCTAAGATGGACTCATTTCGTCAGCCTTTTCTTTGACGGTTTTGTTGTTACCCAGTTATGACCCTAAGAGAGGCATCGCGATAGCAAGTGTATGGCCCAAGAACACACCAAAATACCCTGCTCAGAGTTCAAATCCGCACCTCTCGACCTTTAATAAGTTAACATTTGTGAAAGATATCTCGTGTGGTGCTATTCCTTGAACAACAGAGGAGTTGAAACAAGTAGGGGGAGCAGGGTGTGACGCTCCACCCTACCCTGAAAGAAGCACTGTAGCATTATATCCAGCTGTGGGAAGGCCATTGTACGAAGGGTAGGATCTAGCTACTGGAGGATTCTGTGGACAAACATTTTCAAGCTGATGCCATAACAGATATTATGTGTTAACAAACTTGTGTTTTCTAAGGACACAACACACTGACCAGGTCAGTCCAAACCCAGACCTCTCGATTAGGGTACTGGCCACTAGGAAGGAGTAAAGTTGCAGTCAGTTTTATGTCCTCTTTATCTACTTCCCAGACTAATTCTCTTTTCGCTTGGTTCTTAGCAAGGAGCACACAGACATACCAAACTTAAATGGTCGAAAACTGTTCTGAATTTTGTAGGTACCACTTGCAGGCGTTCAGACATTTATACGTACTTGCAGCCGAGCCTCGAGTCCTTGTTCCTCGTGAAGTGGATACAAACAAAGCCTGTCATGTTCCTCTTGAAGTCACGCTCAAGGTGAGGCCTTTACTTAGTAAACTACCTTCGATCTATTAAAATTTAGCTGCAATAACGAGGGTTTGTGTATCGAAGCGAAGGGGACGAATAGACAGGCTTGTCCTGTTTCCTTCGTTTCCTGTCAGCTTCGATATCAAACATATTTTCGAATAGTTAGGGACCGGTCATATACCGTCCAGGGAGGGCGTGGGTGGTAGGATTTTTGGGGAAATCACATGGTTTTCGTATAGGAAATACAACCGCATTAAATGTATCTAAAATCTGGTTGTATCATACTGTGTCTCAGATAACATGGCATCTAATTTTGACAACGCTTTTCCATCCACAGTTTTTTAGTTCTTATTTTGTCCTTTTCATGTCTTCCTCAATTTTATTCATATTAAAATTCCCAGAGATCCTAAACTCACTATGTTAACGTTTTTTCAGGAAACGCAGTTTTACCCAGAGACAGTTTTAAAACTCACCGCGCCTTGCATTCTACCAGAACTGCAGCTTATCAGAAAGGTAGGCCGGCAAACACACACTTGAACACACAACTTGTTTGTTAAGGCTACTAGTCTTGACAAGTTACACTGAGCCTATAGAAGGCGTGTACATTCTCTTACGTCTTCAAGGTCAAAGCTAAAAGAACTTGAAGCGTTCTCGGGGAGCGTCAGTTACTTTAAGGGAACCTTTCAGGGTATCTTTGATTTCGAAACTGGGCTTTGTTTAGATCTTTGACTGGGAATAGCTTTGCAAAGAAAAAAATCCACTCTATTTCCTTGTTAAACTGACGTTATTTTTAAGACTATATTCCTCCTTTAGAGTCGCAACAATTTTATACTCATTTGACGTTTTTGCCTCTTTTTCTAGATCTGTGTTTCGGGATTGCGTTATTGGCCAATCACAATCGATTTGACGGAAAGCAAGGACTCTTTTAGGTAAGCCTTTTTCAGAGTAAAACTGTGAAAAGCTCTCTGATTAGTCATTTATAGGGGTTGGAGGAATTTGGTTGTGTCACGATTTACCTAATCCCCCTATGAGGCTACAGTATTCTTTTTATCCCCTTTCCATTGGCCAGAGCCAATTTTCCACAGTCCCTCCTGATTCCCCTCTGTTCTCCCTGAGAACCAGTAGATCTCCCCCAAAACCCTCCCCTCCTCCTTCCGTGATGAATAAGGATTTGTCCCTTAGTCAACTGAAAAGAGGTTGGAATAGTGTTTGTTGTTTGTTCTTATCCTTGCTCTAATAGTTTTAGTGAGTCGACGAAGTACCAATCCGTGGATGTTCAAATTTACTTTTTCATTAATGCTGTTTCCTGGTTTTTTACTGTTGTAGTTGTTATTGTTTTTTTTTTCAGTCTATTAACTGCCAGTCAAGGAACTTTATTTGTGAAAAGAAGAACGGGTTTTTTATCTTATGCCGACGATCCACAGGTACTTAGTGCATAAAATGACTCTTAATTGAAGTATGTCCTCAACAGGCATTCCGTATTTCTTTATCTTACAAAGTTTCATCCAGCCAGGTGTAATTTGATATTTGAAAAAAACCCGACTGGAGAAATATTAATAGTCCCATTCGTACAAGCGTCTCAGCTATGAGCAATGTCGTATCTGACATGATCTGAGCTGCATCTACTAGAAAATCTCTGATGGACTTTAAAATTTGTGGAAAGGTTTATTGTGCAAGCGTTTTGAATTCTCTAGAATTCGTGATAAACAGCAAACGTGTCTGGAGAATTAACTTTGCTGAAACATTGCTATCCTCTCACCAGGGTTATCGAAACATTCTAGCCAAGACATTTTCTGCCCAAACAGACCAGGTAAGAAACTGCTTCGTTGAAACAAAACTATTGATCGCTCTCACGTTAAGATGTGTAGCTCCCACTTTTCTGAAACCTGTTTACATTTACGACTTGGTCTCCTTCCCGTTAAAATTTTAAGAGTATAATTTAAAGCTTATTCATTTTAAAAGGCACTTTAGAATTATTCATACTAAGTCGCTTGTTGTGTTACTTTTCATGATAGTATCCAGCTAAACTGAGGTGTGTTTTAATATTTTAATGGAACTGTGCTGCAAAATCTTTATATTACCGCATCGTATTTGATGGTGATGTGCACTGTACCCTCCGTCTTGGGTACTCAAATTTGCAAAACAAGACATTATGTTTTGATTTTTTTTCTTCTTATATGCCAGATAGAAGTGGTTCGAAGCTTTTCATCAGATCCGAATCTCATAGCGCTGGTGGAATTGTTTGGTGACAAAGATCTCTCAAACGAAAGGGTGAGCGAGGCACTCTGTAGTTTCAACAGAACCATCAACAACGCCACATTTTAAGAAGTGTGAAAAAAATTCTCCCCCCCCTCCATAGCCGGTCTTTCGTTTTGTTGCCCTTAAATTTCGGTTTCCTAATACCCGTTTCTACTCCTGGGTTAATTAGCACTGCTAGCAAAGTATTTTGCCGAAGAAGGGAACTTAAAGACCGACTAACGCTTTACCTGGGGGTTTCCAGAAAAGCATGTTGATGACGGTCTACCGCCGCCCATAAAAACCTCTCACCACTGCTTTCCAGTAAGCTCTTGTGTTTGCACGTCACCTTACGGCTCAGCCGCCCATTACATAATCGGCAGCCGCTTATGGCAACAGTTTTTGACACCCCTTGTCTACCCCAGATCTGTTTACCAAGTGTTCAGAGCGTTCCCCCATAGAGCCAGCATTTCACCTTATTGAGTTATGTACGCTAACTGAATCTGCAAGTAATTGAACCAACTTTCGCAGGCCTTTCGTCAGTTTTGAAGGGTTTTCAATTCCTCTATGTCGCCTTCTTTTTATGCCTTTTAGTTGTGTACATACTCGATTATCGTATGTATTTACTCTTTTACAGGAGAGGAGGTTATGTTCGTTCATTGCATCGACGCTAGTGGAAACTGTTACAGAGGAAAAACCCGAAGTTTTGCAGATATTGTTGCGCATGTGGCAGGTATTGTAGACCGCTATACAGCTCTGTTCTGCAGCTGATGTCTTCTGCTGATTGATTGTTTTTTTCTTTTCTTTTCTTTGCTGAAATGTCGCTCAAGTTTGTAGTTGTCTTGAAAACAGAAACTATCACAGGCTTTCAAAAAAACAGGAGTCGGATGGCGGGATGCGTTACGGTTTCTAGGGAATTCAATATCTAAGCTTAGCTTTCTTTTCTCGTGGTTAACGTTTGTGTTGTTAATGAGTGATTGTCGAGTGTTTCGATTGTAGATTGTTCATAATTTGGAGTATGAACCCAACCCAGGCTCTGTCTGGCAGATGAAGCTGGCTGTAACATTCTACAAGAAAGTGTTCTCAAGAATTTCTACGCGCATGCGCAGGAAGGTATGCTTAGTGTAACAAGAGAGTGAACTCTCAACAAGAAGTAATCTACATCTGTCCCATTGTCATCGTAGATTGTCCACTATTAATCAAGAAACTAATTTTAAGGTGTCGGTACTCTAGAAGTCCAGAACTCTGACTTTATTCCACAATTTACTATTGAGTAAAATTACTAAAACTGTTTTCGCCTGGTGCGATTTTAGGAATGGTGCTATGTGTTTTGCCCAAAACCGTTAATGGGTCGCCAAAAACTGTCTTTTTTTCTCCAATTTTAGCCTCTAATTAGTGGGGACTTCATTGAAGAATATAAGTTCCTTTTAGAAGAATCCATCGACCGCCTTATGAATAAAAGTAAGTTACGTTTCCTCTTCACCTAGTTTTTAGTGCGAACAAAAAAAGATTTTACCTTAAGTGATTGTTGAACGAGGCCAAATTAGACCCAAAATCTATCATCATGTAGTGGTTACTCACATTTTTTGGCGCACAAAGCCGTTTACGTGTATAAATCTACGTCTTTGAGTAACGTTGGTTCTTTGTAATATAGTCAAACCTGTATTAAGCGGTCAGCGATGGGGAAAGGCAAGGTGGCCGTTTAATACAGGTATCGTAGAATAGGGGCAATACTAAAAAAGATAAAAAACGCTACTTAATGTAAAGAAAAAAACACGTCGCTCAAAAATACTGCTAAGATTGATTTCGAAAGAGGAATATGGATTAAATTTTACTTGAAGTATTATTCTTAATTTTATTTGAATGGTTTCGCTTTACGTGACCGTTCAATACAGGTGAAGACAGTAAAAACGTGCCGTTGGGACTCACTCAAAGGTGACCACGCCTGCTCAAAAGATGTGACCGTTTAAATGGGTAAAATTACGGTGTTTAAAGGGCAACAAATTTGGAATTATCCAACACAGGGTGACCGCTTAATACGGTGTCGCTTAAAACAGGTTGGAGGGTATTTATCTTTCTTCTGTTGGCCGTCTTGATTACCTTGGTTTTGGCTGAACGACACCACAAGAAAAAGCGCTCTAATTTTTATATTTTTAGAGGGGAATGGGTGAAAAAAGGAAATATAGGTAAGCTGAAACATTGCTGTTTTTGTTTTAAAGATTCAATATTAGCAAAAGACTGTTATAGTGCTGAGGAACAAAAGCGCAAATTCTGTCCAGCGGTGTGTTGCTTTGCCGTATATCACGACGTCCCGTTGCCGCGCAGTTTACCATCTTTACTCCAGCAAGGTGACGTTTGTAGTTCGTTTTTCATATATTCCTCCTTTTTTTTTGGTTTTGATGTGAGTAACCCCTGAAGCAACTATGTTGTTTGAAAGTGTTCAGTAAATGTTTCAAATTTCTCCTTTAGTGAGAACGGTAACACAGTTGTGGAACAATTTTGATTGTTATCAGCCAGTTTTAAGCGCTAAAAAGGCAGTGGGAGCGCCATTGTAAACTAGTGGGCGGTGGAAAAAGAAAAGATTATGCGTTTCCTCAATAACTGGATAGTAGGCGGCTGTGCGTGTGGAGACTTCTCGCGGCATAACGTACTGTCCGTACGTCCCAGCATCTTTCTGAGATGAGGTTACGTTTCCTCCTGTTTCAGCGGTTTTGATGGGCTAAACTAGTTCATTTAGGTTCAATGTAAAATTTACTTTAACTGCTGTGTGCTTCCACGCCAAGCCGTTGAATAGAAGTGAGGTTAAAGCTAACTCCATCTTGATATAAACATCATGACTTCAAATAAAAATCCCTTTGTCATTATTTGAGTTCCTTTCCTCTATCATTGTAAAGTCACTTCTAGTCTCGCTGCCATTTAAAGGCTTGGTTGCATTTCACGTAACTGAACTAGAATATTGTCGGTTTTGCTTCCACAGGCAATATTCCCAGTCTAGCAGAGATGCTGCAGGGTTCAGAAGATCTGCCACTGACATTAACTGCAATGCTGAGACTGCAAGCCCAAAGCTAGTTCCTTTCCTTGCTTTTGCAAAGAATCTATTCAACTGCGTGACGGTGGTATGAACAACAAAGAAAATGCTCTTTTTAAGTTGTAAACTTTCGGTTGAAATGCTCAATTAAGCTAGCCCGGTTGGTTAAGAAAAATAAAGGACTGGGGCCTGGGACGAGTGTATTCTCGAGTCGCTGAGAACCAGAGAAAGGAAGGAAGAGTCAGCGCTCTCTTCATTTCTGTTTTCCTTCTTTCTTTCACGGTCCGTTTTCATGCTTTCTTTCACCTGTTCCAAACAATTTGAGAAAATAATATGTACAGAATAAAACGTTATTTGAAAAAGTACACGGTTTACAATTTTTTTTAATGCACAAGTCCGGAAATTCAAGATCGAATGACATATAATTATTAATGTAGGATTGAGAAGCGGCATTCGCCTTGAACATCCATCGATCATATGAGACACAAAGAAGTTCATTTACCTCTGAGCCTCTGCACTTTTTAGGAGGATTTGTGTTTACAAGATGAAAGCACCGTTTTACCTTTCCCCGAACGTGTGTCTTCAATATTTCTCTCTTTATTTGGTTCCTAGGCGTTCCGCTATGCATCACAGCCCCCTTACACCCCCTCTGCCAACGCCTTTTCCTCTACCACACTATGTTCTATTCCTTCTTATTACTTAGTACTTACGGGTTTTATCCTCGTTCTTGTTGAATCCTTCGTCCTATAGACATTTCCCGTTTTAGACCAGATAGGTTTTCATTTGAGGCCTCCTGTTCAGCTAGTGGATACCCTCTGAGCTCTGGCAGCTATGATCTCCGCTGACTTCGTTGTTTTTCTAGTGTCTCCAGTCTTTACCTGCCATCAAAACTGCGTAAAGATTGGCACTAGAGAATTTTGGCGCCATTTTTGTCGAACAAACCAACATGGCTGCTACGATTAGAGGGAAAATAGTTTCAACGTTCAAATTACACGGCCTTTCGCTCAAAATAGACGCATCTAAATTCCTCGCAGAGGTTTTAGGTTCCTTGACTGAGGTTGAGTTAGAAGATTGGCTGGATAAAATTGTGGAGGGAGTCCAAAAACAACCACTAACCACTTCACTTGTCGACCGTGATGTAGTCGAACAGGCCGTTCAAGAATGTAGTCACACCGCTGAAGACGACAGCGATCACGCGTTTACCTTCATTGATGCTTTCAGCGTGCCAATATTCTCGTTTAACCCTGACAGAAAAAAGTTTCTACCGCATAACGATGTCAGTTCTCTTCACGCACATAACCCGAACGCCAAATCCATGGTGTTCCGAGAGAGGTACAGAGTACTTCATCAACGAACCATGAGGCATGAATTATTCTCGCCGGTTGTAGAGGGAGCTAATCAGAGTCAAGTGGCGGAGAAGTTTGCTCTCAAGCCCGTAGAATTCCTGCTAGGGAGTACTGCAAACCTGGGACAGATAATTGTGCTGGGAATGCTGACACAAATCAAAGAGGGCAAATATTATCTGGAAGATCCTTCTGGTGTTGTGGAACTCGATATGCGTCAAGCCAATTTCCACACTGGTCTGTACACAGAGAATTGCTTCGTTCTTGCTGAAGGAACTTACGAAGATGGTGTATTCCGCATCAAAGCCTTAGGTTTTCCCCCAGCAGAGCCAGGAAAAGTGACCAGATATCATTTTGGTAATGTTAATTTCTTCGGCGGCCCTTCCTCCACCAGTTTAAAAGCATCAGCAAAGCTTAAGGCCATAGAAAGAGAGAACCACAATGCAATGTTTGTGATCTTGTCAGATGTATGGCTGGACCAGCCAAAGGTTATGGAAAAGCTCCGAGCATTGTTTTCAGGATATTCAACCATGCCACCGGCCATGTTCATTCTGTGTGGAAACTTCACCTCTGAGCCATACGGCCCTAAACACTATCACACTCTCAAAGCGTCATTCCAGGCTTTTGCCAAGTTGGTGGCAGAGTTTCCACCACTGACAGAGAATAGCCGTTTTGTGTTCATACCTGGGCCACAAGATCCAGGACCTGGAAACATTCTTCCAAGACCCCCAATCCCTATGGTTTTCACGTCAGCCATCACTGAAAAAATCCCTATGAGTGTATTCACTTCCAACCCTTGCAGAATCCAGTACTGTACCCAGGAGATCATTGTTTTCAGAGAAGACCTTGTGAACAAAATGTGCCGCAACTCAATCAATCTGTCATCAGACTTGAAAGACATCCCTGTTCAGTTAACGAAGACAATCTTGGCACAGGCCCACATTTGCCCTATCCCACCCCATGTCAGGCCAATTTACTGGACTCAGGATCACTCTCTCAGGGTGTATCCTGTTCCAGATCTGATGATTTTGGCCGACAAGTATGATCCATACACCTGCTCTAGTTTAGAATGTGTCAGTACAAATCCCAGCTCCTTTGCAAGGAATGAGTTTGCTTTTAAAGTGTACTGGCCTTCAACTAGGGAGATTGAGGACTGTAAGATCAGTGATTGATGTTCGTTAGAAGTGAGAGTACAATTCAGCAAAGGAATGTTGTGTAAAGTGAATTAGTGATCACAAATACTGGAAAAAAGACTGTATTGAACACAGTATTACATTACTTTGTAAATAGGAACCGTCTCACTTTGGGTGTACCTCTATGTTTCAATACCAAGTGGGAAAGTTCCCCATCCAGATGCAACTTATGTGAAGGAATAAATTTACTTATTATATCTCTCAGTTGGTACATGTACCATGATTGGTCAATTTATTGGGCTGTATATCACTGCATAGTGTGCTAAATTCAAGTCTGTTTGAATTAAAATCTTCCCCTTCTTATTTGAAACCTGAGATATGATAGATATCCTGCTAACCTAGTTTTGTTGTTCCCTACTGCAAACTAAGGAACTTCAACTTTTTTGTTTAGATATTTTTACATGCAAACGTTGTGCTTGAACTATAAATTAGAGGGAAAAATTGGTCTGTAACTTACAATATGGAATAAGAAAAGGAGGTTTATAAAAGGTATATTAGACTGAATTTAGCAAGTTGAGAAACTTTGACTTTCTTATTGATGACAGTAATTTAAATAATGAAAGCCAAGGCAAGTCTTGCAGTGAAAAAATCTTTCCAGTGAAAAAATCTTTCCAGTGAAATTTATAGCATCTGGCATTTATGCTTGATTTAGATTCTAAGGTTAAAGTACTATGATTGCATTATTGTAATATAACGTTCATCTTCATAAAGATGAGTTGTATACTCTGCAACATTCAAGTGGTTAGCAATTGGTGCTTTTTCATGAACTGATTACCATGTCAAGGTGAATATCAACTGTGTGATTGTTTGAAATATTATTTTAAAGTCCTCTTTAACTTCAATTTCCAACCAACTGTGATTCCTGAATGAAAAGTGCATGACCTAAAAAGCAATATTATTGCAAAATTCTTGTAAAAGCACTGAAATGGTAAAATAAAATAACAAGACAACAGATGGTGCAAAAAATATATATCTATCGAATCTTTTAGCTTTTCTTACCGAATTGTGACAAGAAAATCCCCTCTAGTTTTGGAGACAATGACTCGTTTAGCCGATGTAACTTACATTGCCTGTCACGCAAGTTTTGTCGAAGAATCACGCAAACAATCAACAGTCACGGAAGATTCATAACTCGACATGTTTACGTCAGTCACTTAGTTGACGAGCGAGAGATTCGAAGTAAAACGCCATGGGGACCGTAAAGGCCGGTTATCTCAACAAACTAAGTAAGTTTCTCTCGAATGAAAATTCTAAGAAGTAGCCGAAATCAATAGAAACACAAATTCTTCTCATTCTTAGGCGGTTTCTTCAAGAATTCTTGGAAGAGAAGATACTTCGTTTTATATCAAGATGGCGTATTCTGTTATTACCAAGACTCAAAGGATAAGGAATGTGACGGTAAAATCCATATGAAAACAGAGTGCCGACGAATAAACGTTGGCCAAGCCGTCGGAGAAGGAGTAAAGCCTCCTAAGGACAATGATTTAAATGCCATGTTCTGTGTTTCTTCGCCCGAGCGGACGTGGTATCTCTACGCAGAGAGCGAGAGGGAAGCAAGGTGAATAGCTCGCCAGTAACTTTGACAAGATTTGGGGCGTTTTTATTATTGATCTAAACTTCTTTGGATGATCATTACATTTAAGTAGTTTTTTCAGTGAAGTAGTTGTTTGACATACATTCAGACGTGACATCAGATCGGTCAAACAACTATTTTTTATTTTTTTTATTCCGCCCTTCATAGCTTAATTACATGAAACTCGGTGTTCGCATTTAGGATTAATTGTCTTTTTAGGAATCAAAGGGGTATGGTTTGGGTAAATAATATATATATTCAGTCACGTTAGAATCCTACAAGTGATCTAGTCAGTATAAAATGATATCGCCCTCGGTCTTAAAATTATTCCTTCACTCCATGTTTGCCACAAATTTTGATTCCCTTTCCTCAAAGTTTATTCCGTGTAGAATAATTTACTTGCATTCATAAGACAAACGAAAGCGGATGTTTCACTGATAGGAAAGGAAACCACTTTTTTTTCCGCTTATGTTTTATTTCATGTATTAAAAATATTATCTTTTTCTCTGTCTGAATTAATTGTTGATTATTTTTGTTCCAGGGATTGGATTTCAGTCTTAGAACAAGCTAGGGTTCCAGTAAGTACAACTTATTTGTGACTCTAGTCAACTGAACTGCACCAATGTTTTGCACTAAGCAGAGTATATCACTACACATGCCACGCTGTATGTTTAATTAGGTGTAAGAATCAACAGCCAATGTCATAGTTCAGAATATGCTTCTTTTTTTATTTCTACTCAGCAAAAATTCAGATAGTTGATCAGGGCTCTTAGCTTAACTTTTTTAGGCTTGCCTTTTTGCAATCTTAAATGCCCCTGGATGATTACTGCCAGAAAACAATTATTTTTGGAGGATTTCTTATATCTTTTAGAGAACACTTTTTCTCTGTTGCCTCATTAGCTTACGTATGGTGGTCAACAGAACCCTCCTATGGCTGGTTCCTACTCTCCATACAGTGCTCCTAGCACTGCTGGATATGGAACAACAGCACCTCCTGGTTATGGAGCAACAGCACCTTCTGCAGGGTATGGTGCAGCAATGCCTCCTGCTGGGCATGGTACAGCATCACGCCCTCCACCAATTGGTTTTAATCCTTCCGTTGTTCAAGCAGCAGCACCATGTAAGATTTTATTACTCAAATATTAACTTAGTGGAAGTTGAGAGGTTCAGGTTTGAGTCTTTGAAAGGCCAGTATGTTGTGTGACAAGGCATGCAAGGCATATAACTCTCACAATACCTCTCTCTATCCAGGATTATAAATGGGTAGTGTCAAACTGTCTTGGTGAATTGAGCAAATTTTGGGGAATAGCTTGCAAAAGAGTAGCATCCCATCCAGAGGGGGTAGGGATACTTCCTAGTCATGCAATAATACAAAATAATGGAACAAGCTCTGGTTGTGTTGGTCCTGGGGCTGGAGTGCTAATTGTACCTTTTTAAATTAATCTTTATCTGAAACAGAGACTCTCACTTTCTCTTATAAAATTTCCAGATTTTTTTCAAGAGTTTCCAGACTTTCTATTATAAGGGGTTGACATGTCTGTGAAGTAGCACATTCATTTCATTGTTTTTATCTCTTGATTCATTTCTGTCAACAGCTGGTCCCCCTCCGCCATATTCTCAGGGCCCTCCACAGCCCCAAGCAGCATATAGCCAGCCACCACCTTATCCCCGAGGGCCACCAGGAGCAGGATATGGACCTCCCTCTTACCCTCCTGCTAATGCCCCACGACAGCCAGGTTATCCAACACAGCCCCATCCCTACCCACAGCAGCCACCAGCAATGTACCCACAGCAAGCCCCTGGACCTTACCACCCAACCCCTCCTCCTGGTCACTATCCACAGCAGGCATACTATCCCTCCCAAAGCACAACATATGTCCAGGGTGGCAAGCCACAGACTGTCTATGTTCAACAGCCTCCTCAGCAGCATCACAGCGGAAGGAACAAAATGATGATGGGAGCTGCTGCAGGTGTTGTTGGTGGAGCGGCAATGGGTTATATGCTGGGTCATACTGTAGGAGGGATTGGGCATCATGGCTTTGGGGGGTGGGGATCTGACCATTCATGGTCTTCAGGAGGAAGTTTTGACTGTGGTTTTGACTGAAAAAATAATTATTCCGTGTAAGTTTAGGTCAAAAGACATTTGTTCTTCCATTTAAGTGCTTAACAGTCAAAGATAAAAAGAGAAAACAATGGGATGACTAGTTTTCTTAAATTTTTTTACATGTTGCCATGAATGATAGAACAGGTGGCTATGACCACAACCAGGCTTATACAAATATTACAACAAAAATTTCAGATTTGCAGTAAGACCACTAATAAGGGGTTTGAAAGCAGTGGCCACTGAACCCCATTTATAATCAACAATGTCTAATTGCTTAATAACTATTTCATGGGTTAGGTGCAATTACTTTTAAGACTAATAACTTTTTATGAAGACTCTGAAGTCAGGGAAGTATGTCACCATTTTATGCAGTGCAAAAAACTGTTATTTATTTTACTTTTGTGATAACTGGATTATAATTATTTATCTTGAAGTATTATCTTCAAAGATAAGGATGGAAGGTGCTTTCTGCGAATCGTCATTTCTCTAATGGGAGGCAGTTGACCTTTTCTAAGGAATCTGCTCACCCTTCCACCTATTGCAAAATGACTATTGATGGAATGAGTCCTTTGTAGCTTTTTATCTCCCAATGACTTTATTGAACTTTCATATAATTATTATACAAAGTCAGAACATAGAGTCGAAAAAAAAAAAGAGCAAGATAGAAAGCTGTTACCCTTGGTCAACTAGACTAAGTGTGCAATTAAGAAATATCAGATACAATTAACATAGAGTGTATGACCACTAAGAACCATTTTGAGTAAAAACATTTATCACTTTATCTCAATTTACTCTGTGAATAAATTATTGTTAGCTTGGCCTTCACCTTTATGGTGATGTTAAACTCGGTTCAGGTAGGCTTACAATGAGAAATGATATAGATCTTGAACAAAAGGCAAATTCTTTTGGTGGTGGCCCAGAATATTAAGATGTTAAATGGTATTTCAGGGTTGTAGATAAGAGCTAGCAGCTAGCGAAGTACGCTGGCTTCTCTGCAAGGTTTTGCTGGCTATTTTCATTGCTTTGAGAGCCTGTACAGAGATGATGTTTATCAGGTCTAAACTTGGGCTCAATAAAAATATAAATTTGCTCTGCCTATCTTTTCTGAAAACATAAAAAGACTTCTGACTCAAGGTTAGTTTGAAAACGTTCTGGTGGGCTGTCTTTTTGACAAATCTTGCTGCGGTGGAAAGTACGAACGATATGACATTTTGTCCACCATATTGGATTTGAGATATGAATACTGTTTACTGTTTACCTTTAAAAAAGCTTCGGCTACTTAAAACCTTAAAGAAAACCCTGGTATTTGATGAAGTAATATGTGGTTTCATGTCATTTCATTGGAAACAACCAATTGTGCATTTTTACATCTCATTTAGGTATAAAAAATGGCTTAGTTGTTTCCCACAACAAGCAAACCAGTGCTCCATTCACTCCTATTCTTCAAGATTTGAGATATTTATATCTCCTCCTCACTTCCATGTTTTCCTCTGTGTAATAGATAAACTGTAGTATTGCAAGGGCAGATCACACACACACACAAACACACACAACAACCAGTTGAGAAGTCATAAGCAACCCAGTAGTTGCCAGAATTTTAATGCCAGACAAAATAAACAAAACCCATTTGTCTGTTGGGGTGGAAAGTCCTGACCACCCCAATCCTCCCTTGGTATCAGTTACAGTATTATTACTCTGTGAAGAGAACTCTCCCTGACCAATATGTCTGTCCATTCTCATCACCCATTTTCTTAGTAATGTATTGAAAGAGTGAGATTCCACATCTATGTGTTCATCATTTCTGGAGATCTAATAAAAGGTGAGATCTTGAACAATTTATAGTGGATTGATAAGTAATACTCATCCATTGCATTAACACTTGTCTGTTGTACCAGAACAGTTCTCCAGAAATAAAAACAACCAATTTGCCAAAGACACCCTTGGAACTCAACTTCATGTAATGTAAACATTGTTAACCAGCTACAGTACATCAAAATCTCACTGTTTAGTCCTGGTAAGAACATATATTCCTGCTTTGAGACCTCCTATGTTGATCCACAAAGTCAAATCTTTCTTCCACTGTCTTGAACTGTTCACTGCTTTCCACATCACTTTCTTATCCTGAGTCAGAAGTACAGCCCTTCCACTTCCTACTGAACACACCCTGGCCATTTCCTCCAGAGCTTTGGGATACAGTTTCCAGTTTTCATGCTTGGAACCACTTCTCTTCCCAAAAGGCAAATCAGAGATGAATACATCAATGCTGTTGGCCTTCAAGGGAAGATTGCACACATCCCATTGAAAAATATCCAGGGGAAGAGTCTTCCTGCATTAAAAAGTTGTGGAAACTCTATTAATCTCAAGTAGTGCATACTGATCACAGACAACCTGGCAACATTCCCTACCCCTTTTACACTCAAGATCTCATTGGAAATTCTCCTTTCCGTCTGCCATACAGTTCTTATGATGTTATTTCTAAGAATTTGGTATTGGATCAACTAACAATTCCCTAGTTGATAATTTTCTTTATTCTCACCACTTAACATTGTATAGATATTGTAAGGAGAAATTCTGTCTCTGTCAGAATCTTTTTTCACCATTTTCAACAACTATCTTTGAAAATATTTTTTCAAGGGAAAGGATTGTTATTGGCAATAGCCTAATATTCCTTATATTTTCAATCTATAATTAATTATTTAATTATAACCATTCTCAATTGTTTGGCAGTCTTGAAGTACACAGTCTGTACAGCTGAAGTACTTACTTTTTCTCCAACTGTAGTTCAACCACATTCTGTACATTAGCCAAGGTCCTGGCAGGAGCTAATTCATGATGGTCTCCACACAAGTGAAAAGAAGTGGGCCAACTAAGGGAAGCTTCTATAGGAATGGAGCCTCCTCCACACATTGGATCACACACCACATCACCTACATTAAGAAACAGCAATCAACTCAGTCTCTCACCTCGGTTGTTGTGAATTGGCAACTGTATAGAGTTTCTGATGTTGACATTTCCAGTGTTAGCCCTATAAATTAATTTCCTCTGGCAAAGGGCACAGGTATCCCTGACTCAAGTGAGCTTCTAAATTCCAAGAGAACCTTGGTACCTAAGTAGCCACTCTTAACCCTTTACCTCTCAGATCAAATTTGTAAATCTCCTTACTGTCAACCATACAGTTCTTATAATATTAGTTCAGAGAATTTAGTATTGGGTCTAGTAATTATCCACAAATTGATATTGTTCTTTATTCTCATCACTTATCTGGTTGATATTGTATTGATACTGTAAGGAGGAATTCTGTCTTGGTCACTCATAGGAGTTAAAGGGTTAACAAGTTGCAAGTATGTTCATTGGTTAGAATGAAACATGGAGAGGCAAAATTAATTCTACACTTAGGAAAGTAGGAGAAGAGAAAAACATATTTCCTAAAATTGAGCATGAGAGTGACAACCTCTCACTGCTGCATGCTACGATTAACATGTTTTAAGCTCAAATATTAAAAAAAGTCAAAGGTGGTTAATAAAGAGATGTTCCCTACCTGGCTTAATATTTGCCAGCGAAAGCATACAATAGGCTATTGATGACTTTAAGTTCGTTGGACCAAAGTGAGCAATATTCCGTTTTCCTCTACTTTCCTTAGTCAGGGCGATACCGATGACAACACTGTTGTCGACAATGTGGAGAAGTACTTCAATGTCTGGATGGCTAAGGTCTACTCGCCAGCCAAACCCATCGTTTATTCCACCACCAAATTTAGCTGCAGCCTCTTGGGACGAGAAACTATGGTTATTGCCAGTGCGTGTACATGTGACACGGAATCGCGGTAAAACCAGCTGATCTGCAACCTCTAGAGGTTTGGCGTTTGTAGATGTCGATGTTACCCCAAGATCAACACTTGAGGGCAAAACAGTTTCTTCAGAATCATCCTCCTCACTTGCCTTCGGCAGTCCAGAATTTTCATTTCCGTGTTTCATTCTTTTCACTGGAGCTTCACTTTCATCCTCCATCTCTTCGGCCACAGACTCGTCACCTTCTTTCGAGCTTCCTCCACCATTCTTTACAGTTACAAAACCATCGCGATTGCAATTCAAATCATCGTTTTCGTTTTTAAAAATTGCTCCCGAATATCCTTTAAATTGCTTCCACATGAAAAGACTCGATTTCCAGTCAAGAGCTTGCGGTAGTTTGTAAAGCTTTTCAAGAATATCTGGATTGTGGCAATCAAAGCCTTCGCTACTGTCTTCTTGAAATTCCTTGACTACGACAAACAAGTGCTCAACAGATCGTAAGGACTTCAACTGCATAAACGAATTCGTTGGAATGTCAAAGTATATACGTCCCCTTCCTTTCCTTATAGACTTGCATCCCAGCTTTTCTTCGCACTCCTCTGCGGCCACGGACTCCAAACCGGTAGTCACCGTTGCACATATATCAACACTTACAATGTCCGCCATCTTGCGCACGAGGCAGGCTGTAAATGCTTTATGTAATACGCTTGTCACGTACCTCTGGAGAAAAAACATGACAACACGAACTGCATGGCGTTTGGAGTTGCAGTTCACAAGCCAATGTTTCGGGCAAAAAGGAAGAAATTGTATTTATGGCGTAATAGGCAATCTATCCCTTTGCTCAAATATTTGACTTCTGTTGATAGATTACTGTTGCTTATTTGAATCTTAAAGTTATCGCACCAGTACCGCTGGACGCCTCTATTGTTAGGGACCTTAAGCAAACCACGACGGCGACGGCAACGAGGACACAGAAAAACAAAAGATCTAGTTGGCAGAACAATAGCTCAGCACGTGCGTTTTAAAACTTTGTACATTTCTTAGCCGTCCTATGCAAACAACAACGTGAAATCACCACAATTTGCGTCGTCTGCGAACCGAAACCGCGACGGCAAATTATTTTAATTTCCATTTGGAACTCAAAGCTTCGTTTATACGTTATGCTGAAGTTGAGGTGTGGCGCCTTGAGAGACGGTAAACACATGCAGTCATTTTTAAAATTCTAATTAAAGGCAGAAATTCATTTTTTAATCGTAGTCTTCCTTGGTATTGCCGTCCTGACTGCTTTAGGTCCCTGATGATAAGACGTAGATTGCAGACTGAGTAATTTGTTTGTTTGCTTTTATTAAACTGTGATTTTGCAAATGATCAAGGTGTGTACACCTTTCTATTACTCTTTGGTTAACGTTGAAACGGTTTCCAATTTCTGGATACCATATGACGTAATTTTACGAATTTCTTTCGAGCACGTTACCTAACAACAATTCGGACAAAATCGCAGACTCTAGTTTCTCAAGCACGTGGAGATTAGCCTCACGCGGCAAGATGGAGATCGACGAGCGTAGGTTTTATGTAAATTTTCCCTGGTGTTAAAATTGCCTCACCAAACTTGCAAGAAATTTGATGTCAGTCTTGCTGAATCAGTCACACTCACACCTTACTACACAAGCTTAATCCCCAACTTGAATAGTGTGACCTGTGTACAGCCGCCCCCAACCCCCTTAAAAGAAAATCAAGAAGGGGGGGGGGGGTTTGGGGTGGCTGTACACAGGCTACAGCAGTGCAGTGTAGCAAAAATGGCCAAAAACTATAATCAAGACTGCTCTGGGACAATTCATTTATTCATTTAAATTTTGGTTACAAATGTAACAGTCTATTTAAAGATCTTTCCCTGGTTGACCTTCTTTCCGCCAAAATCTCCTTCCCATGCCATGTACTCATTAACAAGCTTCTTGTGTTCTGGATTATCTGCATCCAATTTGGTAAACTTGTATGATGGAGAGTCAACTGCCCAGTCATCATTCAGCTACAAAAGAAAAACATTAAATTTTGGTAAATGGAAGGAGGAAGGGTCAAACATTTTATGGGAAACTATGGTACAGACAGTTGTGGAATACAACTAAGAGCAATTACCTTACTACAAGTTTCCCTACATGGTGCCCCTCATACAAGTATTAAATAGATTTCCACACAATTGTTCAGTCCACTACTCTATAATACAAATAATCATTGGGGCTTTTCACTTGGATGCAATGCAGCCTATGAATAACAATTTTTTTCAGTTCATATAAAACAAAATTAAACAAATATCAAGCAATGAAAATTCCTGAAATTGCTTTTCACTCTCTGTTTGCAAGGCCAATTTATACGGAGGGCAGTCCCTGCTTATCAGTGAAGTCCATTAGCAAGTATTTCACAAGCCTAGCCATTCAAAATTCTGACCTCCTGTGCATTTTAATACAAGCTCTGGGAGGGTAGTCAGGCATCAATGTTAAACAGCAGGCAGGATTTATACAAACTGTTCTAAAAAACAAAACACAACAAATAAAGTGGAAAGAAATTTTAAAACCTACATCAAAGGCAAGCTTTTGCGTGCGGCAGATCCAAATGCCTGAAATAGAGATATTTCCATCCTCTCCAAATATAATTACACTGGCAAATGCTGTCTTGCGAAGTTTCTCTATGCGCTGAAACATTCCACTGACCAAGTTACAGGACATAAAGACTCTCTTCAGTTCATCATCATACATGTACTCTGCCAACCAAATGGAAAAGTCTTCCTTGTTAAAATGTTCCCAAAAGTATGGGATGGCTTCAGTAACAGTGTCTTTGTTGGAGTACACACGTTTAAAAGCATCCATGTCAAATGAGCTGAGGAAAAACACAAAAGGCAACAATTAATTGTGAGTATCAGAGGTGATCATTGCATACAAATAAATGTGATATGTTGCCTCATCTCCATCATATTTGTATTTTTGCAAATGTTTGCTGGAAATTTTTGTTGCATACATTCTCCCATTGTATAATTTGGACTCCAAGGAGTTTTGAACTTTTCATTCACCATAAGACAAATCATCATGATGTGGCAAACAATTCTCAGGAACAGCCCATAAAGGAAAGTACAGTCCTCAATTTGCAGAATTTACTCTTGGATCCTACACCCTGTAACACAGGGTTTTTAATAGGAGCCGGGTCCCGGGTACCAGCACCCGTCTTCTTTAAACAGAGTACCCGGCTACTCAAAGTATGAAATTTTTGAAAAAAAAATCGTCAAGAAAAAAATTATCAACCTCACTAAACATTAACTCTTCCCTGTAAGTTTAAAACCATTTTTCAGCACGAATTTACCAATAACTTGCCATCAGATCATGGAAATTAAATTTACTTTGACGAGAAGGCACTGTGCAACAATCGTGTTCTTCCTGAAGTGCTTGATTAACTACTGTAAACGTCCATGAATAAGCCGCACTTTTTTTCTCAAAATTGAAGCCAAAAAACAAGGGTGCGGCTTATCCATGGATACATCTGTGTTTGGAGTTCTCAAAGACTTAATTAATATTCATAAAACTTCTTAAGATGCCAAGTTCATTGACTTTTTCATTGAGTGGTGGCTCCTAAAGGAGCCATTTGTGTCTTTGAGTGTTTATCGTTGAATCTTGCTCTCCAAGATTCTTTCAAGCGATTAATTTTCGCTTTACTCAAACAACTAATGTGGGAAGATGACTTCAATTCTGATCTTTTTTGTCATTTGCATGCAAGAAATCAAAAAGTTAGTTTTAAGCATGTTTACACTTATATTGTTTACACATTCCTTGGGGTGAAACACGCAAGCATCATTTGCATATGAAAGGTCAAGTGCAATGAAAATTAACTTTATGTTTTCCAGTTTTAATTGGATTACTGCTGGTGAAATGATTTTTTTGAAAAAATCAAATATCTTTTCTGTGCATTCCATTATTTAAACTGTTCATAAAACACTTTGTATTTTTCTGAAATATAATTCAGGACATAAAATAAACTACAAGAGAAGAATGTTGCCGTAATAGATGCTCATAAGTTAACACGTGCGTCTCAATAAGCCAACGTTTTGTTGGCTTTCAAAGCTTTTAAAAATATTCCATGCAAGTGAAAGAGACTTGAAAGAAACTTTGTTCAAATTTAATTTTCATTCAAGATTAAGCCAAGAAATGCATTCAAAAACATATCAGAAATTTCAAACGTGAAAATTCATTTTGGCCTGTACTGACACTGAAATTTGTCAGTTTCACTCTTTATCAGTTTATAAGTTTAAGTTAGCTTGTAACAGTAGTTAGCTTGTACTGCGTCTCAATAAGCCAACATTTTGTTGGCTTTCAAAGTTTATATATTCCAAGCAAGTGAAAGAAACGTAAATGAAACTTTTTTCCAATTTAATTTTCTTTCAAGATTAAGCCAAGAAATGCATTCAAAAACCTATAAAAAATCTCAAACGTGAAAATCCCCTTCAGCCTGGACTGACACTGAAAATTTGCCAGTTACACTCTTTATCAGTTGACAAGTTTAAGTCAGCTTGTTACTGTAAGGAAAAAGGAGGCTCTGAGAACAACAGCAGTGTTTTGATGTAACTATAGCTGTACAATGAAATAAACAAACTCTCCCAGAGTATCATTCTTTTTTACTATAATTAGAATAAGTATGCATCATAGCAAGATTCCTTTTCCAGATTGCAGGAAAATACACTTCTGGGGGACTTGCGTTCTAAAAATTTCCCAGGGGAACATGCCCCCCTACCCCCCAGAGGTTCGGGCCTTTGGCCCTTAATTTTACAGGGTACCTGCCTATTCACACGGCAGTGCCCTTCTACTTCAGAAGTTAATGAACACCCTGCCTGTAGGTTTGGAAGGTAGAATTCTCCTAACCTCTTTGGTAGGCCAGCATATGGATCCTTAGATTTTGGTTCCTTTGGTACGTCATCCACCTCATCATCCTCTTCTTTTTTAGGTTTTTCCTTCTTTTCTTTCTTGGGCTGATCTTGTTTTGGCTTCTCCTCTTTGGGTGATTTGGCTTTCTTATCCTTCTTCTCATCTTTCTTTGGATGGAGTTCAGCAAATTTCTTCCCTGTAGAGGTAAAGAAAAATAAATTGACTTTAATATTTAACTCCCCATCAGCTTATTTTTTACCTTGACTGTTTGTTTTACATTCCTTTACTGACCAGGATGTAGACTCTATTACCAAACAAAGATACGCTGAACATTTTCTAATAGAGGGAATAATAAAGAGCTTATGGTGTATCAAGTTTGTAATTCATATCTTAACACAAACATATTTTACAAAATGCTAGTGGCATCATGACAACTCATTTCAATGTTTCATTGAAACAGCAGCCATTGCATCCTTTAGGTACTGAGATATGTAAATGTTAATTTGTTGCTTCGACAAAGGCATTGGATAACAAAAGCAAAAATGCGCTCAAGAAATGCGCTTTGATGTGCACTTTGTTGCAAGCAGACCATGCAAAATTTGTGAGGATGTGCATGTGTGTTGGCCATCTACCTCTGAACTGTACTATACCCCAAAGCTGGGTCAAAAAAAGGAGTACACTCTGAGGCTTGAAAAAAATGTAAATCTATCAGCCTTTCCTTTCTTTAATCCTTCCTAGTGCTAATCCCAGCCTTCTTTCAGACACTGAGGTAGCTTCCTAAGGCCAGACCCAGGCCCCAGAAGTAAATTTTCCTTCTGTGAGTTGATCAAAATTCATTAACCCTTTAACCCCTAAGAGTGACTAGCATCTAATTTCTCCTTACAACTCCTTCCCTGAATCACACATTAAGGTCATGAGAATAAAGAAAGTGATCACCAGCTAAAGATTCTCTCGATTTTTAAACTAATTCTCCAGTCAGCACCTTGAGGATTGTACAGAGAACAGTATGGAGAATGTGCATACTGATATTAAGGTGTTCAAGGTTAACCCTTTACACCCTAACATCAGTAACCATATCCTCTATACTCCTCTCCATGCATTTCCTAAGTTCCTCAAAAGGAGAATTTTTTAACAATCAGAGCTCCTTTGGTTGGTGATCATTTCCTTCATTCTAAAGTTTTAATGAATGATTCAGCAGTATTACTGTAAAGGGGAATTAAATGCTGGTCCCTCTTAGGGTTAAACGGATTAAATCTTGTAATAGGCAATTTTACAGTTGTGTACTTAGTAGCCAAGCTTTTGATTTGGAGTGAGGCTGAAGGTGACCTTGTGGTGATAGAGACCAATACTTAGTTAGCATGATAACATGCATTTTGTAGTTTGCATTTGAAAAACAGCAAAGTTTGTATCACAACAAGGTCACCCCTGTTCAAAGGCTTGACAACCATGCAAACAACTGTAAAATGGACTATTGGGCCTGTTTTAGTTCACCACAGAGAGAAACCAGGGCCTACCATCAAATTTAGCCATGGTTTCACAAAGCTTCACTTCACCAAGGATCTTCTTGAACTGAGGCTGATTCACAATGGTGAGAAACCACCGGTTCACATTACCAAATTGTGCTCTGAAGCTTGGCTCCATCACCTGTAAGGCAAATCATATTTACCATTTTAATGTGTTGTTTGCAGAAAAAATGTCTACACCCCACCCACTAAAGTGCTCTTTTTTGAACACCCCATCCCTCTGAGAATCACATTTTTTGTTCATGCTATTTCATATCATTTCATTTGGTGCTATTCCCATGACCCTTCTTGGGTGAACAAAAAGGTTACATGCCAGTCTTTTCAAGGTTACTCCCAGCAGTTCATGAGATTTCCCCCCAATTCCTGTTACTCTTTCAGGCTCCTGAGAAGAAAAAGGAATTATAAAAAGTACATCCTGATAGTAAAGTATTTTGCCCATGAACAAAGTAAAATGACAAATTATGGGCTTGAGTCTAGATCTCTTAATCCAGAGTTCAATGCTCTGATAAAGGGCCAAAACACCTTTAAGCTGTTTATCTGAGGTTTTGAAAGCCTCGTAGAGCCACCCTGAAAGGCTTATATGCAGACCACACAATCCACAGTACAAGAAAATTTTCTGTAACTAGACAATTTGGCTTAATCAACCATTGGCCATGGTAGAGAGTTTCTAAAACTCAAATTCCAAGCATTGGCCCGTCGATAAAGCAACACTCATCAAAAGAAAGGGCTCACACTAGAAACATCAGCTTTAGAAACTCTTCTAAGTAGCCCATTTACATTATCCACTTAGTTTGATAAAACCAAATTTAATTGTATCTTATAATACCCCACACCCCCCCCCACCCCCCCCTCCCCCCCCAACCAAATTAATGCCACCCACCACAGTTTCCTTTGAAACATACCCCCTTTATTCTTGTTGGGACTAACCTGTTTGTACAGCATAAGAAGGTTGCAACCAACTGCAATGTCAGCAAGTGTCACACGCTCACCCACAAGGAATGTCCTTGTTAAGAGAGCAGTGTTGAGTACTGTCAAAGCCTTCTTCACATCTTCCATGGCTTTATCAGTGGCCTGTAAAAGAGGTTCAAAACTAACTTCAGGCAAGTCACTGTCAATGAAAAGAATTCATTATATATTTCAGGACTTGGATGAAAACACTTCAAGATCTAAGGCTAACCTGAAAAGAAAAACTTACACACCTGTTTGTTAAACTGCATCAAACCAAGGGTTGGAAAGACCCAAGTGACTACAGCAGGCAAGATTTCTTGGTCAGCAAAGTTCACATACTGTTGGATTAATGCTCCTTCCAGAGGTGTCTTCCCTCGCAGTTGATCATTGGACACTAAATGAAATTGAGGATATTGTGATGTTAATAAAAATACTATATAATGCTCAGTTAAGGTATCTAACCCTTTAATTACCGAGAAAAAGAGAGATTTGATAATATGCCAGCTGACAAGAGATTGCTTCCAACACTTGCATTATCCACCCACCCAAAATTTTTATTCAGCCATGCCAACAAAACACAAACATCAAAGAAAAATTACCACGCAGTTGATCACTGGACACTGAATGAAAATGAGGATATTGTTTGGGTTAATAAATATACCAAGGAAAATGCTTTATCAGTTTGGGCTCCCATCTACCCCATAATTATACAAAATAGTAGTAACCCAAAAAAAAAATTTTGGTTTTATCATATGTCAGCTTTTAATAGATGGTCAACTGTACTGCGGGCACACCAATGCCACGGCTTTGTCCAGTAGTCCAGTGGTCAACACGACCGGGTTCTAGTCCTGGCCAGGGCAAGGCGTTGTATGCACCCACAAAAAAAATTTAATTCAGCCAAAAGAGATTGTTAATTTCTTTAAACACAAAAAATTTTAATTCAAAATAAACACAAACATTAAAGAAAAATTACCATAGTAAGCGATAGCATTGCTCTCATAAATGCACTTTCCATCCTGAGTCTCAAATGCAGGAACCTATGAAAAAACATGAGACAAAGAAAACATTAGGGCAAAATTCAGACCACTCTTACTTAAGGCCAGTTTTGTTACACTATTACAAATAAATTGCTTTTATTTTCAAATTACATAGCCACATCAAATTACTAGCTGCTATTAATGAAATAACTGTTTGTAACGTTATTGTAAATACTATTGATTGTTGATGAATAGATTGTTTGATTGATGATTGATTGAACCATTGACTGATCAATCTTTATTGCAGCTGGTAGATGTTACACCTTTAACTTTCAAGATCTGATGGTCAATTCTTTCCTTTAACTGTAACACATTTCCATATAAATTAGTTATGTTTATAACAACAATATTAGGAAGAAATTGCATGTTAATCACTTCTAGGAGTTAAAGGGTTAATTGAAGTGGGTCTTTCCTTGACCACACACTTGTGATTAAAGAAAAAAAACTGGCAATAGATTGGAATAGATGAAGATAAATTAGTTAATTTACTAAAAATTTTAAAGTCAGTCTCACTCAAAGGACATACATTGCTTAGATTTCTCTAACAATTAAGTAATAAAACCCAGTTCAAACAGTCATGATAGATGATGATAGTTTCAACATTCATTTGCTATCATTGAATACCATATTCGTATTAAAATGGTTCAAGAAGTTGATGATAGTTGACAAAATCATGCAACAAGATGGCATACTTCTAAACAAATATTGTGCATGCTGAGGTCTGTAATTTTGTTGGCATCTTGAGATTTTAGTCAAGGAGTTGCAAGTTGAAGACACTGAAGTCTACCAGGATATGATAAAAATAAATTCCGTGACATTCTGCAGAATTTTGGCAGCTACTTTAGTCATTTTACTATTTGCCATTTCGGTTTGAGCTTGCTTTTGGCTAAACTGCTGACCCAATAACTATCACTCACTATCATCCACTCGTTTGAATAGCAGAAACTATCAGCGACTATCATGTCGAATTTTAACATGTCCAAACTACATGATAGTTGATGATAGTCGATGTTAGTCAATGATAGTTCATGTTCAAATGCGCGTCATAGTTTAAACTATCATCAGCTATCCTGACCGTTTGAACGGAGCTTAGGTAAGGGCATTTATTGTTACACTACCTAATGTACAAAATTCTGTTCAAATTGGAAATATCAGTCAAGATTATACCTTAAATATTTTGTCAATTAACTTTGGATTATTTTTAACCAAGGTCTAAGGTACCTTGCCAAGGGGGAATTTTTTCAGAAATTCCGCCGATTGGTTCGTCTCGCCAAACTTGAAGGATGGAAGAGTAACCTTCGCACCGCTGTACTCAGCAGCGATGAGGATTTTGTAGGCCCGAAAGTTGTCTGGGTAAGTGTACAAGGCCTGTAAAATAAAATAAAAATAACACGACAAGAGGAACTATTAATTTTCTCCACACAAGCAACAAGTACTGGAATCATAAAAAACCAAGTGATTGCCATAAAGCAAAGAGGATTCTATCACTACACACTTACACCGGCAGCCATATCGTTATCGAAGAAAAAGAGGACGATCACCAGGAGCTGGGTCCTACTTCAAAGACAAGCTTGGTAGCCGGGCCAAATGTTACATCTAGGTTTAAAATGGCGGACTAGAAAGATGTAGCGTGGAAATATTCCTAAGCTGTTAATTTCCTCGTGGAACCGGATCAATCATGCCTAACTGGTACTTTAGTAAAGAGGGGATGTTACGAACGCCTTCAAGGCTGGATGGCATTGATTACATGACTGAAATACGCTACAGAAGAGAGGGAACCCGCTTCATAATGAACTGTGGGAATCGAATGAGATTGTATCCTTATATTCTGTTTTCAAAAATGTACTCGTCAGAGTTTTCCCGCAAGATATTTTTGCGGTTCAGCCGCTGAATACCGTGCCATATCGACTACTTCTTGTGAAGCTTACCATGTACATACAAATGTACATGTTGTGTAAAATTCTCTAACCACTTTAATTTTTATATTTTGCCTTTGTTTCACACTGTGGTTACAGACATGAAACAGGTGAAAGTAATAAAAAAAAGGATTATTTTGAGATTTTCCGACACTTCAGCAAAGCTCCCGTGTTGTAAAATGGAAATATTTTGCATGTTTATTTGCACTTGTGATTAGTGGCTAAAATTCACAAATGTTTCATCTTGACTAAGTGAACTTTAGACGTTATGACACCATGGCTACAGGAGCAGTTTACTTTCATAGGTTCTACATGGTGCAGTCATTCAAGAACTTTCCACGATGGGTATGTTTGATTTAAAGTGAACTGGAAAATTCTGGAGAATTAACCCCCCAATGAATTTAGTGTACACATTTACTTTTAACAGATCTACAGCCACTTGAGGTTTTTTGTTTTGTCATTAAGACTCTTTATTTTAAATATTTTATTTTGGGTCTTTTTTAGGTTAGGGCTTTCCACTTGTTATCATTTTCCCAGTCTCTCTTCTCTCTCACCCCAAGGGGTAGAAACAAGAGAGACCCCACAGAGAAGCCTGCTTGTTGACACAAACGTATTCCTCTGCTAATAACAGCAGTATTCTTGTTTCAAGCTCTCTCCTCATTTTGCAGTTACAACTGGCAATGACCAATGATAAAAAAAAATTATTTGTTTGTTTGTTTGTTTTTTTTATGTTAGGTTACTGGTGCAGCATGTTTATTTCTTGCTGGGAAGGTTGAAGAAACACCTAAGAAATGCCGTGATATTATTAAAACAGCCAAAAGCCTTTTGCATGATAATCAATTTGAAACATTTGGTGAGGATCCAAAGGTAACAGTCTTTAACCCTTTAACTTATAGTAGTGATTAACATGAAACTTCTCCCCATAATATCCATAGATTATTCAGCAAACAGATAATGAGAATATTCAAACTTATCAGGTAGAAGCTGCTATCTTGATCCAGCACCAAGTTCTCATAACTAATTTACAAGGATATGTGTAGAAGCTAGAGGGGAGAATTAACAATCAGATCTTTGGAGTTAAAGGTTTAATACTGTTTTAGCTATGCCAGTGTTTCAGGATTTTAAAAGGTGTTACAGTTGTCATGAACTAGTCCCTATTTAACCTTTTGACCTTGAGAGTGACTAGCATCTAATCTCTCCTTTCAATATCACACCTGAATCACACATAAAGGTTATGAGACTAAAGGAAATGATCACCAACTGAAGAAGCTTTAGATTGTTAAACAAATTCTCCTTGTCAGCACCATAGAAAATTTATAGAAAATAGTATTGGTATAGAATAGTATCGAGAACATTCATCCTGATGTTAGGGTGTAAAGGGTTAATTTTTGCATTAATTTTAATAAAATGATCTTTGTCATATAAACCTGTTATTTTACAAGTCGAATCTGAGAATTTTTGGAAGGTGCAGCATTCTTAACCCTTTAACTCCCAGGAGTGACCAAGGCAGAATTTCTCTTTACAATATCAATACAATATCAAGCATCGAAGTAATGAGAATAAAGTAAAATATCTATTAGAGGATTATTAGTTGATCCAATACCAAATTCTCCAAATTGACATCATTAGAATTGTATGGCAGACAGTAAGGAGAATTACTATTGAGATCATGGGAGTTAAAGGGTTACATCACTGTCAGCTGAGGGTGATATTATGGGTCAGATTAAAATTACAGTGAAACAAGTGCAAAGCTTGTTTTTCCTCAAAGTTGTATCAGAATATGATATGCAAATTCAGTGGATAAGTGTTGCATTGTTTTCTTTATTTGCAGGAAGAAGTGATGATGTATGAAAGAGTTTTACTACAAACAATTAAGTTTGATTTACAAGTGGAACACCCATACCCAAGTCTGCTCAAGTTTGGCAAAGCACTAAAAGGTTCAGTCTGTTTTGAAATTTTTACTTTGTTCTTTTAGGATTATGAGTTATTTGCCTTTGTATACTGAATGGTATTTTTTTTACCAAGCATCTTCCTAAGAGGCCTTGCTGGTCAATGCAAAATTTCCTACCTCTCATGAACAGATTTATAAGGGGAGAGATGCTAATCTCTCACAGAGCCCTTCCCTAACCAGGAGTATATTAACTCTTTAACTCCCAAAATCTATTTGTTAATTCTTCCTTCCAGCTGCTACATATTTTCTTGTAAATTAGTAATTAGAATTTGGTGTTAGATCAAGATAACAACTTCCACTTGATAAGTTTGAGTATTCTCATTACCTGTTTGCTGGATAATGAGCTGATATCATAGGGAGTGATCTCTTATGAGAGTTTAAGGGTTAAATGGTTACCAGCAAGGAGAATTTAAAAAATCTCTGGAAATGCTAGGAGTAGTTTGTAATGTACCGTAGTAAAAGCATCCAATCCAGGAGGAGTGGCAATTCTCCTTGTCGCTATATGTTATGGAACTGGGGATAAGCTCTATTGTCATGGGCCTCTTTGGCTTGTGTGGTGTGTTTACCTCTTATGTTCTAATGGCAGCTAGAAGGGTTAATTATCAGACAGATCACATGAGAGAGAGAGAGAGAGAGAGAGGAATTTAATTATGAAAAATCACTTAATCTTACCAGGTGACCGTGCAAAGATAAACAAGCTGGTTCAAATGGCCTGGACTTTCTTAAATGACAGGTTTGTTTTCTCACATGTAACCTTTTGGAACCATGACCTAGTGATTCAAAGAGTAAAATCCACCATTCTCAAAGGTTCATTCAGAACTCTGTATGGGAGATTTGCATTAAATATTTTGCTTTCTGTTTTGGAGAAAATTACTCCTTTCAATTCTGGCCGGGTGCACCAAGCTGCAGTTGGACAGAATTAATTTTAACAAGCAAGGCTATGGTGATGACTTTTTGAGATTTTTTTATTAAATTAAATATGATTGGTGTCATTGCTGCTATTCAAAACCTTTCAGCTTGTCTACTCCTCTGTGTTTGAGATACAAACCTGAAGTCATCTCAGTTGCCATGATAGCTTTAGCAGCAAAGTTTAACAACCATGACTTACAAGCCACCTCTAGTGCTCCTGGAAAAACATGGTACCACTCATTCACTAAGGGGGCCACAGAGTCTGTGGTTGAAGGTGAGTTTTGACTGGTCCAATGGAAATGGTAACACTGCAGTAAGTTTTAGGGGCTTCAAAGGTCATTTGGTGTTTTGAATCAGAATGCCCTCTTCTGGGAAGAGATGGATTTGAAATTTAGCCCGAAGCTGAAATATCTTATTTTATTGCAGGTAATTTAGTGATAACATCTGAGTTGAAAACGTAAATTAGCCACTGCAAAGGGTAAAAAAAATGACGTTTCGAGCATTAGCCCTTCATCAGAACAATTCATCAACCCTTCAGCTTCAGCCCTTCATCAATCGCTCTGACGATTGACAATTCAGCCCTTCATCAGTCACTCAGATGAAGGGCTAACGCTCGAAATGTCAGCTTTTTCACCCTTTCCGGAGGCTAATTTACATTTTCAACTCAGTTGTTAACACTAAATTACCTGCTATACTCTCCCACCAATGCAGCACCAAAGTTTCTTTAGAAACTCACCCCTTTATTATCTTATTTTATTGTTTGGTAAGAACAACCCTGGATTTCACAATATATCTTTTTCACCTCATGAAGCTTTATATAATCTTCTTTTAACATAGTATCTTGTATAGTGGTGTTCTTTTGTGAACAAACAATTTTGCATTAAATATTTTGATTGCAGATATTTGTGATCTGATGCTGGAACTCTATGGTGGTGAAAAAAAGAAGGGGAAAACTGAAGCCAGTGATGAAGGAAGCTCATCAAACCATTCCAGTCCAATGATAAACCCCAGTCCACCAGCTGCCAAGAAGAGAGTGAGTTTTTCTTGTCAATAAATGATGAATAACAATTGGCGGCAAAATTGTTGACACATTGACCTTTTCAACCCCCTATGACTTCGATTTTATATCTTTTGCCTTTGTTAAATAAATCCATTTGCCCCTTCCCCCCTCCTCCCCCCCCCAAAAAAAAAATGCAGTGTTGTATGGTGATTCCAGGAACTTTTAGCCATGTACAGGCAACATTGAATCAGCGAAAGGGGGGGGGGGAGGTTTAGTGATTAAGAGTGGGGTAGACACAGGAGTGTTAATCTACACATAAATTGGACTGTTCAAACATGATGTGTCAACTTGTTTTGAGGCTGACTGTAGATCTATTTTATATTTGTGAGTGAGGTCTTGACAAACTGACATTTAAAAATAACTATTTCTCCTGTCAGAAACACACAAGTACATCTTTAGAGGTCAAATCCCAGACGGTGGCTCCAGGTATGAACAAGTTTATAATAATAATATCTTAATTTGACCTGCATGGTTGGCAGTTTTAAGGGCACTTGAAGTATTGTGTACTGGAAATTGCAAAAACAAGCTGCAAAGTCACAAGGAAATAATGGGGGTGAATTTCTAAAGAAACTGTGGTGCTTTAGATGATACATTGTGACAATTTGGTTTTTTCCAACTTTGTTTATAATTTAAATTTGCCACTGTAAAGAGTTTCTAGGGCTGAAATTTCAAGGGTTAGTTGTATCGTCATTTACTCATAGAAACTCCCTGCAGTGGCCAATTTACATTTATTTATCAACTCTGTTGAAAAAAAAAACAAACGATCTTGTTATAACCCTCAGCAATGCACCACTGTTTACTGCTGTACCCTGAGAATAAGTGACCTGGGAAGAAAAAAAAGTTAAAAATATGTTGTTCAAGGTGAATGGTTTGCTTTCTTTTTGACTCTGTCTGTCTCTTGCTACAGACTAAATTGTAAATTAAAGTAGATAAAATTTTTCAAAGGATTTTTTTCTTTCATCAGATACTCCTACTGCCACAAGTCAGGTCCTTACAGAGCCACTGAAGCCACTGCCTCCAGCCTTGACATCATCTCAAATACAAGTGGAGAATGTCAGTCCTGCACCAGTTTCCACACAGCAGCAGCAGCAGCAGCCTCCGATTGCAACAGTCACAACTGAACCACCCAAGGTTACCCAAACTGTTGACACTACATTTGCATCAGCTCAAACAGGAAAGCAAATAATTGAAACATCAGCAGCAGTAGCACCTGCTGCTTTGCAACCTACTTTGACGTCTTTTGCTGTGGCTACATCGTCTTACAATTCGGATCAAGCCTACGCTATGAACATTTACCAACAGACAGTACAGCCAGCAGGAATTGCAACACTGACAACAAATGCTTCATTTCAGCCTACATTAGGAAGTGGAACTCTTGGTTCTGTGCCTTCATTTCACTTACCTGCTCAATTTCAAAACCAGTCGTATTTGCCACCAACCCAAGGATATTCTCACTTTGCTACCCCTGCTGGTTTCCCCAATGTTCCTCCTCCACCCCTTCCCCCCATGCCCAGCAGTGCAGTATACCCTCCACCTCCAAGCGGAGTCAGCACCCTGCAGACATCTGCAGCATATGGGGTACCACCTCCTCAAGGCAGACCACCTCACCCTCCAATGTCACTCCCTCCCCCTCCCCTTCCACCATTGCACGGCGGACAAATGCCACCAATTCCTCAGGTTGGCTCAAAAGATTATCAATGGCCAAGACAGTTTGGTGTTCCTCCATCACAGAACCAACAGATGGGAGGTTGGATGAGATGATAAAAGATAACGATAGTTGTATAAAAAATTATGTCCCACAGTAACCTCAATAATACCGGTGTTCCTGTTTAACTGACAACAATATTATTAAAGTTATTAAAGTAGATTAAGTTAACTTTCAAGACTACATGCAGAGCCAACCTGATTAAAGGGTCCTCCATTGTAGTTTGTTATTGTGAAAATTTTATTTATAAATATTGACAATAAATGTTGTTGTCTCCAGTTTACTGCTTCTACTTTGAATTTATATCTCTTGGTCCCTGCAAGCAACATAATTATTTTAATTACAAGTATCATAAATAACATAACTGTACCAAATGGAGAGGAAGGCCTCTCAGTCAATACACCATGACCAACAATCTGGACCTCTTATGTACAAATTCTAGGACAGGGAATACCATAGCTGGCAATTAGGCCCTCATTTGATTGGTGCTAAGATGCACCTTTCCCTACCCCCACAAAGATTTGACACAAGTCAGGAAGAGGTTTACCAGGGTCTATCAATGCCAGACCCCTTGCAGACCTTGCCAACTCAAAGGTCAAAGGAATGCTAATAACGAAAGCAAAAACATTTATATCTTCTATTTGAAACTTCAGATTTCAATCAAATATTTTTATTCATAGATAAATTACTCTTCTGTTTACAAAACTTGGTAAATATTTTTTTAACAGCATTTCCTTCTCAGGTGACAGTTTTCCTTTCCATGTATAACAAAAATCATAAAAACTTGCGAAAACATTTAAATATCAAATAAATATTATGCATAATTCTGTCATGAAAGGTAAAAATTGCATAAATGCTCTCTGGTCTTTTTACATTTCCAAAGGTTAGCTTTTGCAAAATCTTCAGTAATACTTTACAGCTTGATCAAATTAACTACCTTTCAAACATGGTTATTCACTTATCAAAAAAACTTCACCCAATGGTTAAAGATTAGGAAACCACTGGAAAAATTCACCAACAGACCAAAATAGACCATTCATCCAACAGAGTCCTTGGTGCAAATTGCAAATTTTGAGACCTGCAAAGACCTCCAAAACTCCCTTTGCTTTCAGAACCACTGTAATTGAAACCCTGGGATGGAAATAACTTGCCACTCGGGAGCTAGACTACTTGAAAACAGTTAAAGGTTTTCTGAGGCCATGAAAATATAAGAAGTTGACTAAAGACCTTATACTCTTACTTATACTCTACACAAGACTTCAACTTGTACAAGAATAAAGTGAAGAGTGCAGTTCATGATCATGGCAAATAATTTAAAAAGGTCCAACTATTACTTGTACCACAAAAAATATCGAATACCCAGTGTGATGGGTATAATCAAGTTATATAAACTGTGGTGCAGTTGATAGATACTTCTATATACACAACAATTTCACTGCACTTAAAAACACCACAAATAAATTTTGAATCCGTATTAGATTTAACCCTTTAACTCCCAAGATCTGATTATTAATTCTCCTCTCTAACTGCTACAGAATTCCTTGTGAATAAGTGACAAGAATTTGGTGTTAGATCTAAGTAACACCTTCTACCTGATAAGTTTGAGTATTCTCATTACCTGTTTACAGGAAAACATGGATATTATAGCAAGAAATGAAATTTATATCACTTCTGGGAGTTGAAGGTTAATAAAAGGTATTACAGAGGAACCTACTCATTGTGCCACAGCAGTGTTTTCATTTTTCCCAGCAAAACATTTTATTTCAACCTCTTTACATGGCCGCCACTCTGCATATGTGCCAAAACTAGCTAAAGCAGAAATGGAACAATATTCAAGCTTTTGAGAACATCAGAGTGACCTGTCATGCCACAACCCTTCCCCAATGCTAGAGGCCTCATACTTTCTAGAAGGCAAAGAATTGCTTGTGTCAAAGCATTAATGATGAAGACATGCTTGCAGGTAAAGCCTCTACATAAAGGCCAACTCTCTACAATGGCTACTGCCTTCTGTCCAAAGATGTTCATTATGGAAAGGTTTGACTGTACTTTATCTGATCACAATTAAATAATAAATATTAATCTGCTTTGCTACTGTTACCAAGAAAAAATGTTGACAAGACAAAGATTTAAAGCAACTACTGTAACAGGGTCTACAACAAGTCTTCAAGGATTTCTTCTTCCTCATGCCCATTGGTGCCATTTTGCCTCTGTTCTGGCTCATCTGATAACTTTCTCCACACAACCTAAAATCCATGAATTTCAGAAAAATGTAAATGAGAAATATGAAGCTAAAAAAACTTGGTGCATTTAACATGAATCCTTTCTACCCTAACATCAGTATGCATATTCTCCATACTGTTCTCTATACACTTCCTAAGATATTAGCAAGGAGAATTTATTTAACAATCAAGAGCTTCTTTAGTTGGTGATCATTTCCTTTATTCCTCTGATCTTAATGTGTGATTCAAGAGTGATCTTGTGAGGAGAAATTAGAAGTTTATCACTCGTAGGGGGTCAAAGGGTGAAACCTCGACTTCATGTGCACACCACACCCAGTTTACCTGGCTGGGAACCAACATGCACAAGGAGGGACACAAAGTACACTTACATTACACATTTCTTTGAGGACTTCCACCTCATTATCACCCAGTCTGTCTGCTGGTTCATCAGAATCACCTGGGTTATCAGGATGCTCTAACTTCTCATGTATTTCTAAAACTTTCATTGCCTGAGCAACTGCTTCTGGCGTCATGTGTTGAGGTGAAGGAAAGGGAAGGTCACCCTGCAAAAAATTTACATAAAAATTGTCATTCTTTTAATTCTTTACCCTCTAGATGATTTACTGTAATGATTCGATTTGACACCCTCCTTCTAAGAAGCACCCCTCTTTAATAAGAACCCCCCTTGAAGTTAGTTTTTGCTAATAAGTGCCCCTGATTCTAACAAGCATCCCTATTGAGTAAGCACTCTCATTCCAATAAGTGCCCCTATTCTGTTTTCATGATGGAACTGCTAGAGTACATGTGCATTGAGATCAACTGTGGTTCATCTTCCTTCTCATTTCAAGCCTCATTACAAAAAAGTGGTTTGTCTCAGTCTCCACAATTATGTCCATATAAGTCACAGTGCCTTCAAACAGATAATCTTCCCTCAAAATTTTGTAGCCATTGCTCAGCCAATCCTTCTAGCAAAGAAGGATCTAAACAGCAAGCCCATTTTCAAGTTTTCTTGACCCTTTTAAAAAAAACATCAACGAAAGCTTCGTTTTGCACACTCTGATGTTCTCAAAAAAGAAATAGGCCACCTGGCTTGAATAAGCCCCCTCCTTTGAGGTACCAAAAGTAAATAAGTGCCCCAGACCCTAGATTGAATCATTGGTACATCTTTCAATGATGTGAATTACTATTAATATTAACCCTTTACACCCTATCATCAGTATATTTTCTATTTCTCTATACATTTCTTGAGGAGCTGACAAGGAGAATTTGTTTGTTGACCTTGATATGTGATTCAGGGGTGATGATGTAAGGAGAAGTTTGGTGGGCCAAAGGGTTGGGAATAAAATCAACAAAATATCCACTCAACTTTGATTCAATAATTGTTATTATTAACTTGAAGTTGAGAACAGTAAAACAAAGTGAGATCAGATCTATCATCAAATGATCAAGATCAGTTACATATAAATCTAATGTTATTTTGCAAATGACAAAAAGTATTGATAAGAATTCGTGTATCCTTTCAAGGATTTTCAAAGTACCTGTCTGGGAAGTGGTTTCATGCCATTTCTCAAAATTCCTGGCTGATTTCCATCTATATTACAAACATAAATAAAATCAAAACACAAATGTAAATTATTTACATTGCATAGTGTATGGTTTAGTCACAAAATAAAAAGCACTAGCCCCAATAGCAGATGTAAAAATACACCTGGGCTCAGTTATTCAAAGACCAATTAGTGCTAATCCAGGGTTAAATTTTAATCCAGTTACCTATATTTCTCTGTTTAAAAACTGTTTTGGGATTATTTTCCCAATTTCTATAGAACATCCAGTCATCAACTTGTACACACAAAAAAAACCAACTTGCATTTTCTTTTAAAGCCCTCAGATCTGAAATCAAAATTCACATAAACCCTGGGTTATATTAACCCAGCTTTGAACAACCCAGCCCTGAATGGTAACTCTGCTATACACCCACATGAATCTGAACTGCTGTCCTTGTGTTGCAAAAGTAAGCAAAATATGGAAACAAGTGTACTGGAATAAAGGTAAAGGCAAAGTCTGTACTCAAGCCTCTTGGCTCGCCAAGTTGAGGCTTCTCCCAGATTCCAAGTGGCATGAAGTGACTAGGAATATCTCTACCCCCTCCTAGATGGGATGCTCACCCCTCGCAAGGTGACCTTTCCCTTCCTGGGGAGAGAGGCACTGCAGGAGGAAAGTGTCTTGCCCAAGAACACAACACATTAACCTGACCAGATCTTGAACCCAGACCTCTTCAGTGCACTGACCATTAGGACACTGCAGCTCCCACAAGAATACTTGATGAGTTAACCCTTTACACCCTAAAATTGGTATACATATTCTCCATACTGTTCTTTATACATTTCCTATGGTGCTGACAAGGAGAATTTGTTTACCAATCAAAAGCTTCTTTCGTTGGTTATCATTTCCTTTATTCTCGTGACCTTGATGTGAGATTCAGGGGTGATATTGAAGGGAGAAATTTGATGCTAGTCACTCTTAGGGTTTAAGGGGTTAATTGATTTAAGCTGGAAGTTGTTATAGCAAAGTAAGTTATTTGAAACTCAAACATATCCTTTTGAATCAATTCCTAGGTCATTTGCTGCAAGTTACAAATTAAACTATTTATCCTGAATTAGCTTAGACCTATATCAAAGCTCTAAGATCAAAATAAGCTGAGTTTTTGAAATTTGACTGAAACTTACTTTTAATTCCATTACTCCTGGGAATTCTTGGTGGGGTGTCACTTGGAACACTATCGGTATCCTACAAAAATATAATTAACAATTATCCACTATAGTGGAGGTGAATAGTGATGGTTATTTACCAAGCCATGAAGCTGTGATGTAAATATCCATCACTTTCACTCATATTGATATGAAAAACTAATTAGTTAATTTATTCTAATATACTGAAAAATAGTCTGAAATTAAACTCTTGGCATGCTATTTTGTCTCATCAACTGCTCAGAGGTGAATAGTATTTTCTATTTACTTCCAAACTAGCTAATAGACATGTGCAAAAAGCACTATTTACTTGTGTGCTATAATTTACTCAGTAAGAGGTAGTTTAATTAAGGACCAGTGAGTCATAATCAATAATCCATTGATGATAAAAAGTGGTCAGACCTTACACATCTACACCCATTTTTTTAACAAAGATGACAAGTAAATCATAAAAGGTATCATTCATATAAAACACTGAAGAGTACTAAGGGTGTCATATCCCAATCCTAATTTATTGTATATTTTAATTGATCATGACCTGAAGGATATTTGAGTTTAAATTGAAGTATTTTCAGTGCCTCTTAAAAAAACATAATGTCTGCATGTTTCTGGTATTGGTGCTTGAGAGAGTGTGAGATATGACACATCTTAAGAATTTTTTTCTGCAACTATATAATCTACTATTTTTCATTCATGAATTCACTGTGGTTTTTAAACCCTACAAGCAGAATCAAGATGGTGTCAGACTCACAAATTGGAGAGTCCTGTCAAATATATTGGCAAGAATAGTCTCTACTTTAGAAGGACCAATCTCTGCTCCTTTTAAAATCAATGTTTCATGTCACAGTGGTGATTAATAGAGACTTTGCCCTCTATCACAGCCAGACGGGTTGACTGGAATATGATTCCTTCCTGCCCCTCCCATACCAATATATATCTGAACACGTATCACATATCAATTAAGTGCATTGTAAACCACAAAAAACTGCCCTGTTTAGGATAAAAAAGATAATGATAAGTAAGATAATATAAATCTTCTTATGAAACTTCCTCAAATATTTGATAGGATAGCCTTTTTAAAATCCCGGGCGTAGATGGATAATCCGTAGAGTTACAATCGCTTTTAAACATAAAAATCGGAAGAAAATTTACTTGATAAACTTACTGTGTCTACGTCTCCGGGAAAAGTAAAAGAAACTCTCTTCTTTGCGACATCGGCCTTATGTGAGGCGGACGATATCTCCTTAGATCAAATTCAAGAGATGACATTTAGTCTGGCTACGAAGTACAATATTTTACGACGCCGAGATTACTCGACACGATCTTGAATACCTAACACCCGTTGGTGTTATGCGGAGTAAATGGCGCGGAACGCTGCCCAATCCCAAAAACAAAAAGACATGCATTTATATCAAAGACGTCGTTTTGTAAAGATAATTAACTCATAATAGGGCGATTGCACATTGAAGTAGGAGACGATCGATCTTTCATCGCCGTGAGTTCACTTGCCCAGATACTCGATACATGTCAACAACGTAACACTTGGACTGAATGTTTGTATGTAAATTACGCATTCGAGTATGTAGATTGTTTTAAAACACTTGCAAATTCCAGTATCGTTTGATAAAATTAGAATTTTAGCACCAAGTTCTAACATTGTTTTCCGAGAATCGGAAAAAAAATCGTCAAGTCTCCAACTTAGAAATCAAGAAAATTGTAAATTTCGCCTCTCAACTTCCTTATCGTTACACTTACCCTTTCTGAAGGCGATCGCTCATGATTTGTTCCTTCCTGAATATCCGTTAACTTCGCTTCAAGTCTCTCAGAAAAAGAATTTCTACGATCATCGACGACATTTCCTGAAAACGAAAAAAGTGTACATGTGTTACAATGGTATGAAGAGTTTCTAAACGAAATCCACTTTGAGCAAAACTAAATCGGAAACCATTGAAGTTTTATCTCAAATTCCTACTTTGATAGAAATAGATTATCACCGACCGCGTATTATTCCTTCTACCGACGATAGTTGCAACAGGATTGAAAGAAACGTGCTTTAGACTAGACATATCCGAAAGAGTACAGATGCTAAATCAATTCAGATACCTGTATTGTTTTGTTTGGTTGGAGACAAACTCGGGTTACTCGCAACACGCTGTGAGCAGTTAGTGCAGAAAGTTCGGTTTTCTAAAGCGACGGATTCGCGCTTTCGATCAAGGTACAGACAAAGTTCTTTTAACTCTGCATTGTCTTGTGAAAGATCACTTTGTTTATCCTCTAAAACTTTCAATTTCTCTTGATAATTTGCTACTTCATTTCGCATAACTGATGCCGTATAACGTCCAAATCGTTGCCACTCGCGAGCAAGTTTTCGGCACTTCTGCCTATCATCGTCCAAATAGCAAGTCAGATCCCGCAATTCTTGAAGATCTGCTTGAAGTTTCTGATTTACGTCTTTTAGCAAACGTATTTCTTCTAAATGAACTTGCATTCTCTTGTTAAACTCTCTCATTAAACTTCCCTGATCTGTCATAACCTGGAGTTTCTCGGCCTCACATTGTTTTACTTTTTCGACCATCTTATGGTAGTCTTCTCTCGAAACGAAGTAATCTCTCCCCTGCCTGTCCGCCGCACTCATGGCGGAATTGTTTTGGATCCTCCTGATATCCTCCTTTAGAGTAAAAAATGCAAACCACAGCAAAGTAATGTGTATTTCATCCAGGAAAGACCTCACGTCTGAAGTTTACAGCGTAAATTACACGGTTTCAACCACATTCGAACACAAGAGGTAGATGAGTGAAGTCATCTGTCACTGACCAATCAGATCACAGAGTTAAAAAAAACCACCGTGACCGCAAAACGGCTTAGAACCAATTATTCGCAATTATTTGCACCATTGCGTTTTGAGAGCAAACAAAACCTCATGAATTGAGAATATTTTCTTTAGATTTTCACAGAGAATCGAAATCAAGGTAACGAAAGCGTTTTTTCGGGGGAAAAACGTTTCTTTAATCACTCTGGTAGATTCTGACCTTCGATCCCACCGGCACATAGAATAAGTGAAATCTACAATGTAATTAAATGGCCTGAAAATGTAACGGACTGGATGAATTGTTGCAAAATAACAAAATTTTTGACTCATTATGCCCTCTTAAACCTTAGCACTTTTTGGGGACACTCCTTGACGCTTACACAACATTATCTGCTGTTCACAAACACCGCGGGAGTTCAAGAAAACAAAGCGTGAAGTCGTGTATCGTTGGTCAAATGTTTATGTCTACGGGTATTTTCGAACGATTTGCTGCAAGCGTTTTCTGATCAAGAGTATTTTTCCGTGCTATCTCAGAGCTCCTAGTTCATGCAATCTGCAAGAGACTGATCATGCTGCGAGAAAGGCATTTTCATATTTGGAAGAGATTGATAAGCGTTTCGAAACATATCTCCGGAGAGCAAGGACCGATTTCTACATCGGATACACGTCTTTCGAGATCGTATTCAGGAACCACTGCTTCATCGAGTAAAACAAGTTATGAACACGTACAAACTTACCAAGGAAATTGTGCTTATCAAGGTGACACGGGAAGGCTGAAATCGTGCAAAAGAGGATCATCCCAGCCATCTACTGTTTATCAACAACACCCAAAGCGTTTATTGTTTACATCAGCGTCTAACCTTGCAGTCACTCACACTGCCCCAACCAATAAAACAACGGTAGATTTACAAAGTAAAACAAAGAGGAAGCCTTCATCGCAAAACCCAAACATTGCTCCACGTGCTACCACAAATCAAAAGGTACGGCACTTGTTTGACTGGGATCGCCTTTGCACTGTTACGTAATACCAAAATACACGTGCGTTTGATTCACTGTTGGCCATTAGATCTATAAATTGTAGTTTTGACTTCTACGCAGGCTGTCAAAACTCCTGCCGTGGTCACCAGAAAAATTCCTCCTCATAACAGTGACATTTATTGTTATTTTAAGGCCTACGTCAACCATTTACTAAATATCATTTAATAATTATGAGTAAAATAATAGTTATAATTAATGATAATGATAGGACTGAGAAGAGTCCAGTTTGGTCTGGAATCATGCGAGTGACGAACAAAATCACATGAATGTGACTGAGAAGAGTCAGTTTTTGTCTGGAATCATGCTAAAAAATTACATGAACGTTAAATTGTTACAAGTTTGATTATAGATATAATTGAAGGTTATATTGGTAGTGCTGCTACCAATTAATCAAAACCATGACAAAATTTCAGAGACAAAGCAGCCATCATAGCAAAAGATCACTCGCATATTCAAAGTAGCTATTGGTTATTGGTTATACTTTTTCCTAAAGAACAAAATTTAACTTGGTGAAATGTGGGACAGTGGCACATACACATGACACATACCCTGTCTTATTACAATAGTGAGGTGTACACTGTCCTATTAGTGCTATAATCAAAACTATAGCAAAATTCTTGAACCTGTTTGGTTATCATCAACCCAATTTAAATGCTAATAGGATAGTGTGTGTGTTATGCTTGTGATTGGACAGTGTAGGCATCATGACTATGTAATTAAACATTACACATCATATGTACAGGCTATTTTGGCATATTTCACATGATGGCTAGTTTGTTTCTAAAATTTTTCATGGGTTTGATTAATTTGCTACAGGACTTCATGTTGTACAATTCTCTCTGTAGTTGTACTTATCATGAAAAAAATTGGACCCCACCTTAGAAGTTGTTTAATTTTGTCAAGCACATGTATGATGACAGACCAAATTGGACTTCAATCAGTCCTATTATCATTACAAATAACAGCCAATCATGTTCAATCATTTTGTTATAGTTTTGGGTGTAATCATATTTATAATGATGATGATGATGATGATGATGATGATGACTATGTTCGTAATAATCATCATTATCATAGTGACTATAGTTCAAATGAGCTTAATGATAGCAACATGAAAATATTTGAGTATATTTTATGTAAAAATATCCATACCACTGTTTTTGGTTTCAGCACCCAGACATAACTCTCTAAACTTTCTAGCTTGGATTAATGCTTTCTAACCCTTTTTGAATTTCAAATGAACCTCTTTGGGCCAGGGTATGGCCACATACTAGAGTTAGGCAATGGATGATAACTACATCTTACCTTTGATACAAATTATTTTCCATCAGCTGAGTGGAAGATCAAAGGAAAAGGCTGTCCCCTCTTCCAGAGTAGGGCGTTTAATGAACTACAGTGGTAGGTACATCTTTGACTTATAGAACTTGTCAGCCTCATTTTAGATAGTACACAATAAAATAAATAAAGATTTGAACAAAACTGATCAATTTACAATTTATAAGAGAGTTGAACCTTTAATTTGGGATACTGCCTTAAGAGGCATAGGTCATACCTCTGCCCATTTGGCAAGGAGTGCTATCTTTGATCCAGGCTTAAAGTTGTGCATATAACTTACATGTATTTATTGATTATGTTCTTTGAAGGGAAACCCCTATTTAGGGGACACTTTTCTTGGTCCCAAGGATGTCCCCCTATATGGGCATTCCTCCCAATCAATTACAAAAAGAGGTTCCTCTGTCTCTATAAGTGTAAATTGCAATCATGTCATCAGCATTGTCTCTCAGACAACTGGTTTCTTTAATAGGGCTATACTTTGACAGTCAGAATTGATGCAGTGCAAGTCATACTTCTCTGATTTGTGTTATTTAATTTCTATGATATGCAAATTGCATTGGTTACTCTCTTCATGGATCTCTCTATGATCTATAGGTCTTGTTGCCGGATTAGGTCTTGGTACTCTCGCAGAGGTAGCGAAAAGACAGCTTGGTCTTGGCAAAACAGGTACTTAAGAATCTTGTGAACCCTTATACTCTCAAATGTGACCACAAAGAAATTTCTCCTCACAATATCAAGACAACATCAAGCAGGAAAGTGATGAGAATATAGAAAAATGTTCATTAGGAGATTTTTAGTTGATCCACTACCAAATTCTCCAATCAAACAGCACAAGAATTGTGTGGCAGACAAAAAGGAGAATTACTAATTAATGAGGTCTCAGGAGTGAAAGGGTTAACCAGTTTTTCAGAGTTTTGCTTTATCATGCAACGAATGACCTTGTCTGGGAAATTAAATATTAATATAACTTATTTAATGTAGTAGATCATATTTATATTTGGGGATGATATCAAGGAACATAATTATCCTAGCTCGCAGTTGAACTGCAAGTAGAGAAATGCACAAAAAATTATCAACAATCTTTAAAATTAGATTGACCATTGCAGGTGCTCATTTCTTTTATTCTTTTTACTCTACTTATGAATTACATTACAGGATCTAGTAAAACAGACCTTACTGGAAGCGCTTTTCTGTCAGAAGCAAATGCAGAAAGGATTGTGACTACACTGTGTAAAATGAGGGGAGCCGCTTTAAAGTTAGGTCAGATGCTGAGCATTCAAGGTAAATCAGTCACTCAGTAACTATTAAAACAGTTACATTTATCAGCAATTCCTTGTGTGGAAAAATGTTTATCAGCAGTTGAATTTCAGAGATTGTAAGCAAGGGTTATTACAACGAGAATGAGAAAAAAAGACTCTTCGAATAAAACATTGTGATTGTAAACCGAGTTGAAAATGACTTTTCTCCTTTTCAGACAACTCATTTATTTCACCTGAGCTACAGAGAGTATTTGACAGGGTGCGTGACAGTGCAGACTTCATGCCACGTTGGCAACTGGAGGTAAGCTAAAAGTTAAATGCAGAATATATTGCTATGAATGATGTCCTACATGTATATTGTAGCATTTAAGGGCTCAGTGAATGCACATGATTGTACATTTAGCTAACTGGGTTACAACCAAGTGTTACACTGTTTCTATATTGTGTTTTAGCGGAAGACAATTTTTTTCTTCCCACAGAAAGTGCTTGTGAAGGAGCTGGGAGCCAATTGGCGTGACAAGCTCTCAGAGTTTGATATGACACCATTTGCTGCAGCATCCATTGGCCAGGTCCACAGAGGGGTGTTAAATGATGGGAGGTCTGTGGCCATTAAGATTCAGGTATTCAAGTCACTTAATTTTTCATCTTGAATCACTGGATGGTTGAACCTTGTAAATCTCTTTGCCTTCAGATTCACATATGCATGCTAATAGCGTCAAAATAAAAATATTTAGGATTGATAACCAGCTCCTGTTTTGAAGAGGAAGGAAGGTTGTACTCAAGAGAGTAGTGAAAATTAGGCCTAGAGTATGTAATGATCATGAAAAAGTACCCTGTGTGTTGAATTCAGCAGAACTAAGAGAAGAGGAGAACTATTTGCACCTAAATCCAGCGCAGAAGATTTCTATCTGCTCTCGAGAAATGGAGAGAATTTGACTGTCATTAAGCTGCCAGGACTTGTTATTTTTAATGTTTAATTTTGATTGTGATTTATTACTTACCAGTATCCTGGTGTTGGTGAGAGCATTGACAGTGATATTAACAATTTGATGACTGTATTGAAAGTTGGTAATCTTTTACCAGAAGGTGAGTCACATCATTCAGTGACAAAGTCTATGATTCATATTACTGAGAGATGTAGTATTTGGAGGATCACTTTCAGCAAAACCCTTTAAACTTGGTTCTTGTGAATTGATTCCTTTTCCATTCAGTCCACGCCTGGCAAGATTCTGAGCTTTTGTTAACTCAAGTAACTTTAGTTAACTCAATTATGCACGCTTAATTTTCTATTTAGTTTTGGAATTAATTCTTTTGTAATGAATTCCTCAACCTACTCAATTTTTTGGGCTTTTTTGTGATACTCCAGGCTTGTATGCAGAGAACGCCATTGATGTGGCTCGGCGAGAAATGGCTTGGGAGGTAGATTACCTCAGAGAAGCCAAGAATTCACAGCAGTTTAGGTAGGTCTTAAGGTCACTTATGTTTATAATAGTTTTTATTTTTTTCTTGACAAAATAAGTTGCCAAAGTAACACCACAGCCTCTTAAAACACTCTTAATGTGCATGTAATCAGGGCTGGTGATTCCCATTTTGTGTCATCAAGTAATTATTATTTCTCCAAAGTTTGAGAGAAATCTTAATTGTGAGTTCAGAACTAACTCAATTTCTGATCATTTAAGGTGGAAGCCCCTTTTACATTGTTTTTTCAGACAGGCCCCTTCACTCTCACAGTGTAAATTTACACAGAGAGACCTGTCCAAATAGGTCATCTGCAATGGCGTGCATCTCACACGGAAGGAAGACCAATGCTGTATTTTCTTCAGAAAATTGATGGGAATAAAGAAAAATACAAATTAGGGGATTAGATGCATAAATTGATCCAATACCAAATTCTCCACACTAACATCATAAGAACTGTGTGGCAGACAGAAAGGAGAATTACTACTGAGATTTTGGGAGTGAGAAAAATTAATAGCCACAGCTTGAACGTCCACCCTTTACATACTGCCTAAGATTTTTACTTATTATGTGATCTTTCCTCTAAGGGAATTACTGAAGGATATGCCAGAATTCTATGTACCAGAGGTTATTGAAGATCTCACATCCAAACAAGTGCTGACTACAGAGCTGATAGATGGAACATCACTGGACAAAATTGAAAATGTTGATCAAGATACCATTAATAAGGTACTGCTAGTATGTGAACAAAGTTAGCTGTCATGTTCCTTCAGGCAAGCTTGAAACTTTGGCTTTAAAGGTTGCCGTGCTTTTTTAAGGTAGAAACTTCAAATTATCAGACCCATAATGGTGTTTAATGGCTGTGTCTTGACCAGAAAAGAAACAGGGATGAATTTCCTTGTATATTTAATGTGAGACATATTGGGTAATTTTGAGATGAGCATGAAAAATGTTCCAGTTATGGTCGAAATCATCCACCTAATTTTGCTTTATTTTTGTTTACAGGTGTGCCTGGACATCCTAAGACTTTGTCTGAAAGAGCTGTTTGAGTTCAGATTTATGCAGACAGATCCTAACTGGTCAAACTTTTTCTACAATCCTACCACTGGACAGGTTTGCTGAGCATAAATAAATATCCAACAGAAAGTACAGGAAATATGAAAACCCTAGGCTACTTTAATGTTATTGTAGATGAGAGCTTTTTTCAATCATGGTGCAACTTGGCTTTTTTCTGCCAGGTTCTTATTCAAGGTGATAATTTGCAGCAATATTACTTTTAAAATGAAACAAAACAAAATGAAACAAAACACATTATGACAATCCAACCTGTGCAAAGTTATTCCTAGACAATCTGTACCTTTATATTGCATTTTATGAGCTATGACATCTTTCCATTATGAGTTTACAACTCTAACCAAATAAATTTGCTATTATTTTTTCAGCTAATTGAATGCCAAATCAGTTGAATTTGCTACAACGTGACAAAGGGCGATGTTTTGATAAACGTTCATTTACTTCTTTTCAGATCTGTCTACTTGATTTTGGTGCCTCTCGGACGTATGGCAAGACATTTGTTGATAAGTATATTAAGGTAAGGGTGTGTTTCTTTTTTTTCTTTATGTGCTAAAAAGGGCATACCTTGCCCCTGTGTTCCTCTGCTGTTAGACACTGGTGGGGTAGGGTGGGTTGCAGCAATTATAACGACCTCCCCCCCTCCTCTTCCTTCATCAAAATCAGACATTTTAAAATTTTTTGGGTAAGTAGCTCAGAATCTCAGCAATAAATAGAAGATAAAGAAAATAAACCAAATAACAACATTAATCTGTGTTTCAGCACAGTGCCATTTGAAGTATTGTATTTGCTCTGTCATCGCAGATTATTTAGGCGGTGATATCTCTCCTCAAGGATGTGGAGGTGCCCATCGTGGCTTACTTACGGGCATATACCCTCACTGACTCGTTCAGAAATCATTGATTCAGAGTACTTTCCTGTACGTTTTCATTCCCAGAATTTCTCTCCTCTGCACTGTATCAAACGAGGTAACTTCCTCCATCCTCCAATGATCTGCAAACCACGTTTCATGCCATTTCTAAACACGTCTCTGTAAACTGTGCGTGCCTACCTTTTCTCTCCCAGATAATCCGAGGTGCAGCCATTGGAGACCGAGATATGGTGATTGAAAACTCTATCGGTCTTGGATTTCTTACTGGATACGAGTCGAAGGTGATTATTCAAAATGTTTTTCTTGATGTCGAGTCCAGGATCATTTCGGCTCCCTGTCAATGGTATGGTGGACAAGTCGTTTGAATGCGTGCGAGATGGGATCTGTCTTTAATCCATTTGACGAAATTTCTTGTTCTCCTTATGGTACAGGTGATGATCAACGCACACGCAGACGCAGTAATGATCCTTGGAGAGCCATTCTCCAAGAACGAGCCGTTCGACTTTCAGGCCCAGGACACCACCAGTCGCATCAAGGAACTCATACCGGTCATGCTGCGTCATCGCCTGTCCCCACCCCCAGAGGAAACATACTCGCTCCATCGGAAGATGTCGGGTTCGTTTTTACTGTGTGCCAAACTTGCTGCCTCAATCAACTGCAAACCGCTTTTTGACGAAGTATGGGAAAAGTATAAGTTTGATTAAATGGGACTCTACTTACACATGCGTATCATGGTTGTTAGTTAAGTCACCACATTAAGCAAAATTTGAGCCACGGTGCTCCTGTTGAAACTCAATAGTCCAGGTTCAATATCTTTGTGCGGGAGCCAAGAGGCCTGGGTTGAGCATATGAAGAAGAGTCATCCTCGTGTTTTCTAAGGAAGAGTGACTGAAAAGCGGCGGTAGTTCGGTTTGTTTCTCTTCTTGTCTTTCCCTTTTCTTCAAACTTTCAGCTAAACATGTATTTAAGAAGATTTTCTCTGGGAAAAAGGCATTTTTGAAAAGGGATAGAAAAGTGATAAATGTCGTTTTATATTCATTTTTTCCTGGAAGTTTACTTCGTCTGCTAGATCTAGTCTCCCTGACTCGCGGGCAACCGTTTTGAAAGTGGACCATTTGAAGACTTAATAAAAAATAAAAAGGAAAATTATTTTGTTGACGATGAAAATACTGTTTTTGATTAAAGGTATACTTTCCGACCTGAGCTAAGTAGTAGTGTTGTCTGTCTCTCTTGATGACGTTACTGAGAACTGGAGTGAAGTGAGTCGAAAAGGTGAAAACCTTTGAACCATTTTTATTATTTATTTTAATTTTAGGGGGTGGGGGAGGGGCTCGTTAAACGTATACGACATAATCACGGAAATGAGGTATAACTATTATGAACTTTTCCTCAAAGAACTCGAAATTAGCAATTGCACATGTAACTTTCGCGTCACCTAAATCTCTCACACTTCGCGAACTTTTAAACCGCGAAGTGCATGTAAAAGTTACCATGACTAGAACGTTAATAATCGCGTTCAAATTATAAGCGATACCTACTTTATATCAACGATAAGGAGCAGGTGTTGATTCGTTACTGGAACGTATGCAAAGTCATCCTTTAAATCATTGTGACTGTCCGTTACTGCTCTCTATCCCCAATCCAGTAAGGGATTATTTGTACACGCAAACGAGGAAGCGTTCTTTGCTTGCTCGAAAGTGTCAACGGCTGGTGCAACTCATTTTCCCAAAAGTGGATTTGGTTAATTGTTAAAAGAGTGTAATCTGTGTCAAAGGAACCATCAAAAACAAACCCTTAACACCCTAACATTAATGTGCAAGGCCCCTTCTCTCTACGTTACCTTGGAACTTGCAAGGAGAATTTGTCTAACAATTATTAGCTTCTTAAGTTCGCGATCAATTTCTATATTCTCAATCATTTATGGTAGACACTGTTGAGAGAAATTTTAATTTAAAAATGCTTCATTGAAGGAACACCTCTATTTACGGGATACTCTTGCTAATTTCAAGAGTATCATAAATGAAGGCTGTACTGTCTTAACTATCATTGCTAAACAGCTGGAATAGCACCGAACCAATCAATCATTCCACATTCAATAAGGAAAGAAAAAGTTTGTTGATTGAATTAATTCCTGTGAAATCGAGAAAGATCGTTTGTTTTGATTTCTGTTTAAGGCTTCCTATGACAACTGCAGTCAAACGAGTCCAACTCTACCTCTAGAGCGAAGTTAATACTTCAATGACTTTCCCTGAACCACTCTGGGAAAGATTTTAAACAACTGAACAACCTTCGCCATAAAAGAATTTTTCGCGACATCGGAAAGTATAACAAACATGAGAATTATGCTTTTTGGAAGACCAGCAGGAAAATAACTTATTGACTGCCGTTAAGGTATGTACCGGTTCATTGAGTAAATGAATGCATAATACTTCGCCTTTGCCGTAGACGTAATCAACTACCAATGATAGTAAGTAACCCAAACTAATAAATTCGTGGTCTATTCCTTTTTGTTCTCCAACACAATGATCAAATTGCCTCAAGCTTGGCAAGCATCACGCCAGCGTAGTAAAAGCTCAACAGAGCTCACATCTGTGTGGAATAAATTCCCGTAGTCAAAAGGCGAATAAGTCTTTAGGAAACCACTAACAGCACAACCTTCCCTTCGCAATAATCGTGGAATTCTTACCGCGTGGAGGATCAGTAAATTAAACCATCGAGCTTGGGATGCTGTAAGTTAGACATTTGTTTATTTTTGTTAGCAACACAAGCTATTTCGTAATGATGAATACGATTTAAGTACTTGGTAACTAGTTTAAATTTTTAGCAGTAAGGATCAAGATTATTCAAAAGCTTAAGGCAAGAACTCGGCAAGTTTCGAAACTTTTTGTGGTTGTGTTGTTTTGAAAGTCATTCAAAATGTCACGAGCCTTTCTCACGCTATCAATATTATGACTTAGTAACAATGAGCGGAAAACACGAAGGATACATGCAAAATAATGCAGTTTAAGTGTGTTTAGGATTAAATAGAAGATTTTTTTGCCACATAGAACTTCCAATATTATGAATGAGACGAAAGCGAAGAAAGTTATTTGTCTTTCCAGAGTGTTCTAAGCTTGTTTTCACGGTCCGTTGAACCCACTGAAGCAATTTTGGAAACTTTGATAAAATCCGTTGTTATTACCTAGATTGAACAAGATTAACACGGCCTCACATTTTTTTTTCATTCTCTACATCCTGGATTGCCTGTATTGGCTTAAATTCCACCGAGGGATTTTGTGCCTACTAAGGAGATCGTAACGGCATGAAAAGAATGTGAATCTTCCTTCGGTGACGTTGTTTAGAAATGTCTTAACAAACAGAAAAGTTTACCTAAACTTCAAGATCTTGCTGGATTAAAAGATATTTTAGTCAAGATAATTTAACAGAATTACCAGAGAAAATTCTGCTCGAGATATATTTGGTATGGTTGGATGCTCCTTCAGAGCAACCATAAACCTGAATATTTGACTCTGATGATAACTTCAGCTCAGGTTGTCGAAACGTCAGTCACCACTAACCCCGGCAGTACTTCTCAGGACTACACTCACCCGGACGATCAAACAACACTGTTACAACTAGAAACTGTTCGTAAATCTTGTTTGCAAGGCAATGAATTCTTGCGTGCCCTAGCTTGAATTAATTATCACTTTTTAACGATCAAAAACTGCTGGTGATCTTCATAAGAAATGGAAATTTTACACCCGGTGAGCAGCTTCTGACAAGACTACTGATTCTAACCCTAAATTTAACATTGACGTCACTGTTTGTAGAAATGCAGAATTTGCTCAAATAATTTATAATAAACTGTTTATTTTATTAGTTATTTATTTACGATAATTAATTAGACAGGCCGGCCCAGTTCAGCTGGTTTAAATGTGAGCCTGGATAAACAGTAACAGTTAAGGTCAGATCACAACATCGGGGGCTACTGGTTCCCTACTCTTTGCGAGTGATGCGTGGATTCTTTAACGTTCCCTGCTTACAAGTACAGAGAAGATGCAGGAGATGGGACTTTAGGTTCATCGTCCTTAAAGAAGACTAGTATGTCTAAGCATTTGCCATAGTAAAGGCAGCACATTCTTTCCAGTTATCAGTTTAAGACCCAGAGTGTAAGTCCGGTCTATTTGATACAAATACATGTAGTATTATCAGTGCTTGAGAGCCTTCTTTTAAGCTGATCTGCTCCGTTTTTTTTGAAGCTAAGAGTTCTGAAGACAGCAGCAAAAATGCGACAATTATCCTGGTTGGTAATATTGGAGCTTCTGTTTCTTGGTTGGCGTTGTGCTGAAGGTAGGACGAAAAGTTTTCTTCCACAACAAAAATATAATATTTTTCTTACACTGCGCTGAGTACGCAGTGACAAGAGACAGTGACAAGCGGTTTGTTTTTCCCACGTGAAATATGCAGAAGAGAAAGCAATGATGTTGTGATTTAAACTTGTAATCAAGCATTTACACATTCAGATTAGACCTAATAGGCAGCATAGAGAAAAGAACCATTTAAAGAGAAGAGGTCTGAAAAAGTCTGTCCAGAGCGAGACACCGCTCTGCATCCACACAACAACATTCATGTGAAACGGTTTTAAGGTGGTCAGAAAAACCACCACATGGAAGAACTTTCACAGTAACTATGAATTATATCGAGAAGCCAGAGATAAAGGAGGGGGGCACTGCTCATTTCCCCACACAAACGCCTTTAAATGACAAAATAATAATGTTGAAGAAAAATATTGAAATGAAGAAAAGATGTTCAGACAATCATTCACTCACTAATTCCTTGAATCAGTTAGTTAATCGGTCTAGAAGTCCCCCTCGCAATCAATCCGTCAGTCAGACATTCTTCAGTTGAAGCAGTCAGAAATTCAGCCAACAGTCAGTTACACGACATTATTTTAGGTGTGAAGTAAGCACTTTTTTATCATTTACCAGACCGTGCAATTCATCATCGGAGAGATTCTTACACAAAACCAAATTTGTATGCCTCTTCATTCTTTTCAAGGTCAACAGTGCCAGAGATTCAACATAGGATTAAATGACCGAAGAAAGATTTCAGACGACCAATTCACAGCTTCATCTTTCTTAAGTCCCGAGACAGCCCCTTTTCACGCCCGCATAGGCGATACGCAAGGTGAGGGATGGTGCGCCCAGGAAAGCAGAAATAATGAGTATCTCCAGGTTGATTTGAGAAGAGATTATGTCGTGTGTGGTGTTATAGTACAGGGTGGAATTCACGGGAACGTCGACTCATTCGACCTGGAATTCTCTACTGATGGCAGTTTTTTTAGTCCATATTCTAAGGTGAGGAACACTTATTTCAGTTTATGGGCAAGTTCCCGGTCGAGTTTCTTCAATTCGTATTGTCAAAGAAAATTCTTCACCGTTTTTTTACTCAACACTACGCCGACCTAACACATTGGTAAAAAGTCTGCGCACGTGTGAAAGTTTTAACGACTAGATGGAGTGCTTCTATAGACTGTCAGAACCAAGTTGTCACACACGAGTTACAAACGACCACACAAGTCAGTTAGTCACGATTTTTAAAAGCGTATAACCCTTTTGGTAAAACTCAAAACAGAATGGTAAATGAACAAGATACTCATACTTGAATAAGCTTTAAGTCTCCAGAACTCCTTTTCTCTACTTTTGTATATTGTTACAGATTTACATCAATGCTTCAATTTTCTTTCGCATATTCTGCTAGACAGTGGTTGTTTCTTATGTTATCAATAGAAATTTTGCGCTGGAAATTGGCGCACGGGTGCCTAAAGCTAATCCTTTCACGCATGCCTTACGTTTGACCGTTGTGTTCACCACACCACATCACATCCAACGGCACGACACGGCACGACATGGCATGGCACGGCACAGCACGGCACGGCACGGCACGGCACGGTACGGCACGACACGACACGGCACAGTCGACACGACACGGTGACACGTTTGCGGCTCTGTACATTACTGACAACGCTGACTAAATTACACTTAACTGCACTACACTGCCTTCCACTGCACTATAATAATTTGCACCACACCAAAGTACTTAAACACAACGCATCATTACCCAAAAAATAAAGAAACACTACAATGCATCACTATGTTGGCCTGATTCTTTCTGAAGTGATTTGAAAAAGATTCAGACTTATGATTTTTGTTGTGTTTAGACTTTGGTCAGAGTTAACCAGCAGGAAGAAGAGGCTGAGTTTCACCCTCTGGGGCCATATCCAGTTGGAAGATATGTTCGTATATATCCCCGAAGATTCCGAAACTTTCCGTGTGCCCGACTGGACCTATACGGTTTTCCAGGTATTGAACAAAAAAAAAACATACATTGAAACTCAGAAACGGCCCCGAAGACATCGGTGTTATATTGTTAGCCTTTTAAGTTTACATTTACTTCTTATAATAATACATGGTCTGGTGTTTTAGTTAGTGAATAATGTTCATAATTCTCGAAGTGAGAGCGACATAAAAACCTTTTAATAGCAGCAGAGAAAAAAGGAAAACCATTAAAGTAGAAATGAAATCTCCAAAAATAGACATCGAATCATAAAAACGCCTTCTCATGTATGAAAAAAAAAAAAAAAAACGAACGATAGATTCTTAAATGTGTTCTCCCTTTAACGAACAAGAATGTCATCGATTTTTTTTTATCATTTTCAAAAACTAGCCATAGTTTATTACCGTTAAGTTGTTTGTTAATCAAATAACCGCCACACCGATTCTGTACCGAAATTTAACTACAGACATCAAGTAGCGGTTAAGGTCAGTCATTATCGATCACGAGGGGGGAAGGGGGAAGGGGGAAGGGGGAAGTGGAAGGTTAGGTAAGGGGAACGGAGGGGTAATCAGTCGTTCCTATAGAGGGAGACTATAGAAATTTAACTGCCAACGAGGGGGATAATTAGAATCATACAAAGCCCCCCACCCCTTCCTGCCCCCTTTAGACGATAAAAAATTACTGGTCCTTAATGTTCATACATCTTTCTTTTCAGGTCCCAAGGTGACATGTACGCCACAATACATCATCGCCGAATTCAAGAAAGCGCATTACCCAGGTCTTGAAGCTGAAGGAATGCATCTGAAAAATACAAGCTGCTTGGCAGATGACGAAAATGCCACTCACATTCTCTTCAATATTCCTCTGCGGGACTGCGGTACAGAGAGAATCCTTCTAAATGATGGTTACATACAGTACACCAACGAGATTATCCGTCGCATAACTGGTGTTGGGATTTCTTATAAGATGGACATGTTCTTTCCAATCAACTGCAAATATGACAGAAGAGAAACAGTGGGCGACATAAGGATTGAACTTCCAGCTGCCAGTGAGTGTCCTCTCCAAATTTTTGTTATCGTTATTTGCTACAGAGCAATTTTCAAATGAGTGACGAAAGAAAAGCGGTATTCCTTGGTTTTTTTACTTGGTCTAGAAAACTCGCACTACTTTCTCAGCCAATCAGTTTTTAAATTAAAGTCAATCGTGCCTTGGTCTCGGGCTTTTTCTCGCGCTTCAGGTAGTTTGTTTGTTGTTTGTTGTTTTCTTACTTCGAGTTCTTACCGAGGATTGACTATGGTGATAGTTTTGGTTTCGGTTTTGCGACAATTAGTTGAAAATTACACTAATTATGAACACTGCATTGTACAATTGATTGTTGAAAGTCATCCACAGTTAGATTTGCTTTTGTTTCACTTCGCTTTGTGATTAGCCCAGCCTTACAGTATCTCAACAGTCTCATCATGACTATTGAACGCATTACAATCTATCATAGCTCCCAGAAATCTTGAGCACTTAGGGTCAAATCCACATTCTAAAATTGTATGTTTTACGCGCCCTGCTTGAATTGGACTGGAATTAGAAACAGCGGTTGGATTTCATTCAGTCAAAGTTCTCCAGCTTACTGTTCGCTTAAAAATGAATTGCAAAAAAATTTACAACAAAAAAAAATACAGGTTTCTCTCTTTCTATCTAACGACTGTGTCTGTTATCTTTAAAAGCAACCGAAGCCCCAACGTCCGACGCCACCTCGCTGAAGCCGCTACAGCGAAAGATTTCTTTCATCGGTTGGTTGGTTACCTTGTGGATCTCAGTTTCCGGGCTCTTGACCCTCTGTTATTAAGTTTTGCATTTGTCTGGCTCACAGGTAGGTAGTGACTTAAATAATCTTTTTTTTAGTAAGGTTAACCTTTTAACTGAACCTATAGCCTTATCTGATAAACACGTCGGATCGCAAAGATCCAAGAGTCGAGTCTAGTCCAGGGTCTAGCCGGACTGGGGTCTTTTTTTTTTTTTTTTTTTTTTTTTTTTTTTGCGTTTATGGGTAACACACTTTACTCTCCAAGTGCCTCTCTCTATTCCACTCAGGATTATAAAATTGGTACCAGGGAGTTATGAGGGAAACTTGACAGTATGACGGGGGGGGCGGGGCGGGGGCGGGGCGGGGCGGGGCGGGGCGGAGCAATAACCCACAAAGTAACACTGAAAAGTGTGCTCGTGACAACCTTCCTTCCCATCCCTCGACAAAAGAGTTTACCCTTGGCCACCCCTACCTCTAAATTAGCTCCTGAATGAATTCATTTATTTTCCAAATTACGGCTTATATTTTACCGTTTTTTTTCTTCGTCTTGATAGGTGGTGTAGCCTGGAATTTTTTTTGATTTTTTAGGTTCAAGCGAGATAGCATGAAGACGACTCCCTTAGCCATCGTATATTAAAGAACATAGACTTTGACCGTGGAATCGTGGAATTGGCTATAAATATTTTTTTCAGACACGCACAATTTTGAATATATCTCCAAAACAAGTCTAAAGAGGGTGGCAAAGGAGTTATACGTGACGCGCGATTATCGCCAAAATTAACATGTGACGCGTGAATTTTACAGAGTAGCGAGCGTGATTCGTGAATTTACAAAGCAGCGTGAGGCGTAATTTGCCTCCTGAGGCATACGTGACCCGTCATTGGAATTTTATCTTTCATTTCGTGAGAATTTCAAGATTTCTCTGACACCTTGCACATAGGAAAACTGATTTGAAGTCTCCCTTTTCAATTCGTGCCGCTCGAAATTCTGTTTAAAACATATGTGACTCGTGAATTTGTCTAAAAGTCGTGCGTGAAACAGCATCTAGACTCCCTTTAGCTACCCTCAGTAAAGGCTTGCTTCAAGGTAGCGCTAAATAGCCATTTCTATGATGTGAATGCACTTTTTTATATATTTGCCCTTATTAGTCTTTGCAGCTAAGTTGACAATTAATGTTTAGTTTCTATAAAGTGTTTCACAGGCGAAGTTTCTGCACAAAAATATAGAACTTTTGAATCGTATTCATGCGCTCGTTTGCAATCTCTGGATAACGGCATCTTACAGATAAATCAGTCTCATCAAAATCCCGTGGACGGATTACACTCTGTTTTATGGATGCGGTGAATAGCGAAGTCCTAAGGATTATTGGCATCCAGCCTGTGCTTAAATTGTTTTTTAATACAGAGTGATTATAATGTAATACTTCGTTGTATCTGAGATTTCTAAATCTTCAGTTATAAAAACTGAGCTGTAAGCGTTCCTCCATCACTCCATGTAACTTTATAGTACGAAGGAATAAGTAACTGAGTCGTCAATACTTTGATCCCGATCCATATTGATATGAATTAAAAAGAAAACAAAAACTGGAGGTCCATCATGCAGCTCATAGATTTATGTAAGTGTGGGTTTTATGAGAACAAAAATGTTTGGAGAAGAAGGACGCGGAAAGGGTTACGGCGCACACTTAGCTTTTTGCGAAAGACATTTCGATGAATTTTATTAGAGTGATTTCCCATTCAGTGTCAAAATTAGTCCATAATTGCTTTTATTAGTTTTGCTTTGCTTCACACTGAGATTGGTTTTGAAAACTCGTGCCATCCTCTCAAACAAAAACAATTCAACCACAACAATTAACTACGCCCAATCATAACCAATTGGTTTTCGAGAACCTTATTCAATTCCCTGAAATTGGGGATTGAGCGATTTAGTCGAAATAAATGAGGTTCATAATTTGCTTGGCTAGCTAGTAATTTTTATCGCCATTTGAAATCAATTTGACAAAAAGAACTAAAAGCTGATTCATTAGCAAGTAGGAAAGACTCTTGTGGTCACTGACAGGAATTTCCAATCGTTTTCATTCATGCTCACCGCTAATTGCTTCTTTCAAAGAAGCTGGCTCCAACTTCCTCACAATTGCAGGTTACCGTCGATACTAAGCTCAAGATCGCTTCATGTCTGTCATGGCACACTATCCAAACTATCCACAAAGTGATTTTCAGGTCTGTTATGTGACTTCGATTGAATGTTTGAAGACATCAAATTGGACACCGGCGAGTGTCGAAATGAAAAAGTTTATCATCGTGGACAGTTTACAAGGTCGCACCCGATCAAATCTTGTTTGAAAATTTGATAAACACCCCGTTTGCTACGATTTTCCCTTTGTTTTCCCAAACGCCTGATTGGGTACTAGTCAAATTATATTTACATTTTAGCAATGTTTTTCCAAGAAGCACCCACTGAGTTTGCATAAGTGTCGATACTGATGAGTGTACCGCATCAGTCTATAATCAACCTCAGGATCGCGAGCTCTGATCCCGAGTATGAAATCTATGAGTGTGTTCATCACTGCTGTGTTCCTAGGTGTTTTCATTTCATTAGGTAAGTGTTAGCGCGGGGAAACATTAATGTTTTGTTGAGGAAGAAGCCATTAGTAAGGGAAAAGGAATTGATTTCTGTCTTCAGCTGTAGCTATAGAAATCTATTGACGAAAATATGATGGCAAGACCAGTTGTACAGTTTAAATTCTTTTGGTAAATGTAGAAATATTTTTGCCCGCATTTACGCGTTCATGACACCTTTTGGATCCAGGGTGACTGAAGGAGTTGGAATCCAGCTACTGCTGTTCATTTCTGGTATCGGAGTTTTAATTTTAATAAAAATACAAGACCCCTTCCTAACTACCCATAATGATTTTAAAAACGGCATTTTCAATCTGTATGAACTAGAAATAATAATAATGATAACAAATCCCGTTCATGCTGCAAACTGATCAAATGTTTTCCATCCGTATAAGAATTATTACTAGGGTAGCGCTCGTAGATAAATCTAAACTGTGTCTTTAATTCATACAGAAAAGTGTAGATACGGCCTTAATCCATGAGACAGACTTAAAATCTTTTGAATGATAAAATTACAACTAATTTTTCCTTAGCGATGGGCCTGAATTGCTACATTTGTGCCAGCACTTCTTCCTGGGATGACTGTGAACACAGAAATATGACTTGCCCAAAATTAAGCGATCGCTGCATAAAAGTTTACCTCGAACACAGTGATGCAGAAATGTACAAGAAGTATTGTGGCATAGTGGGACATTGTGAAAAAAAGGCCAACCCAACTTGCAACGCTGAGAAGGTCGCAGGCGCCAGCGAATGTAAAATTGATTGTTGTGAAGGTAATCTGTGCAACGGGGGCTCAAAACCTCATGCCAACGGTATGACGATGCTGGTATGCGCAGTAGCAGTGTTGGCTTTTAGAAATCTTGTCAAAGGTGTTCCTTTCACGCTTTGGTCCCTTAAAGAACTGCACTAAGGTGGCTGGTTAGAGAAGGCTTTAAACAAGATTTGTTTATGCTTGTCTGTCGAAATGTAATGTCTCAAGAGATCACAATGTAATGCTCTCTTGATTCCCAAGATAAGACTCAAGGGCTAAAAGTGTGAATTTAAGCAAGATGTTTAACATAGAATATTGTCATGTTACAGAGTATAGTCAGCTAACCAGAGATAGGGAAAGAAAATGAAACACTCCTCAATGTCGACCTGTAACAAAGTAAGCAGACGACCTGATTTATTTCCGGTGTCAATCTAGACTCTGCAACCAGATTGCGTTTATAACATAATGCCGTTTTAAATAGGTAGAAATAATCTGCATTTAAACATTGAGACTGAATAAATTGAAGATTTCCAGTAAGAAAATCCCTACTCACATCAGTGTCTGCCACTCTACTCTCTCCCAACCAAATCCTCGTTTTCCCTTTGTCACCCACTCCTCCCCCATGACATTTGCAATCAACACGTACATAGCAAAGGTGTTTTCCATCTGGAAGTCGAAGCTGTCTAAAGAGCAATCGCCATGTTTACCCACTTTCGACAAATTTGTGTTATCTCGGCTCTATTCTCCTTTATCCCGTTGGGTAAGTGCAAAAAAAGCTAGTTTTTAATGATTCTTTTCGATCTCCTATCGAAATTGTTTATCTTAACCACACGTACAACAACAGTTATAGCATGGGTAGGTTTTATTTTTATGTCGGGTAACGTTCTCAAGCTATTTCAGCCTTAGGTTCCTTACAATGGTCCATTGAGTGAAAACTGTTCTTAGCGAAGTGTTTAAATGATAAAGTCTTTCGAAATTCAGATATTGATGTTTTTAAGATCCACTTAGTTCTACCAGTAAGCTTTTGGTTAACAGATGGAAAGAATGAGTTATTCCATCAATAGTTGAATTCTTAAAAATTCTCATGACGTCGTTCTTTTCGATATATTCACTTCTCGAATGGAGAATGCCCGCAGCATTATCAAAAAACTTTAGTCTTCCATTGAAGATATTTTTGTTTCATTTCCGCCGAATTTCAAATGATTAGTAAACCTATGTTATTCATCATGGCGCTCAATATGTGAGATGGACAAGCAGGCTGTAAATTATTTTCTTCAAGCCAGCTTTACTTTAAAAAGTCATAATCTACATTGAAAATGTTGCTACCAAGAACGGAACCAACAAAAACATATATTTTTAATCTGTCACAGGACGAAATTGCAAGAATCCGTAAACGGAAACGTGGCAGAAACATGTTAAACCGTTCTGGAAACACGACGGATAACCTGTGTTTCCGTTACCGGTTTCGTGACGTTTTCTCGCGTTTCCGTTGCTGCGTATACAACGGAACCGGACCACTTTTTGTGCATGTTAAACATAACGGAAACATGGAGTTACATGTTTCCGCCACGTTTCAGAAATACGGAAACATGTGATTTCGTCCTGTGATGTGCTCTGACTTTTAACAAATTCTGAAAATTTTCTATTTTGTACACACTTAGTCTACCTTAGTATTCGGATCTTATTTATCACACTGTCGCTTATGAATTTTTCATATTCCCATGACCAATTCAAGCGGCGTCTAAAGCTTTTCCCTTTTCCCCCCTCTTTTTTTCATTTTCAAAATCGCTTCTTTGGTTTTTACGTTCTAAATAATCTGTTTTCCTTTTTTTGTCAATTTTGGCTGTAATTTTCCCCCTTTTTGAAATTTGGCTTTCGTTTCTTGTGCCGAATACGGAGGAGGTTCGGTCTCTTTTGTTCTCTTGAAAACCTTCATCATTTTGCTCATGCCATTTTGATCATGCATCATTCTCGAAAAATTTCCTGGTACTTCGGCTTTGATGGAAAACTTTGAACAGAACTTAGGAATATGCATGAATAACGTTTGTCACACATAAAACAAGTGTACGGTCTAACTCAACAACGGTTCAACAAATCTGATATTTCCCCCTGCAGCGTTAGGTCTCAAGTGCTATAAATGTGAGAGCTGGAGTTCTTGGAAGGACTGCGAGAAAAAACGCACAGAATACACTTGTCCCGATGAACACAACGAGAGGTGCCACAAAGCCATATATAATCACGAGCTGCACATGAGGAAAACGTTCACAAAATTCTGCGCAAAAGAAGATGAGTGCATCGAGGGAAAGCACCCAATATGCCTTGCGGCCACGACACAGAATGCCACATGCGAAAGTTACTGTTGTGAACATGATCTGTGCAATATTGGATCATATGCCATAACCAGCGGGATGCTGCTGGCCGCATGCGCTCTGGTGTCAGTGGCTGTTCTGGTGTCGGAAAATAACTTCAGTGTATTCTTTCGAGCTGAGTAAACTCACCTTTGTGAACGGTTACTTTCAGTGAAGTATTCTAACTTAAAAAATACGAAAGTAACGTATAGTGAACACGAAATAGATACGAACCTCTGAATGCTTTCATGTTTAAACATCATTTTTTATGCATCAATTATCAGAATGTCGCACAAACGAGAGTTCCGTGCATGAAGAAAGATCCACCTGGGCGCTATGATATAATTTTAGGATCGCGAGTAATTATGGGAGGTATGTGCTAAGAGCAAATCTTGGAAAGAGCGAGAATCATCGGAATAAAAAATTATCCTTTCGAGTAGTTCGTCCGTCAGAGTATCACAGTTGTAAGATTTGTTGAAGATACGTGAATAAAAGTCCATTAAAAGTTCGCATACGCATTTAGATGCGATTATGGCTCACCTCTTAATTCTCGCGCGATTCAATTGACTACTTTACGTCACGAGGAACTAAAATTCAGCTTCACATAGAAGGAAAACCAATTGGTTTTGTAGAGGCTAGTATTAATAATGGTAAAAGGACCGAGTGGAGTCCAATTCGGTCTGCAATCATACGAGTGATTGACAAAATTGGACGACCGCGAAGCAGGAGTCCGATTTGTTTATCATGAGTATGATTACTGACAGAATTGGACGACAAGAAATCCTGTTACCAATTAATCATAACCATTTCAATGTCCGAAACAAACAAATACACCTAGAACAAATATCTCCAGTGTAGACAATATCTTTAGTTAAATATTCCGCCTTTTTGGAAATTGCCTTGTTTTTCTTTGGATAAGTGGTTGTTGCTATGGTTATTGTGATCAATGCTCTGATTGGTGGATTTAGCTGAGTGGACCTGGTATGATTGACTACTTCAACTGTCCAATTACAGATGTCCGATTACAGCCAACTGTCCGATTACACTGTCCGATTACAACTGTTCAGAATGATTAATGAAAAATGAAGCAGCTGATGCACCAATCACATTTGAGGAAATTGTAATAGTTATGATTAAAGGCAGAACAAAACTGGTCTCAAATGCTGCTCGGAATGTACAAAAAATAAAGAAAACAAAGTTTTCTGTCGACATGCGATATGAAATTAATGGAAGGACTATAAACTGAATAAACCCCGGTCTGGCTTGCTGGTATATCTGCTGATAACAACCTTGGCCGAGAGAGGTTGCCCTCAAAATTTCTTATTTGCCTCTGAAGCTTCCATTCTCGGCCAAATATAATTTTTTGGGCAATCTCTCGGCCGCGACTGAACATTATCAGCCGACATACTACCGCCTGAAGGGGTTTATTTACTAAATACTCGGTTGAAGCTTCCATAAGCGGAAACCATTAGGCTGCGTAAGAATAGCTCATCACTGGAGCTCGCTGTTTCAACAGGGATGATACTCAAAAGAAGCCATTCGTGGTATGGGAAGTCTCCAGGTTCGTAACCGTTGATGTTGGTAGGGGAGGTGATGCCTGACCAAACAACGACTTCGAAGGAGGCTAGAGTCTATAACTAAGTGGTACTTAAAGGGAAATCCGAGGGAGTCTTCAGGAATTTCCTTTGGCAAAGGAAGAAGGGGAGAAGACGGATACAAATACATAGGATAAACAATGCCCGCTTACTCGCACTTTAAAACAAGCTGCGAATTATAATGCAAGAATACAAAAATTGCATTGGACGGATTTTACGCAGTTGAGGGCTGGGGTTGCGCTTACGAGAATTTACTTTCAGAACGCTTCTATTGAATTCAGTCTGAAGTGCAGCCCCAGAAAGGACTATTTGAAAATTTGTGGTTGATCGCGTCATTTAACTTAATAACAGCATGTGTATCAGGATGAAAGATCCATATCATGCAGCAACTTAAATTTATGCGAATAATTTTCATATTCTGCTTAATCATCCATCGCAAAGAAACCGTCTGAGTTGCTGTTACACAAGAGAAAGCTGCGAGCTGAGAAGCAAGGGGAACGACATGAATCTAAAGCTCAAGGTGGTGATTATTGTACTTCTCGCTATCCCCTATGCTGGTAAGGAATTATAACAAATACTGCTAGATTTAGGCGCGGAATTGTGTCACTTTGCTGGAGAAGCGAATGTTTTAGTAAAGACTTATGATTTGCATGCAGAAACACTTTATAACGCCAAGTTCGCCTCCGAGTATTTTGTATCTCAGTTGGTAAAATATTCGATCACAAAATTATGAGGTCTGAGGTTGGTCTCCTCACAAGGTCTAAGATTTTGTGTTGGTTTTTGCTCGAGCTAGCGCCCTTGTTTACCGATTCTTGTTTAGGGGCATTTTGACTATTCACCTGACAGTGTAGGCAAATTCTTTATTAAACCTAAAGTGTCGTGTTTCTCATAAGACCCAACAACCGTAAAGAAGCGATACTTTGGCTGACTATTGTGACAATAAATTGAGATTTTGATATTACTTATAGCTCAGACATTCAAAGGCGGTTTGACTGCCCTTTGTTACGTTTCGGATCTGACGTGATATCAGTGGAGTTGCTTACCTTTTCTTCGTTGTAAGTGATAATTATTTTAAATCTTCACTTCCGAATTGAACTTGTCACCAAATAAAGCCGGAATATTTTCTGCTCTTCAATATGGAGGAAATTACCAGTACCAAGGATAAACTTTGTTTAAGCGATTTGGGTTGTGTAATTTTTTGTCAGTTCTGCTGTTTGCATTCTGAACAATATCGAACGATTTGCATGTACAACCATTATTTCAAATATCCATGAAAGGAGTGATCCTCTCAAACAGAGTGTCAATTTCATCGCAAAATTTACAGTGCAAATGTGCTACATTTGAGGTTATTGAAGTCTGATTAGTATATCCAGCTTCTATACATTTTATAACTTTTGTGCTAAAAGTAAACAATATATCGTCTAGTTTTTGTCATGCAATGATAGTTTTGTATAGAATTTGTCGCAGGCACGTAGTCACTTAAAGAAAGCCCTCATCTATAAAGGGTGTCGTTGATACGCCTCCATTTGGGGCCGAACAAAGTGGATTTTGTTCCCCGAATATTATTCCTCCCGATTTTCCAAATAATAACCAAATACCCCCTCTTCCCTCTATTTCAAAATCTTTCTATATGTGTGACGCTTTGACGTCAGTGACAGAAACAAAGCTATCCATTTCCTTCAGTCATTGTCTGCTTGCCCGTTATGTCCTGCGTCTCACGGATCCAGGATCTCCGGCTGGAGAATCCAACGCGCTCTCTACTTGACCATACTGCTGTTGAAGTCCTAAATGTAATAACATTTGGTCCTAAATGTAATAAAGTCCTAAATGTAATAACATTTAGTCCTAAATGTAATAAGCCTCTAATGCAATCGTTTAACTCCTGCAGTGCATTGTTGTTATGGCGGACATCCACATTGATATGTTAGTGACAGCTGTTGCTCCAAAAAAACCGCTGACCAGTATACATGTCACATTATGGGCCCGCTGATATCAATCAGCGTCTTTTTACTTGCTAGACATAAGAAATATCAGCAGTCGAAGTATGGTCCTTATAGCGGTTTATTGATCGAGACTATATGACTATAATTGGAAATAGAATGGAATTGACGTAACCATTAAGCCTTTTTGGAAAAGAAATTTACTATAATTGATGATGAACTAGCATGCTATTTTGTTTATTCATTATTATTATCAGTAGCGTTATTGAAATTTTGCACTGTCAATTGATTTATCTTTATGAATATCATTTTCAATTTTGAATCCATTTCCAGCCCTCTATGGCTTTACGGTTCATGGACTATAATTGAAACTGTTGAGGCGGGGAGGGTGAAGACAAAAAATGAAATATAAACTTGAGATCAACTTTAAAATGTATGTTCTCCTAATATTTCGGTTCGGGAACTGATGAACCCGTCATAAGGGGCTAAAGGAAAAAAATAAATGGTTCATTAGACCGCCAACTGACCATCATGTGTTGAATGGTGTAGCTCAATGGTTCAATTTGACTCTTGCGTGGAAAAAGGCAACATGTCGAGACCTGTGATCGTGAAATGGGATAACATATCATTGGTCAGTCGATATCTTGCTCTGCAAGTCACATTATCATATAGCTAGCAGCGCACGCGGGCAAGATGAAGTGAATCCTGTGTTCTGATTGGCTACCTGAGCGGGCATGATGGGCCTACCCTCGCCCGTTCGGGATCCCCCGTATTGATCACACGCAAGAAAACTTACAAAGTTCGTAACTTTTGGACAATGTTTTCATATATACATAGAAAAAATAAACGACCCTCTTGGGTTTATTGTGCTGCAAACACAGTTGGCTTTCACTATCGGCTCTCGAAATAAACAGGCCATTCTTGATTCTTATCAAAGCGAAATCTTTTGCTATACAATGAATCCTTTAATGATTAAGCCAAGAGAATATAAACTCTCTTGTATGGTCAAGATTACTGGATATTAGAACTCGGCCAATATATAGCTATTTTGACCTCACGTTCGGTCAATAACGCATATGAATATATTTTATGCAAACCCGTACAAATCTGGCAAGGGACGACAGTACAAAAAATGCCCTTCTGAGCCCAGAATTTGTCTAACGTATAAGTCGGTGGACTTCTTTTTCCTTGTAATTTGGTTCATCAAGTGTTAACTTCAGCACTGAGGACAGAAGTATTTCGTCAAAATCTGTTACACTTGAGAGTCTGAGCCAATGATATAGAGAGAGCTATTAGTCAACGTTCTCGTTGCTTCTGCGTCCGTCAATTTGATGCCAAAAGCACATCAGTATTAGAATAAGGTTTTGTAGCCAATGCTTCTCAACCTACGTCTTTCACAAATAAAAAGCCGCTGATTAATATCAGTGAGCCCGCAATATTCCATAAATATTGGTCAGAGGATTATTTGGTGCAACAGCTGTCACTTTAACATCTCAATGTTAGCGCAGTTAAACGATTGCATAGGAGGCTTATTACATTTAGGACCGAACGTTATTACATTTAGGGCTTTATTACATTTAGGACCAAATATTATTACATTTAGGACTTTATTACATTTAGGACAGTTATTACATTTAGGACTTCAACAACTGCTTCCTCAAAATTACCGTCATGGATTTTCCTGTTTAAATTCGCCGTTGAAATAGGCAAAAGGGCAAGAGTCAAATCATTTCCGATGGTAATTCTCACGATAAATTAATATACTGTTTCTTTTATCTTAGCCTTTGGCCTGAATTGTCACAAATGTTCAAGCACAAAATCTTGGGAAGAATGCGACGATAAAAAGTCAAGCAAAGTGACGTGCGCCGGAAATGACGTTACATGCCATAAGGTTCACTACTCTACTGAGGACAAAACTATCCAAGTGTTTGCGAAGTCCTGTGGACCTAAAACCTATTGCACAAAGACTGCAAATCCCGTTTGCAAAGTTCATCTTGGTGCGTCAGATTGTAAAATATCTTGCTGTGAAGAAGACATGTGCAACGCAGCCTCACGGGCTGGTTTGAGTGGCCTTGTAATGTTATCAGGCGTTCTCGTTGCAGCGCTGTGCAGTTAAAGGCACAAAAGAACCTCTATGAACTGACTCTCTCTTAATGCCGATCTGTGTAAGGCAAATTAAGGTGACATGGGTACATTTTTGGATTTATACTCACTCATAATGTTGCATAAGTTTTCACGGAGAAGAGGTCCCAAGTGGTCAAAAATAACGAATTGAACAAGCAGGTGGTAGGAATTTTCATTTAGCTTCAGCTTCTGAACAAAATCCCTTCTTGGTGCCACTTTGTACTTAAGTGGGTCTAATAGGGCTGTCAAAGTGCTTAATTTTTTTTAGTTTTTTCTTAAGCCTTTAAAAATTTGATTTTTTTTCTCAATATTTCGCAAATAAAGAAAAATTTATTCAACATGAAAGCCTTTATTTTCGGAGAGTGTAGTGATCGAGGAGTTTCTAACTTGCACTAGTCAAACTTTATCAATGCACTCGTGATTGAATGTATGTAACTGTAAATTGTATGGAGTAGTATTTCGTTGACTGTCATATCACTAGACCTAAATAATCACGATGGCCAATCAGCACAAAGGTAAATATTAAAACGAGCCAATAAGAACCAAAAGTGGAAATATGATTCGTACTTAATAAACAGGCCGAAAAACGTGATTGACCGAGTTACGTCAGGTGTAGTCTGAATGGTGGAGAAAGTGGCCCAAATTTCCTCCGTTCGACAATCCACAGGCGTAGGTATTGCTCTGATAGGCTTTCAAAAGAAAGATCTGCAGAAGTGAAAACGGAAAATGTCTTTTACAGGTACCCTAAAAAGGCTGATACCTAACCCTTAGAAAAATTCAGAGAAAGTTGAAAAAAAATAATTTGTAGAATGTATGGAGACAAAAGAAATCCTGGAAAAATACACAGTTCCTTTCGATCAAAGGTTTATTATTAATCAGCAGAGTGATCAACAAATGGTTACATGCGTAAATGGTAAAACTACAACGGCTTGAAAAACTCGCTCTCCACTCTTCCTTCAGAAGGGAGCTTAATACTGAAGGGCCCCTTCTCCTTCTCTTAACTCTCTCACAGGCGAGATAGCTAGACATTTTCTAAACTATTGTAACTTTAACTTTAACTAATGCGAAGCCTTATAAAAAGCACTACACCTTCAATTGTTTACCAAGTAAAGTCATTGCATTTTACTGTTGCAAGCTACAAAAGGAAAAATTCGACATCTTAGTTCAAACATGATCCTGAGAGTCAGACTTTGATGATAGCCCTGTCTCCAGCTCAGGCCCAGTCTTAGGAGACAGATTCGTCACTGCCTCGGGTCCCGGCATGACGTACTGTTCCACCGGAGGCTTCTCCTCAACCTTGTCTTGCCAGTTCTCAGGGTCTTTCTTCTTCCTTCGGAGCTAGATCACATGAGAGATAAAATTCAGTCATTAAAAGGAACAAAAATTGACAGTCCTTTTAAGATTAAAGCTGATAAAGTGCGGCGCAATCAACTGAAATAGATTATAGCTTCAGAAGAGCATCACTGGCCATAATTCTCCACCATCTACTAGGCCGGGATAAACGAATCCCTGACACGAAGGAACTTGACACTCTTTTCAAGGAAATGAAATTAGTGGAAGTATCGAGCGATAGAAAAATTGTGGTAGGAAATAGAGAAACGGTTCTGAGCCACCACATGCAAACTTATGCGATTTGCATTTTTTTTTTAACTTGGCTTTGCAGCTTTCAAAACAGGTCTGTTACCTATGTGTTTTTTTTCCCATCAATTTCACCTTGAAGCAAGATACAATCATCAAAATCCGGCCTTTGGATACGCTCTTTTGTACTAAAAATCAAAACAGAGCTCGAATTTTCCTGGATTAGTACTAACCGCCTGGCCCGTGTTGTTCAAAGCTAGGTTAAGGTAACCCAGGTTAGTGTGAAATTTGATTTCAGGTCTGAAAACTTTAAAATAAAATTCAGTTTAAATCTTTTTTCTTGCAATTTGATCATTGGATCTTCTAAAATCAATAGGGAAAATTTTCCCTTCAAAGGCTTTTAAAGAAACCTGGATTAAATTTTAACCCTAGGTTAACGCCAATCGGCCTTCGAACAACTGAGTCCTGGTTAATACTTACACAGAGCTTCAAAACGAACAACACTGCTCCAAAAAGGATAATCCCACTAAGGGCCCCGATAGTAGCTGCGTCTATCGTCGCCAGCAAACGTTTGGGTTCAGACTCTTTTCGGTCGTCATCACGCTGAACATGCAACGAAACATGAAAGGCTCCATCCGAAGGGTATTCTTTGTCTTGCATCTTGACCACAAAATTCTTGGATCTTATCTGGTTTACAGAAAACGAAGTTGCAACGTTAGGACTTACAGGTAATCACCTATGAAAATCGCCATGTGCAAGCAGCTTGGTGATAAAGCCAATGACAGTTCCTAGTCATAGCCATGGTGAATCGCAACCAAAGTTGGCTCACGTTTCCAAAGAGAAAGTCGAAAAGTAAAGCAAACAGGATAGATAGTGGGGCATGAAACAAGGAAACGTAAATCACTGATCAATCTGAATCAGGTTGCAGCCACAGAATAAGCAAAGACAGACCAAGGAAAGTGATGGCCTGATGATTAAAACTGACTCACATGACTTTCCAACGTTGCCAAGATTTCATCCAGCGTAGCCGTAGACTCACTATCTTCGACGATCTCGAATGTCACTTTGATGCCTTCCCTTTCGAGCTAACCGCCCGAGCGAAAAAATTGACATTAGCATTCTGGTAACTCAGGTATATTCAATAATGTCTTATTCTCTCTCGTAAGGTATCACTTCCCCATTTCAGCGCATTTCACCCCCAACGTCTAAACATCATTTTTCCCGACTTTCGGCATTAAATTTCGCATAATCTTTGATAAGGGAAATTCTTGTGCATTCGAACAATACCGTTTGATTGATAACCATCTTCCCTTTTAGTACCTTTCTGCTTGAAAGTATATTAATACCGTAGGAGAAATTCTGTTTTGGTCAGAAAGTTAATGAATGACATAAATATTGAGATTTACTTTCTTTCGTTTTTATTGTGTTTTGTTCTGTTTTATTTATTTGTTCTTTTTTTTAAATCGTTTGTTTGTTTGTTTGTTTTTATTTATTCTTATGTAGCACACTACTGTAATAAAGGCCTTGGGATTGTCAATATCCCCAAAGAATTGGGCCCAGTTCTTCGAGAGGCGCGCGGTTAGTGATAACCTTGGATCGAGGTTTTAACTTGTCCTTGATTTCTCGTGAGATAAAGTGTATATTAGGGCTTACGTTTTGAAGGGTTTTACCTTGATGTAATACAAAAATGAAGGGAAAAATATGAACTTTAAAACTGTCTGTACAGTTTCAAAACTAAATCAAGGATTGTTATTAATCCCCGGTTAGCTTAATCGTGCTTTGAACAACTCGGCCCAGGGAATTTGGTGACCCAGTGGCTTTCATTCTGATGCTGGCCAATTAATGGAGGCTTAGACTACTAACTCCAAGTAAAACACTTCTGAATGGCAACATGTGTCGTTCTGTGATTGTGGGAAGACAACTGGGAATTCGTTCAGAATTCCATTAAGTTTACGCTGAAGCTATCTATTGTTATTGTAGTTATTTCAGTTACCTTGATATTCCGAATTTGTTTCTTCTTGATCCTATTATTAGACTTCTTGACGATTTCGTCCTCTACGTACCTAGGGAAGGTCAGGAAAACAAGATGCAAATAAACATCTCGTATAGAATAGATCCTTTCTAGTTACGTTGAGGGCTAGATGTAGATGATGATTGAAGTTTGACTTACGTAGAGGGGGTGAGTTTCTGAAAAAACTGTGGTGCTGTCTCGGTGGGAGAGTATAACAGGGTCATTTATTATTATCAACTGAGCTTATAACGTAAATAGGCAACCGCAAAGAGTTTCAAAGCTGACGTTTCGAGCGTTAGCCCTTCGTCAGAACGAATGGGTACCTACCACTTTTAATCAAAAGGGCTCCACCCATTTACTTTACAAGCCCTGACGCTTAAAAAAAATCCTCAAGCAAGTGTGGAGAGTTATCTGAGATTGCATTTGCTTTGATTTGGAATGCTTGTTTTTAAATGTCCGCACCTGATAAAACGTTCTTTGTTCGCAGCGACTTCATCATAGTCTCCCGCCAGTCTTAAAGTCACTCTTGCCACCCTGTGAAGAATACAATCATGCACAAGTGTTAAAGGACCTCCCTATCAAATTCCATGATCACGCTGTCAATTCAAACCTGTTGTGAAATCCTTGGTTTACATTATTCGTGATAATGGCCTTTCTAAGTCTTAGAGTCCTGACAGCCTACGGAATCTCTGAAGGATTCTTTATCAAGAGTGATAAATTTGGAAACCGCAATGAAATAATGCACGCTATCAAAACCTGTATTTTGCTCACAGCCTTACAGTAAGGGAGTAACGTTGTTTACTCAATCAAATTCCGCCTTCATGAAGTCCACTCTTACAAAATTTTTCGTGATAAAACATACTGTGTAGGTCTACAGCATCGACATTTTTACGGGGTTATTTCTTGGGCTTGTTTACAAAAATCTACCAAGGTTTTTGGAGGTTTGCTTTCTGCGGTTACCCTGTGAACGCAGACATATTTACGCCAGACAGTCATGTAAAATGAAGGAGAAACGTAACTACCAAAGAATATCGCTCTCCTCTTTCCATCCCGACACGAGAAATGTCTGTATCAAGATTGTAATATTTACCTCAATTCATTCTGCCCCTTCTTTCCTTCTCCACGTTTGACTTAACAACATGATAAAAAAACCGTTAGAATTCAAGCGGAAATGCATTTCATTTCAGTTCAAACATACAGAGCTAAGATAGCAAGTCTTTTTCAATCTTTTAAATGTCTCCACTCTCCAGAGACCAGCATATACCCTGAAGTCTTGAAAGTGATCACTCTTAAGTGTCTACAGATGAAAAATTAAGTTTAATCAAGAGAATTTACTTAGTTTGTATTCTCTTGGCTTAATGTATCATGTAATATGTCAACCGCCAACATTATAAACAGTTTTTGGTACCATGTGACTAAAACGTCATAACTTGAATCACAAATTTCCAAGACAGTTCGAACCTTGAGATTGCACTAGACTCAACAAATGCTACCTCTATCAGAATTAAATGCCGGAATAAGCTTTACCACTTTCTCTATCAAAGACAGATAGCGGTGTTCTAACAAACACGAACAATTACCCCTCCTTTATATTCTGTTGGCGACCCAAGAACTGTGATATCTGTCCATTCATTATCTGGTAATGATCTAGACTTACCACCTTTCTTGATAACAGCTGCTGCACAGTTTCTCTTTCCTCTTTCCACCTTTTCGCGCGTGTTAAGTATTTCTCGACCATTTCCGTCCACACACCAACATACACCAGCCGTGGTGTTACACTGTTCTGTTATGAACGCTCCATCCTTTGAATCACACACAGGGATGAACACACCAAGGTCTTCTTCCCTGCAGGAGACAATCGGTCATTCAATCAAACTCAGTTAGTGGCCATAGTTAGTCATGGCACTACTACTGATTCTACATGTCTGTTGCGTGTTTTGTGATAGATTCGATGACCTGGTGATAATTGCTAAGTTCTATAGTTAGCAAACTACACTGGAGATAGAGAGTTTCAGGTTCGATGCCTGGCAGGATCACTATATTGCGTTCTCATACAACATCTTTTACTCTCATTTATAAATGGGACACCACCAAAAGGTCAATGAGACTTGAGGAATTGCCAAGGGTTTTCCTTGCGATGGACTTAAGGTGTATTCTTTAATTTCTAAGAGCAAACTGGGATGAGCTCTGAAAGTATCAGCCTTCTGGGCTATAAAGACTAAAGCTCATCATTTTCTAGTTGAATTAAGTACTGGACTTCAATTTGCATTTGAGATAGAAGACCACGAAGGCAGCGCAGTAACGATAGAGACTCATCAATCAAATCGTTGGAAGATTTCAGTAGAGTCCTGGAGATTTACCTTCCATTGTTTTCGTTGTTATTGCTTGTACGTCTTTCCTGTCCAGATTGATCTCCTTTGCGAAATCCATTGATGGGTCTTTTCCCTCTTCTTCGGGTTCTGAATCTTCTACTTCCATTAGATCCACTTGAACCACTGAATCCACATGGACCACGTGAACCACGTGATCCACTTGATCCCAAGGCGCCATTTCGAAATCCATTCTGTATACCTGGGTTGCCAACATTAATGCCGGTTTGGCTACCACCATTTACATCCTGTCCTCCTACGCTACCTGGACCGTAGTCTTCAACTTGAGATCCTGGAATGACCACTGGCAGAGTACCAAAGACTCCGAAAAACTTCTTCTTGTACACTTCTGAGGCCGAATGTCGTTGAATTTGGCACTGAGTTCCTACGAACATACGTGTACAAATACCTCACTCAGGAATTATTATAATATTCTGTTTTGAGTACCGTCAGGGACATCAGTCAATTTTGATGATCGTAAATATGATAACGGTCGAATTCCAGTTCAATTTCGTCTAAAACGAAAAAATTTTGAGAAGTATTTTGGTCTGCAATTGCAGAAAAGGCAGAATATAAAGCCCAAGAAAACTCAAGCTTCGAAAAGTTTGGAACTTTTCCGGTGATGGTCGAGTGGTACCATCAACTGAGCCATGAAGCCACTCGCTCGATTGGCAATGTCTAAAGTAAATATGTCACACCATCTGAAAAGATGGCTGGAATTATCATGATTATGATGAGGACTGTAAAGTCATGGAGAATCGTGATATGCATCAAAATAATTTGAAGTATTAAAGACCTCTCTTTACCATTACTACAGTCTACTTTTCGATTTTGTTTATCAAAATATTCAGCGACACATCCTCCACAATAATTCATTCGACAATAAGCTGTGGGATGATTGAAACAGCCTGGAGATGAGAGGCACTTGTCATAGATGCACAGTTTGAAAGGCTTGTCCTTAGGGCACACTGCAATTAAACAAAGAAAATTTTCGTCTCTCTTATTAGATCGATGTAATTATAATTGTAATAATTTTTTGGGGGCTTCAAGTATGAGGGTGGGGTTCCTCACTTCGTTTGTTACATGTATGTATTTGGGATATTTAGATAGGCTGCTCCAATTCAGCTCAATGCTGGTTTAAATGGCGGACTAAATTAAACAATAACGAGGCCAGATCACAAAACCGGGAGCCATGTTCCCTACTCTTTACGGGAAGTATGTGGGTTCTTTTTTAACGTCCCTTGCTAACTAGTACGGAGAAGAGACAGGAGACGGGGGCCTACATTCCGAGAAGACCAGAATGTCTAATCATTTGTCGATTTCAAAGCAATGGCAGCAAATTCTTCCCAGTTATTTTATGACCCTGAGTAATAGTCCAGTCTGGGGTTTGAACCTTGTTGTTGTCATTTTAGCTTGTTGTCATTTCTTTCATTTGCGAAGGAAACTGAAAATGATAAAAATTAAAAGATACACCACCGTGCCTGTTTCTTACCTGGTTCGTTCGGAGGAACACACCTCCTCCCACATCCCATCATGCAGCATTTGTGTTCCCCTTCACAGTCCGCGTCAGTCGCACATTGGGATTTACACCTGTAGGCGGCGGACGTTGGCATAACAGGGCACATACCTGGTTTGTCTATAACAGAAAAGGCTGGCTTTGAATCGCCGGATAACAGGTATAAAATTTTGCCTATACAAATAAAATAGCCTCGTCAGTTTTTATCTTGTGGAAGTGTGCATATACTCTACCAAATGAGCCACAGCGAATTATTTGCTGATCTAGGTCGGAGCTAGCTAGTACAGTCAATGATCTCAACCCTGGAGCAGCAGTTGATAGTTCACGCCATATTTTATATTAGTGTGTGACGCTCCTACGCTAGTAAAATCTGTATTGTAAAGTCAAATTCTCATTTCTGAAACCAAAAAGTTTGTTCCCGCTAAACGTTCCGTAAAATATGTCTAAAAAAGTATTCAACGAAACTAGTTTAAATTTTCATCGATTCATGTGGTTGATCTTTAAAACTGGAGATAACTGGACATAAAAGTTTTCCATATGCTGCACTAAAAAGGAAGGTACTTAATTAAGATGTGTTCCTTCAAATGTCTATAAACAAGTTACATTCACTTTTATCAAGCCCATCCCTTGTTTAAACTGAGATATTAATTATGTCGCTTAAACAAGGATATTCCAATTGATTTTCAATCAGTCATTGATACCACACTCATCTGTAACTTTCACTTACTTTCTGGCATCTTAGGTGGTGGGTCTACACAGAATTTGTCTCCACTCCTGGACCTGCTGAATGCGCAGCACCTGCCTTTTGAGTCAGAACAATCAGTATGGTTTGTGCAGATGCGTCTCGTATGCTGTCCAGATCTTAGCAGCGAAGAACATGTCCACTGTTTTTCGTAATCTGTATTCACATTGAAGAATCAAAATTTATGTGTTACAGTGACTAGTTTGCACCATCCAATTTAGCCGCTTACAAACTCGATCAAAAAGAAATTACTCTTTGGGTAAAAAATTACGACAAATGTCAGCCGGGGGTTCTGTTCTCAAACCAAATTTATATCACCAAAATTATGATATGTTCGGATTGAAAAAGGGAAATCATATTCAACCAACGGATGATAAGGAACGATAATTGATTTCCGCAAGTAATTGAAAGAGGGGAATTCCAGTAATCAACCAGTGACAAACGAATTTGTGAGCTTTTATTTCATGAGAAAATGTGGAAACAGGGAGGGAACATCCAGACTTTGGCATAGAATAGTCGATTCTACGTGGAGTGTTTTTTCGTTTTAGACGAAAACTGTGAATTCTAGCTAAAAAGATGTTATTTCATCCTTTGTCTACGTAGTTTTCAATCGAAAAAATTGGTCTCTGTACTATCCCGGCAGCTCAAAAGCAGACTCAGCCCTACCTAACGATCGTAAATTATCTCATTCTTACCAGCTGCAGTCCTGGAACAGTTGAGTTTTTCATATCGCTTTAATTGCTTTTTTCCCCTTGGCTTCCCATTTTCGTCAACGCACCAACAGAATTTTCTAGACCATGCACACTGTTTGCTTTCATAACTTCCGTCTGCAGCACAATTCGGAACAGTTGTATCCACCGCGTGCTGGCGAGTTATCCGCGCAAACGTGCGGCAGGTTCTTGCCCGTTGCGACCACTGCCTAATATTTTGCCAGCTTTCATTCCTTTGCTGCCTCCTTTGGGTCGCATTTTGTGCTCTAAGTCTTAAAGTCTTTGCGGTCCTTTCGTACCTCTTAGACATCACACGGAGATGTTTCTTGAGATCTCTGTTGCTGAGCTGGGCTGTTTGACAAGGTGACAAGACTAGAACGATACAGCAGTACAACAGATCACTCTAAATAGCATGATCGGGCTAAGGTTTAATTCTTCTGCGTACTCGATCGCAGGTATACCTACATATTTCGTTCACTCGTAAAACGGAAACCTGTAGAACGCGCTACAGTTCGGTTAAATCTATTCCACCGACGAAGCGCCTACATTCTTAAAACTTTTCTTCGAAATTCTGTTTTGTTAAGCTGAATATATGCACTTTATAAATTTCGTTAACCTTTCTCATACTCTCGGAGGAGATGGGTTAGCACTCTAGTATATGAGAGGCAGGGATGTTCGTTAGATCTTGAACTCGCTCAGTATATTTAAACAACCGCCAGGAAACCTGGTTTGAGGAAATCAAGTCGAGGCTGGCGAAGAGACGAACTTGTGCCCGTTTCGCGTTAGACCTGGTACATGTTACTTGGCCTGCGTCCAAAGATAACGAGCCCTAGTTAAAAAGCCAATCCGTCAAAATGACTTACCAACGGTGGCTTTAGGAATTTCCTTCTAAACTCAAAGACAGAGTGATTTTGTTTCTCTCACCTTGGCCCCCTGCGCTACAGTTTGAGGGGGCTCCTTTCTGTCTCGTACCATTCCTCTCTCTTCCTTCTTTATCAACACACCAACATATCTTGACCTCGTGATAGCACTGAATTTCAGCAAAGCTTCCGTCTTCTTTGCATCTCGGAACGTGGCCACGAAAACTTTGGTGGCGCATCTCTTTACGCTGATACTCGCACTTTGTTAAGGCTGTAAAAAAAACCAATATTCTAACAAGGATGATATATAGCACAACAGCTTTTGGTAATTTCAGTGTTAACCAGAAATTGAAATCTTCAGACCTCTTCTTGCGCATGAGCAAATCGTGACATTGTAGATAAACCTAATTTCTGGGAATTCATACATCAACTAATTGAAAGCTGGGCGAATTTTTTTCGTAAATTTCCCAATAAAGAGCTGGATAACACCTCAAGCTCCTGACTGAAGATTATTAAGAATTAAATCACTTTTCATTCTTACCTCGAGGAGTCTGCACTTTGTCTCCTTCCACGTCGTAACACTCGGGTCTGCAAGTACCACATGGGTTTACCCTGCACCTTACATTCCTCCGATTGTCACACCTCACATCCTTGCACAGTCTCTGGTTGCAATTCGACAGCAGTGGTTGATTCTCCGGGCAAACTGAAAAATAACATGGGTAAATAAATGAATAAAAAGTAGGTAAATACCACAAAGATATAAATTAAAAAGGTATACAATAGTAATAAAATCTTCGGATAGGTTTTTTTCCCTCAGACATAAAAGCAAAGGAAAAAGCATTCCATCATTAATATGCTCAAATTCTTTGATAAATATTTTTGCAGATACCGCAAATGAATATCATTTTCAGACCTCTCTTGTTTGATTAACAGATTTTCGCTGAGGTGAGCCGGGTACTTTCCCTCTTATATTCCCTCTCCGTAATGTAAGTAACAGAAGCTATAAAGGGTGAAATTTCTTTATAAATTTTGGCCTAAACTAACCCCTCACTGAAATGTTGACATGCACGTTTGTGTTATAAATAGAATAGGAAAGATGGGAAGTTTTGAGCCCGGTAAAGAAATAAAGAAATTTTTTTTTTCGTCTTGTCACGAGCGTGGGACAAAAAAAATAAATTCCAATTCCCCGTGAGGACATGACGCTATCGACATAGTTGATCCTTGCAGTATGTAGGACGCGTGTCATATGGACAATTTCGTAATAGACCTCGCTCGCCATAGAGTCTCTGTGGCTCAGTGGTAAAGCATTGCAGCGCGGAATCCAAAGGTCTGAAGTTCGATTCCACATAGGGACTCAGAATTTTTTCCTTGTCCCACGTTAGTAACAAGACGACAAACGTCTTCCTCCAAGTTTGCGTTATGTTAAAGTTGTAAACTGGTCTTACCTGAAGAAAAATTAAATTTGAATTCGTTGTACAAGTCAGGTTGTTTGATCCAGTTATACCGCGGACGGTGATCTTTTCCGCTCTTGTGCTCAAACGGCTTGAACAGGAAACCGTTGATCTGAGCCATCTCATCGTCAAGAATATCATAAACGTCTTCGTCATATCCAGTGGGGTAGTTCTCATCGTCATCATTATCACTCCAGCCATCATCAACATCATTAACGTAGTCATCATATGCGTTACTATCATCATCACCACTGACATCATCTGTTTGTTCGTCATAAGTCTCAGGGCACAGCTTGTCAAGGTGATCCGAACACGTTGGATGGTCTGGTCTCTCAGGATTTTCAACCGAATCATTTACTCCTTTATAGCAAATGTAGAGAAAATAAGATATTGCACTGGTTCGTATACATGTTGGGTGAGCTATTATAAGCTCCCAGATTTATGTCTAAAATTCGATACAATGAAGTCACATGATAGGGTTTGTTAGTTACCAAAGTCAAAATCATCCATGTTAACATAAGATTAAATTCTCGATTTTTCACCCAACATTTTATTTTTAGAAGTCTTTTCCATAATTTTGGCTGGTTTAGAAAGGATTTAAAAGCATTAAAATGGGAGACGAATAATTAGAGCACATTTCGATTGGGCGTCGTAAAATCAAAACCAAAGTAATCACGACGATCAATCGAAAATTAATAATTAATAGTCTCATATTTTGGTGTTTTTAAACCCGACGCTTAAGAAAAGAAAATACCTTTAAGATCCAATGAAAATCAAAATGAAAATGACCAAACTTCCTAAAGCGCGGGTGACCAAGGCATGATTGATTTTAGTTTTCCATTTTGACTGTTGAGAGAGTAGCGCGAGTTTTCTGGACCAATCAGGGAGCGAGGTTTCTGGACCAATCAGCGAGGTAAAGCGAAACCAAAGCAACGCAGGATTATTTTCGACACTCAATTTTGAAATTACTCAAATGATGGAGGAAGATACTGATTAGATGAGAATTCCAATGGAAAAAGTCATCTAACCTTTCAACAGGCGAAAACGGTATCGAGCCAACTTAAGACAAGTCTTATAAGATCCTTACTTTGTTCACAAGTGTAGTTCACCCGTAAGAACACCACCTCTCTTGTGCAAGCTTTTCCAATAAGGCTTTCACTTAGTTTTATCCAACAATCCTTTCTCCCTTGGCAACGGCTGCGTAACTCTTCGATCATCTTTGTCACGTTACAAAGACGATTACGTGCCACTGTTTTGTTGCCACGGTTTTCTCTGTGACGACTGCACTTATGGTTGGGGGCTTGGACGTGATTTGCTTTGATGTCCATAAAGTAAAGAATGGTTCCTCGCCTGCAGCGCAACATTCTCGAGCCATGAGTGCACATCAAGGCTAACCTGAAATCTAAATAAATCCAGTTTTAACATTTTGTCCACTTGCTTTCGTGCTGACAAGGAGAATTTGTTCAACAATCAAGAGCTTCTTTAGTTGGTGATCATCTCCTCTATTCTCATCACCTTCATGTTTGATCCAGGGGTGATATTGTAAGGAGAAATTAGATGCTAGTCACTCTTAGGGGTTAAAGGGTTAATGAGGTTGGCTCGGGTCCAAACATCCGAAACGTTGGCAAATCAGTAATACCTTGTTCGCGCGAACAATTACTCTTTCCCTTTGTCAAGGTGTTCTCCATTACGCGGCCTTGATGATCTGATTGCCATGATAAACCAACTTCCGGCCACTCCTGATAACACTTGAAACTTCCGTCCCTTTTGCAGCGAGCAAAGAACGCAGCGAAGTTGCTTTTTCTGGAAACATTGGCTTTTGCGCTTAATCGGGCACTTAGAATGGATGATGCATCTTCCAGAAGACACCTGGGAATTTCTCCTTCTGGAATATGAAAAAAAACCAACATGTCCACGGCAAGATGGACTCATCGTGAACATTGGTCATGTTGTAACAAACGGTGTTGATAAACGAGGACCATGCAATTTTTGAGGTATGAACTCTCCAAATAAAGCAAGGCAAATAAATAAGAAGCTGCATGGGCGCTTACTGTAGCGATCGATTACAGTTAGCACTTTTAAAAGATATATATTAGGTGTAAACAAAATACACACCTCGTTTGATAAAGGACAGTGATCTCGATAGTCGTTGAATAAACACACTTAGGGATCGGTCATTGTTAATCGCCCGGAGGGAGGTGGGGGTCGAATGATTTTGGTGGGTCATGATAAGATGTACGTGATCCCCCACAAGGCTCTGTAACATTCATTTGCTCACCCCCCCCCCTCTTTCTTGGCAGTTAATTGGCAGTCAACTTTCTACAGTCTCCCTTTATACTTTGTCGGTGATGACTGATTCCCCCTCGGAATCAAAACCACACGATCCCCTAAAGTCCTTGGACCCTCCCCCTCAGGCGATAAAAATGACTGGTGCCTAAAAAAAAAATTGCCCTCGCTGGTTTGTTTACAAAAACACTCAAGATAGGCTTAAGTTACTCACCGGTTCCTCTCTTTATGAGATTCCCTGAGGGCCCTGAGGGCCTCTCACTGGGGGGCCTGTGATGAGGTCTCCCTAGAGTGGACCAAAGAGAGTTTATGTTGTTTTATGAGTAACTGATTGTGGATATATGAAGATCATATATGTGAATATTAAAGGCAACTTTGCAGTATTGATCACAGTAGCGTGAACAGAAGTGAAAATAAGGCCTGGTTCTTGGAGGCGATGGGAGGTTCATAAGGGTGGGGATTATGACTTTTCAATCACAATAACATGAAAAAAAGCTACTTCTTAATAAATGAGTCGACAAGGTACCTTTTTCGCATTTCTAATAGGGTTAAGTAATAAGATAAAACGAGTAAAAAAAAGCTGACGCTTTAGCGTTATTACGATCATAATTTCTATTCTTTTCACATTAACTACTCAAACAGACTTGTGACGCGTTAAGTCTTAAAAGGAAATTGTTAACTGTTGAATATTTTTTAAAATTATAATGAACCGATCAATTCTCTTTGCTAAGATCAGTACAAAGACCGAAATCTATAAGGAGAACGTAGTTTTAACGAAATTAAATCAATCCTTAAGCTATGAATTTGAAATAAAAAGATATTTTGGATGAACGGCATTTTCCGTAAGATTAGCTTCTTTAAGCCTTCAAATATGTATTCTGACGATCTCGTCCTCTATCCGCTGAAAAGATTGACTCTTGTCCGAAGGCAATTTAAGTCTTACTGATAATGTTTCCGGCTATTTTCCATAAGTGCTTAATTTCCAACTATAGAAAACAAAATTATTTGTGCCATCTTTAAAAAAAAATGGCATCATTGTATCCTGTGTTTACACTTCCGGGGTGAACACAGATTTTTAAATAAGCCGCCTAAACATAAGTGGCTTATGATATCTAATGGCCCTTGAGAAGTCTTAGGTCATTCATTTGCCAAACACTTCAGTGCATTTCTGTGGACAAATTTTCTTATAATTTCTTGGAAAAAATAGACTGCAAACTTGTGATATTTGATTTTACCTGTAAGAAAAATTACAAATAGGTTTTGTTTTGAATTCCAGGCTTTGCATCCAGATATTCATTTTGTTCAGTCAGTTGTTTGCGTTAGCATGTGTCAAGTAAACCAACCACTCCATGCTCCGCACCTGCTGCGAAATAGCTATCCCACACAAGTGTTTCAGAAATCCGCGCGGAAGAAAAGATAATCGATAGAACACACTGCCCTCTGTTTTTAATGATTGGCAAGAGTCAGAGTATTGTCACACATAAAAAATTTCCAGTGTATTTTTACGACACAGCCACTTAACAAAAACAGGTACTTGGATTGCGTCGGTACCCACAGAGCTGAATGACCTGTTATGTTTGTCTTAATAGGTCGCTGCCATTTCAACCGAGTCATCCATAAAACCATGCATGAATAGTTTATTACATCAACAACTCGAAATTCTAGCCAATCAAAACGCAGCAACGAAAATGATTTCATCCGGTCTCACGCTATTTTAACTTTTCCGTAAAATCAATTGACATTGCGGTGAGTGTGTCATTCTTCCACCAAGCGTTCATGCTGTGCCAGCAAGGGCCGGTCTCGACCAATATCAACCTAAAACCAGGTTTGTGAAATGTGATATTTTTCTATCTTTGACAATTACATAATTATATCATTTATTATCATAAAATTAAACAACGATTTTCTAAGTAGGTTAATTTCAATCTCTTCTAATTTTCCTCTTTTACTGCGCGCAGATTGCTCATTTCAGAGACCGTTTTGTCTGCTTAACAATATCAAGCAGAGAAGAAGAGGGTTCATATTTCCTATGAAGAAGCAGGAAGACTCATGCTGTTTTAGCCAAAAAAGCGGCAATGGCGGATAAGAACAAATTTTCCGTTTTATTCAAATGTACAATAAGTGAACTTCAACAGAGCACAGTGGAGCCACGACCAAAAATAAGAGAAAAAAAGATCGATAAAGCTGTACCATAAGTATGATATCACTCAGCAAAGCCTGTCCCAGTGTGTGCGTGAGGCAAGCCTGAAAAACTGTACGAAGCAAATCTTTATGTTCATCGGCTTATTGTTAAACAACGAGTAAGACTACAATGGGCAACCACCGGAGGGGAATTCAAAAATGCTGTGACACTTTGTTGGCAGTTAACAAGGCGTTAAACTCAAACAGCAGGTGAAGGTTCACAAGCTAGAATCCTTGTTTGACATATGATGCGTTCATCAAAAGGTGAGTGGTATATAAAAATCACAAGCTGATGCCTTTTCAGAAGGTACAATGAAATTTTAGTTGAATTTTATTCATGTTGGCGTTGAAGAAGCATCAAACTTCGCAGTTGGGTTGTCTTAAAAAAGCACTTAGACCTCAGTTAGTACAAAGACATCTAACCTTCACACACTTCTTGCGTAACGCAATAGCATAAAACCCAAATCATTTCTTTAAAAGAACCTTTCCAAAGAAAGCTCGAAATAAAATATTAGCCCAATGAAATATAACATCGCGACACTAACATCAGTGAATATGTTTACATTCTTTGAGGGTTTGTAATTAAAATTAACAAATCAAAACTGATGAAGATTTTATATGGGGCGAGTCCTTTTTTATAACTCAAAAGTAATCCCTGATTGCTTTGGTTTGGCTTCACTTCGCTATGCGATTTTTTCGGAAAGAGTCGCGTCATTCTTTCATCAAATGCAAAACTAAAATCAATCACAGCTTCGTCTCCCGCGTTTCCTTCGCGCTTTTACTTTGAGTTCTGATTGGCTCTGCAAGGTATTTTCCTTTCCTTATTTGGCTGTAGGGATTACTTTGGCTTTGCCTTGACAATACTCAATCAAAAAGCACTCTATTGTCTGATACATCTTCTTGTTTAATGCCAATAGATGAGTTTCATTTGAAGAAAGAGGATGAATTGCACTAATTTTAATCTCAAAAACCACTCCATTCACAATTCAACAAATGGCGTCCACCCACCAAAAAAAAAAAAAAGGACACAAATCAGTGCAGCATTTTTACGAGTTTTTCTGTCATAAGAATAATTCAAGAGAATTCAAAAGTTAAAGCTATGATTACTTTTCAACTTTATAATTTCTAATCATTCCCTTATAGTTATAAGGGATTCTTATTCCTTTATTCATTCAAGTAATGATTTACCTTTTGAGTCTGTTACACTTATTTTTGATAGAAAAACCTCAACGTTATTTCACAACTGGAATTGACAGAACAAGATATCATGTCCATGCAGTGCTAAGGAGAGGACTTCAGTTCACATTTCAGAGTTAACGTAACGATACCTGCATCTCAGAGCAATTTCGATTGTGTGTTGGAAGTAATTATGAATTGTTTTGGTTTACCTCACTACGCTCTGTGATTGGGCTAAAAAAAACTCACGCCCAATTTCCAACCAATCGGATGAAAAACTAAAACCAATCCCGACTTGGTCATTAGCGTTTTCCCGCGTTTGAAGCAGTTTCCATGGTGTTGGTTTGGGTTGCTATTGGCTAATTGGGATATTATCCTTTATTCTGACTGATCGATGTGATTTCTCTGGTCCTGGTCTCATGACATTCAATCGAAAAGCTCTTTACTGGCTCATAGCCTCGCCAAGCTCTAAGAATGGTTTGAAAAGATGGGCAACAACTTGTTTACTAATGATAACTTGACAACACACTCAACCTCTGCCTGCGACAGTAATCAAGGGCTCTTTACTGAACATGACATGACCCAAAGAGCAGCTGGCTGAGCATACTCAATAATCACATGAGAGAAGCTAAATCTAAACCACTTTTCCTACTACCAAATCACAGACTAACACGGTTCTTCACAAATTACCTGATCACATACCAGAAGGATAACTCAGATGTTCGCCACTAACATTGCAGATGTTGCAAAATCAACAATTAAGCATCACAAATAACCATAACTGTCACGTTGTACTAACACTTTGTTTTTTTCACATGGGCACACATTCCATGTAAACTTCCAAATAACTGCAGGCACATTACACTTAATTACATGCTGATATCCAAACTCATCTAACTCCATAACACAAAATTGTTAAGTATTTCGTACCAAGTGCCTCATAACACAATCAGTAACGATTTTGCTCAAATTCGACCATGCATTTAGAAATAATGTTGCTTCATGTTGTTCAGATTTGAATTCAGTTGAGGAAACCAATACTAAC